TCTTTCATTGACGCCTCAAGTTCTACGAAATGAAAAAAAAAACTTTTTTCCAGTTTTTTTTTCGATTTTTATGAGTTTCATTCAAAGTTTCATATTGATAAGTTTATTCTTTGAAATTTCCCAAAATTTTTTTCGTTTTTTTATACGTTGTTCCTTCTTCCTTTGACTCCTCGAGTACTAAAAACCTAAAAACTTTTTTTGCCGGTTTTTTCGATTTTTTTATGAGTTTTCGTTCAATATTTTTATATTGACCATCTATTTTTCTTGAAATTTCTCAAAATATTTCTTTTTTCAAATTATTAAAAAAACTTTTTTTCTGGAGAATCACGGCGTTTTTTTAAAAACGCAATTCAAAAAGTTTCGTAAAATATGATGCTTAGGGTGTAAACACACCGAGACGCACTATCGCAGACTCGAAATTTTTTCACTTTTAGAATTTGCGATTTCAGAATAATAGTTCCTGAAATTTTCGAAATCTTGTCAGTTTGAAGAATATGATGGGTGGGTTTTGTAGTCCAAAAACGGGTCCTGAAGAGATCAAAACTACAGTATTCCTACGAATTACGGCGCCTGGTATTTTTTTCTGAATTTTCTTTCACTGCCAAGAACGCCGTGGAACATTTAGAAAAAAATAATTATGGTTTTAAATGGACTCGAGATTTCAGAACAACTTAAAGCGAGAAAAATTTTTTCAAGGCGCGGTGATGGTCTTTTAATAATGCTACATTTTTTGATTTATTTTTTTGGCAGTAAAAACGGAACTTTTTTCTTGATCTTACACGTTGAAAAAAAGTAGTAGAATACCGACGCGAAAAAGGTACTGTAGCCAAGGGGGCGGGGCTAGCTACCTGAAGTTCAAAATGTGAACAGACTTTACCAAAAGATCGAACAAAAAATGTTTTCTTCATTTTTCCATGTTTTATTCATTTTTTTTTCATTGTAGGACACAAGTTTATAGGCGTTTTTTTAGTTTTTCGACTTCTTTTCCTTGAATTATGCCCACTAAATCATAACCTTCAAGCCAAAAAAAGAAACAAGAAAAAAAGAAAGAAAGAAGGATATCCTATGCAATTTTCCCTTATTCACAAGTGCACTTTCTCAGGAATATGCCTTTCCAGAGAATCTTTTTTTTTCTTTTCCAGATTTTGCGAGGGACAAAGTTTTCAAGGTATTATGATAATCCGCATCAAATCGGATGTCATTTAATCCGATAAGCGAGATTTTATATAAATGGGATTAGAAGGGGTAATGTATGATAATCTTCTTTTTCGTCAAGTTTCTTGAAAGTTTTGATTTTTTTCGATGATGCGAGTGTGTAGTTTGGATCTATTGTTCAAAAAAATTTTTTCCATTTTTTTAAAATATAAAATATATCCATTATTTCATATTTAAACGCCCCTATCAGAGGTGCTAAGTGGCCCCTAGAGTGACCTGCAAAATTCCTTAGAGTTCAGTTTTTTCGTGGATTTTTTATACTTTTCCAGAATCATTCCTTTTTGCATTTTTTTAGGGATTTTTCAAATAAATTAAAACTGCCATGTCAAATATTTATCTTCAAAATAATCTCAAACCAAAATTTGAAAATTTTTTTGAAAAAGCCTCAGAAATTCAATTTTTCCTACACTTTTTTTCAATTTTCACGGCAAATTTCGCACTTGGTTGTTTATTGGCGTACTCAGGGCAACGGAATTTTCCGACGAAATTGTCGGAATTTCGAAATATTGAGGCGAGGGGAAAAGACAAGGAAGGCCGTGTTTTTAGAGCCAGGATTTTCGGGAGGCCCATAATACGTTTTGTCCCAGAATTCGCCTCCGTTGGCGCATCTTTTCTTTTCTTGGCAACATAATTTTTTCGTACTTTTTCGCATTTTTCGAAAAAATATATACTCCATTCACTATTATCTCGGAGAAAAATCGCTTTTTTTTTCTTTGTTTGACATAACTTTTTGCTATTTTTTCGAAATTTTCAAAAAACATGATGAATTAAAATGAACTATGAAAGTCGATTCGAAAATCAATAAATCAATTAAAAAAAATTTCTTCTACACAAAAAGCCTTGGGAAAAAAATGAAAAAAAGCTTCAAAATTTCCCAGCTTTTTGTCTGTCTCGTTGCCTTTTTTTGGTTTCATGTCTAGTTTCATTTTTTAGTATTTCTTTTGGATTTCCTGAAAATTTTTGTCCCTGTTCAATTTTTTTCTTGAGTTACATTAAGCTTCAAAATAGCAAAAGGAACTTCTTTTTCTCGCCCCAATTTTTTTGTTCCTTCCAATTAAAAAGTGTATCTAATTTAGCTTCTAATAATAAATTGCTAGTTTTGAAAAGTTTTATTTAGCTCTAAAATTGAGGTTTTCTAAAAAAAAAAAGCTCGTGATCTTCGAATTTTCAACACTTCCTTGTTGAATCATTATTCGAAAAGTTGCATAAAGGCAGTTTTTTGGCTATTTTTTTAATGGGAAAAAAATGAATTTTTTTCTTCGTTCTGTATGAAAAAAATGTTCATGAAGCATTAAAAAAATCCTCGAAATAACATGGGTGATTTTTTTAATCAGTTTTTTAAGCTTTTTCGAGAGTTTTTTTAGCATTTTATCAATCCAGAATGACCAGTTTCTGAGCCTCCTGTTTCATTCTCCGATTTTGGTTGCATTTTATAGATTTTAAAAATTGCGCCCGTTATTGTTCCATGATAAAAAGTTCAATATTTATAGCAAATTAAAAAAATTCAGTGAAAGGAAGGTCAAAAAAATAAATTTTTCGAATCTGAAAAAAAGTCTTATAAAGTCCTTAGAAGCTCATGGACGCATTTGGAATGGCTCAAGACACATTTTCAACGCTCACCCGACCTGAAACGAGTTGCGCTCTTGGACATAGAAGTGCTCAAAAATGAGGGTTCAGTTTTTATTCTAACCGCAACGCGGCCGCGACGCGTTGAGCCATTCTAAGTGCGCCAAAATTTCTGCAATTTTTTTTCTTGAGAACCGCAACCTTTCATAATTGAAAAGCTCGCCTGCAAATTCATTCTCCTTTTTTTTTCTGCAAACGACTTTTTTGCGTGAAATACGAGTAATTTCCGATTCGTATTCTCTGAAAGAACCCCTCCCACGCATTGTTGGAAATGGATCTCATTTCAATAAATAAACTGGAAATTAGCGGTTTGTTTATTGAGAGAACCTCTTTTTTTTCCCCGTTGATGAATCGTCGCTTTGTAATGGACATCCTGTTTAATTTCCCGGTTTTTCGGGTTCATTTGCGGAATCAGGCGACTTTTGAACTGATTTTAATAGGGAAAAAAAAGTCAGGATGCTTTCTTTTTTTTTTCTTTGAAACTCTTGACTCATCTTTTTGTCTTTTAGATTTGAAAAATAGTAGTGAAGGAATAAAAAATGATTCACAGATTTTTTGAATTTTTCGAAAAGAAATAGGCGGACGAGCATGTGCGCTCCATTGACAACTAAACGAATAAGTTTTCTTTTTTCGATTTATTTAGTTTTGATGTTTTTTTTCCGAGTTTCTGATTAACTTGTGTAACTCATCTATATAAAAAATGATTATTAAAGATTAACAAATAATTGAACATCTCTGTTTTCATGGAACTTCAAATCTTTATCATTTTGAAACGAATAGTATTCGTTCTTCTTTTATAAGCGCTTCAGCTTTAATTTCCGAAAGTTCGTTTGAATCATTTTTGAGAAGGATTTTGACAGTCTCAACCTGCCAAAAAGGATAATTTCCGAGAAAAAAAACTTCAAAATTATTTTTCCCTTGGAAAAACGAACTTGGAGTTTTTCCGTTAGCAGGCTTTTTGAAAGTAGAAAATTTCATTAATTCAATCTAGTAAAGTCCTTTTTGCGAGTTTAAAACTTCTCTGCGCCCTCTGCGTCTCTCGAAGACTCTCTCGTGTTGACGTGCTCTTTTCAAGTTCCTCTGACCTCGCCGGTGAGGGAACAGAGAGACGCAGACACGCGAAAACTCTCAAGTCGCGGCGAATGGACTATACCTTAAAAAATCGAGAAGGCTTCGAAAATTCAACTGGAATGACATTCCTTTGAAATTCTTGTCACTCCAAGATCTTTGAATCACTTCACCGCCACCTTCGCCCTTCAATTATCGCTGACTCACGACGGATTTCCTACAACTGCTTCTTTTTTTCTGCACGGCTTCTGGTCTGCTCCGCCTCCCTCTTTTTCCTGCCCATTTTCCTTTGAATTTTCCACGTCCGTTCCTTGCCAACGGTCCCCATCTGTTCGTGTTGCTGAAGCGCGTCGTCATGACGAGCCGAACGTTTCTCGACTTTCATTTTTCTCACTTTCTCCTTGTCCTTCCTGGCTTCCGCCTTTTTGGGAATGTCCACAGGATGGAGTAGCTCTGATCCTAGTACTTTTCTGCTGCAAATAAAATATAGTTTTTCAGGAATTTATTGAAAGGTGTAAAAAAATTGATTTAGATCTTGGAAATTGAGAAAGAAAATTTCAAAAAGTTTAATTTGATGTAGAATACGAGGCAGGTAGAATTGCTCCGCTTCTATTTTTTTTTTCCCTTCCAAAAATTGACTTTTCAAGTTTGGAAGCAGTTAATTTTTAAATCTATGATGAGCATTTTATCCATGGAGCGCACAAGATCGTGATTTTGATTGGTTTTAAAGTAAAAAGGCGCTTAAGTCGATTTCATTCAGTATTTTATTATTTCCGTTCTTTCTGTTACGGGTTTTGATCCATTAAGCGCAGGAAATCGGGCTTTTGATGATTTTAGAAGTTTAGAGCTGCAATGGTTTCGATTTTTGATATTTCAGCTTTTCCTGTTGCGGATTCTGAACCTTTAGATTTTAATTTTGATGATTTTTCAAAATAATTCACAACTTGAATATTTTATATTATTTTTCCTGTTACGGATTTTAGCCGTGGAGCGCAAAAGATCGTGATTTCGATTATAGTTCGTCCGCCTTGACTTGACATTTTTCGCGTGTCTGCGTCTCTCTGTTCCCTCACCGGCAAGGTCAGAGAAAAATGGAAATAGCACGTAAACATGAGAGAGACGCCGAGAGACGAGGAGGGCGCAGAGAAGTTCCGCCCTTTCAGGTCGTGGAAAACGGACTATATTTCCGCATTAAAGGGGCTCGTGAACCAAAAGTATTCAGCAGTTTATTATTTCACTGCATTTTGATCGATGGACCTCTCTATCTATATTTGGTTTCCTTGAGCTTCTTCCACCTCGACTCAAAGTAAATATACACTTCCGGGCATTTCCCATGTTATGAATGGAAAACAACGTGTGTTTCAGTCGGTCTGCCGGACCCGCCGACGCACGTCCAAGTGGAAGTGGGCCCACAGCCGGGCACGCTCCTCGTCTCCTGGAAATCGGTCACAAATCAGCCGAAGCCGCCGTCCCGCGCCGCCGTCCATTCATATTTGATCTACGCCGACGGCAAGAACATTGCCCAGGTGCCCAACGAGACAGGTAGGAATTCTTTCTTTCCTTCTTTTTTGACCCCCGGAATCGATTTCTTGGGTTTGGAAGCCAGTAGGTCCTGTTTAAAAATGTTTTATTGGCAAAATTTGACTTTCAACTGATTCTTTAATGCTACAGGAGTTCCCCGATGATTCAACAGATTAATCTGACGCCTTCAAATGGACCTCAACTTTTTAAATTCGAAAAAAAGTCATAAAAATCATATTTTTACTTTCTCTGATATTTACAGTTTGAGATAAAAAGCTACTAAAACAAAAAAAAAGAAGAAAATTACTCAAAAAAAGAAAAGGAAAAATAAAAATGTTTTTGTAGGTTTCGAAAATTTCACTTATAACTCTTTCGTTATAACTTGAACCGTCTGGTCTCTCTGCTCTCTCTTTTCTCTCTCCCGACAATCTCATTATGACGTGCTCTCTTCATTTTTCTCTGACCTCAGAGCGAGAGAAAAGAGACGCAGAGATGTCAGACTGTTTCAAGTGGTGGTAATGGACTAAATATGCTGTTAAAAATTACGGCGTCTTTATAGGAGCATGGGTAGATTTTATGAAGGTCTCGAGGCGAAAAGACTTTTTTGAGATCTTTTCGAGTTCAAGTTTGTTGCGTCTTCAAAAATGCCAATAAAATAGTTCAACCTATCGTTTCTGTTTTTCTCTGTGCCCTCCTCGTCTCTCGGCGACCCTCTCATTTTGACGTGCTATTTTCATGTTTGTCTGACGTCACCGGTGAGGGAACAGAGAGACGCAGACACTCTAAAGTCGTAAAGTAGCGGTGAATGGACTATAGCCTTAAACATGCCAATCAAATCATACAGATTTTCCAGAAATGTTCTGAAAAAAATGATGACTTTTTTCACTTCAGTTCAATATATTCAATTTTCCAGCCGACCACGTCTTACTCCGCCTGGCTGACCTATCCGACGACCCTCCGATTTTCATAACTGTCAGGACAAAAACGAAAGAAGGTACAAGAAGTCCTCAGAAATATTCACCACAAAATTGGAATTTAGGCGCAGTTTCATCAGACTCGAACGTGGCCCGAGTTCCTCGCACCCCGTACAACCAAGGAGTCCCGGGTCCGATCGTCGAGAACCCTCTGCTTCTCTCGCAGTCCCAGCAACCTCCGGCCTCTCTCCAACAGCCCCAACTCATCGACATGACCTCCTCGTACCCCTCCTACACGACGGCAAACCCGACGGGCATCTACGGGCAGACGATGGTCCCGAGCGCGCCCAACCTCATGCTCAACGGACACCTCCCGACGGCTCCCTACACCGCGCCGTCACGCCTCGTCGGCGCCACCGGAATGATGACGTCGTACCAACAGCCGACGTCGGCCGTCGTCCAGCCCTTTGCCACGGTTCCGCCGCCTCCGACACAGCAGAGTCATCCGCCGGCCACGTCTTACTCTATCTATGACAGGTGGGTCGTTTGGCTTGAGTCGTCGGGAAAACTTCTATTTTTGGGCTAAGACTTGCTGTAAAAGTCATACTAAATATATGGGCATCGTAAGCTTCACATAAAATCTTGAGATGCTCATTTGAAGTTTTTGAAAATTGATTAGAAGATTCCTTGATGTACCAGATGAAGATCTTGAAAGTCTCATCCTGCCCAACTTTCGAGTTTTTTAGGAAAGGACCAGGTCAACAAAACTCCTCAAAATCCGTAAAATCGGCGTGGGCAATTTTAAGCTTTGAGCCCTTATTTCTCAATAAAAGCTGTGTGGGTTGAAACTTTCAGTACCTTTTCTTGGTCCATTGAAAAGTGTTCGGGCCAATTTTCAAGGAATTCCCAAATCTAAAGTAAAATGACCTTCCTCCTGAGAAAGTTCAACCAACTGGCCTAATTTAGACCTTTTTAGGGTTTTCGTAAAGTTTTTTCAAGAGTTTTGTATAGCTCCGACTTTTTTTTGTGTCTGCGTCTCTGTGTTCCCTCACCGACAAGGTCAAAGAAATATGAAAACAGCACGTCATTGTGAGAGGGTCGCTGAGAGACGAGGAGGGCGCAGAGAAAAAAAGCAGTCGCGAGAAACGAAGTAGAAAACTAGAAAATTATGTTTAAAAAAATGATGAATTATCAACTTTACCTAATATTATTTCTTCAGAAGCGTCCAACCGAACAAGGCCCAACTGTTAATGTCCCAACCTTCAATAGCGAAAATTCCCGCTCAAATGCCGCCGGTAATATTTTCCCATTCTTTTCCGAAAAATCGTTATCTTTGAGGCCTGGAAGACCTCACAAATGAGCCAATACTACACGTTCCATCCGAGTTTCCTTCACACCGAACCGTCAGGACCTGAGGAAAATCGACCGTCTGTTTTGGAAATGGAAAATAGGTTCGTTTTGTTTTTTAGGACATGAAAGTTCTAGCGATATGCTCGGTAAAGCTCCGGACTTTCCTAGTAACCACTTGAGGGGACGGACGCCGCTAAAGGGATCACTTGAAATGATCAGAAACGTTTAGTTCGCGTTTACGAATACTCTTAGTGATCACTTAAGTGGAATTTAAGGTGAACCTGTGAAAAAAAAAAGAAGTTAATCCTTCCGCAAGTCGCGCTATTGAAAATCTGAATATTATTTATTTTAGCTATCTGATGCGACACCGACAGTCGGAATGGGCCAACGCCCCAGACGCAAGGGCTCGAATCGAGGCCTACGCCCGGGGAATCGGAAGAGCCGGCAGTGCCGACGAAAGAAGTGCTGGACCACGACATCGCCTGGTACCCCCGCGGTTAGCCCGGGTGAAGAGCGAGAGCGGGTTCGGCACCCGAAGCGAGCCCGATCTCCGACCTCCCACCCTAGATGACGACTGTCGATGGTGAGCATCACCCTTTCTCAAATAAGCATGTGGTTCGGTAACGGATTTTAGGGAAAAAAATTGGCTTTAAAAAATTTTGCAAACGTCAGACAGTCTGAAAATTGGCTACAATTTAAGAATTCCTTTTTTGAAAAAAACCATGTTGATAACGCCACCCCAACTTCAAGCTTCGCTGATCATTTTTCGAGTAATTCCTTTTCCAGGTTCGTCGCCCTCTTCGACTACTCCCATCACATGTCGCCCAACGCCAACGCCGAAACCGAAGAACTCTCGTTTCGGAAACACCAACTCATCAAAGTAACACCCCCGCTCCATTTCATCATCAAGTCCAAAATGTCAGGTGTTTGGCGACGTCGACCCTGACGGCTTCTACACCGGCCAGATCGGCAGCCGCGTCGGCCTCGTCCCCTCGAACATGGTCATCGAGATCGCGAAAGACGATCTGGCGCCGAGGAGAACCGTGACGGCGGCCGCCGCCGAGCCGACGCTGAGGAGGATGCGATGGGGGAGCCTCAAGTCGAGGAGCTACGACCATGCCGGAGACCGAGTTTCGCATCACAGGTCGGGGTGAGATTGAACTTTCAGAAAAACTTGAAAAGCTCAAGCAGACATCACAAAAAAGAAAAACTGATCTCTTAGTTTCTTTCAAAAATAGCTATAAGTCCCATCATTTTATGCCTGTATGATTTAATTATCATGGTCAAGTTCCGAACTTCAAGTTATTGCTCAAGCTCCGCCCCCAACAATAAACCAATCAGAGAACGAGCCATCCACAGAGCTTTTTCGAATGACGTCATTGTACTTTATATTAAAAATCTGAACAGAGTATAGTTACTTAGAACGGTTTTTGACGAGAGATTGATTTTTTTAACTTTGAATTTTGGTAAAATTCGAAAATCTCGTGAACTGGAGGACTAGAAAGTCAAGGATGGCAAAAAAACGAAAATTTTTGATTTCATTTTTTTTTCCAATCATTTTATCATTGGATATATCTTTAAAGCAGTAAACAGTTAGAGACTTTTTAGCGATTTTTTTTTGAGTTTCTTCTTTACTTCATTCGCACACCTTGAGACTGTTTTTCTCTGAACTCTCTCTTTTTTTCTTGATATTTTCACAATCCCTTGATATTGCTGAAGAGAGAAAAGAGACGCAGACAGGTCAGACGGTTCCAATTTGGGGCGATTAGGTTTTATAACCTGGATACAAAAAATCAACTTCTCATACCAATTCTTCGAAAAAAAGTCTACCCAATACTATAAAAAAAATCTGTCACAAGTATAACTCGGCCCATCCATCATCCGAAAAAGTCTCTTTGTGGCAAATTTAATATTCATTAAATTCCTTTGCAGAGCCCAACAGAACTACGCTTCGTTAGACCGACGAGACGATAGGCCTGAACGATCAGAAAGACATCGGAGGACCAACGGAAGAGCTGATTACGATTATAGGTATCGGAATAGATGATATGAGGTAAACTGGTGGATTTCAGTAGAAGAGACCACGATCGGGACCGCGACTACGACGATAGATACATGAGGGATAGAGAAGCGTCTAGAGAGCCCAGAGATCGAAGAGAAAGAGACATGCGCGACGATTATCGCAGTCGCGACAGGGACTACCGTGATCGCGACGACGAGGAGTACGGCCGCGACAGATATCGCGATCGCGACCGTGACCGCGACCACAGAGAACGCGACCGAGGCTACGACGATCGCATGCGAAGGCCGGAAGCCGCCTATTCCAGAGACCGAGACCCGTACGCTCCAGAATCCGGCTTCCGAAGAGACCGAAGTCAGCAGCCAAGAGGAGACGAAGCGTACCGAGAAGACCCCGCCAGAACCGTCTATGACTATCCGCCCGGAGCCCAAGGTCGCTACGAGCCGCAGATCCCGGGCTCGAGCAACCAGATGCACCAGAATCCCAGCCAGATGAACCAGATGAACCAACTCAGCAATCAGATGGGACAGATGCAAATGGGAGGGCCTTACCCAACACAACAGCCCCAGCAACAACAGCCCCAAGGCTTGGGAAGCTCCTCGGCTCTGGGCGGCATGGGCGGTGCTGGAATGATGCCGACGGTACCTGCCGAAGGGACTTTCAACGGCCTTCCGGTCCGAAAAATGGTCGCCAAGTTCGACTACGACTCGCGGCAGCTGAGTCCGAACGTCGACGCCGAGCAGGTCGAGCTGTCGTTCCGACAAGGCGACGTCATCGTCGTGTACGGCGAGATGGACGAGGACGGCTTCTACATGGGAGAGCTGAACGGTCTGAGAGGACTCGTCCCTTCGAACTTCCTCCAGTCGTCGCCCTTGACGACGCTGGGCCCGTCGCAGCCGACGGAGCCGATGCGGAAAGGGGTAGCCTTCTCCGACATGACCGCCGTCCGAAGGAACGCACCTGTCAGACAGGTAATCTGATAAAAAAAACTTATAAGGAAGGTAACTTCGGAGTTTCATTGGCCATAACTCTTCTTCATGTACCAGATAAAGAACCTGAAAATCTCATTCAAGGACATTTTTCCAGACATCTCAAACGTCGACCGGAGCCGCGTCTGGAAGCACGACAGCAGCCGCGAAGCCGGCGGCCAAGAAATCGACCGCCGGACAGTCGGCCAAGCCGCTCACCAAGAAGACCAGCGACGTCGGCAAGGTACGGTTGAATCTGGGAAACTTTTTAGTTGCCACTATAGGGGCTCGCCAAGGACTTGGAGAGGACACTGAAGTGGCCACTATTTTCCGTTTTAGTGGTCACTTTAGAGGTTCTCGATTTAGTGACCCCTTCAGTAGTTTTTCATCCAATATTATTATCAGTATAATTTTAAAACAAACAGATTGGACCAGTTATATTGATCCATTGACCCCTAAAGTGGCCACTAAAATTTTTAGTGGTCTAATAGTAGCACTTAAACCTCTATAGTGGCCACTAACTTGACTACTATAGTGACCACTAAAAATTTTCCCAGTAGGGTTTCTTCTAAGGTACATGCTTTGATCCCATTTGGGCTCCTTTTAAAATTTAGATTTTTTTGTTACATGCTCCTTCCAACTTTCCTGTTTCAGGAGCCATTTCTAACGAGAATCAATTTAATTTTTTTCAATGTGATAATGAACGGCAAAATGTTGTCTATAGGGGTAATCTTGGAGGCTTTTAAATAATGGACCACATTACCTCCCCTGTAGGGGCCACTAAAGCTTGCAAAGGTGACCCCTAGAGGGGATAATGCTAGGCTTATTGTTATGAACATATGAGGAGCTGAAAAAAAAAAATCAAAAGACCACTATAGGGAGCACTTGAGCTTTAGGGGCCAGAACGTAATCCCCTATAGCGACCACCTAAATTTTACCCCTAAAGGAGCATTTTTGCGCTTCTAGGGGATGTTTTTCCCCTAACCCCTGGAGGGACCGCTCTGCCGTTCCTAAGCGCTTCTGAATTCGAAAAAGAACCTCACTTCTGAATTAAAACTCGAATTTTTCCAGAATTCTGTGCCAAACGCGAGGAAAACGAGTACGGCCGTCAAGAAAAGCGATTCAACAGCTAAGGTAAAAATTAAAAGATTGAAAAATAAATAAAAAATAAAAATTTCAGAAAAAATGAACCTTCTGGCAGTTCTTCATGTACCAAGTGGCCTCTTCATTTGTCTTACCCCCCTATTTTCCCCTTCAAATTCTCTATTTATGATATTCTCTTTCTTTTTTTCAAGTTGTTCTTCGCTTATGTTATTTAATTCTATTTTCAATACTATTAGATGTTTTTTCTTTTTTTATCGAGTACATTCCGGTTCTAGCGGTTTCTCCTTCAAATTCTCTTGGCTTTCCGAAAGCTTTCGATCCGAATAGCAATAATTTTTGAGATCAAAGTTTTTTTATTTCTTTCAATCTTAAAAAAAAATCATTTTTTAAAAATATAGGTAACGAAAAAAATCTTTTTCAAAAGTCATAGTTTCAAAAAAATACTACATTTTTTTCTAATTTATTTTTAAAATTCAAGAACAAATCTTTTCCGAAATAAGCTCACGCATTTGCATTTTTATTATTTTTTTCCAATAAAAACTACTTTTTTTTTCTCTCAAAAAAAACACTGCTGTTTCATTGGAAAAATTCATTTATTTATGTGATAACTTATTCGTTATGTTTTCAATTATTATATGAATTGAAGAAAAAAAAGAGTAATAAAGATTTTATTCGTTAAAAGGAATAGAGACCGAAAAAAAAACCGTTGCAAAAAAAACCCGGTTGAGCAAAAAAAAAGTCCAGGAAATCAAAAAAAAATGCAAATTAAAATAAAAAAAAGATCATGCATTCACAGTGGACGGTCAAGGAATGAATTGGGATTTTTGAGAAAGTGAAAACTTTCTGAAGATATTAAAGGAGCAGGGGCGTGGCTTACTTGTATTGAAACTCAGTTTCGATTTATCTAATGCGTTAAAATTTTGGAAGCATGCAGAGACTGTCTGAATGGCTTCACGCTGGGCCTTTAAAATGATTTTTCGATTTTTTTTAAAAGTCTGTAGCTCCAAAATTGCATTCTTAGGGTTTAAAAGGCGCAGATCTCTTAAAAACGTCTTTTCGCCTCGAGACCTTTTCAAAATTAACCTTTCAAGAGCTTCAGAACGGATTTCCAATCGAAAAATTGATCTAGAGGTAACGTTTTCAAAGATCATTCGCGCTCCATTGATAAATTCAAACTTAACGGCTTCAAACATCGTCTAACCGGTCTGCGTCTCTTGTCGTGTCAACTTGAAAAAATGTCTTAAGCCATCGAAAAAATGGTCCTGACACGATCAAAAAGTGAGATAGCGCTTGGTTGGTAGAGAGCGCAGACAGGCCACATGGCCGTGAATCGCCTATAGCAAAGAGAGCGCAGAGAGATCAGGTCATTTCAATTTTTTTCACTGATCGGCGAGATCCTTCTGCCCGAAATAATTGGCGACAATCGTGATGAACATTGAGAACTCGAGAGACTCGGCTTTGCGGTCTTCCGGAAGCAAGGATCTGAGCCGACGGCACATCTTGGCGAGGTCCCGGAGAGCCGCGATGACGTCGGGAAGGAGCGGCTTCTCGACGACGAGCAGCAGGGCGAAGAGCCATTCCCGAAGGGGTCGCGAGAGTCCCTCAGCTTCTGCCCATTCCACCACCAGGGGAATCAGATCGTTCACCTGTTATCAGTCAATAAATCGACTTTTCTTTCACTCACAAGAAACTTAGGAGTTTCAAAGTGGTCTCTATAGGAGTTAGAGAGAAAAAGCCCTTTAAAAAACAAGTGGTCCCGACAGGGGTCTCGCTGAAGAAGAAAAACTTGATCAATTTATTCTATGTTCAAATTTTCCATTGAGAAACGCTCATTCATTATTTCGCAAGGAAATGCTTCTTTTCAAAGTTCATAGCGATAATCGACTAAAGGTTCCCTATATACTTTTGCGAGCTTTAGTGGCTCCTTAGGAGTTGGTAAAGTGAGGCCTAGAGGGGACCTTCCATGGTCCCTAAAGAACCACTCTGGAGTTTCTAAGTAGGCAATTTACTTCAAATTTTTGAGCTTTTTGAAAACATGATGTTCCATTAGAAATTAAATTTGAAAATATGGGATTTGCCGAAATTTTTGAAATTTCAATTTTTCGAAAATTCCAGAAGGCTAGATGAAAAGGATCCACATGAAATGGAAAAATACTTAGTGACCGCTTTAAGGTTTGACGTTCTAATGGTCACTATAGTGGTTGAAAAAGTGACCACTCGAGTGGTTGGAAATTAGTGGCCACTTTAAAAGTCTAAGTGTTACTACTAGAACACTAGAAACTACTAGAGTGTTCATTACACAAAACAGTGCCTTCTATAAAGATGGTTATAGTGGCCACTTTAGTGTATTCTCCAAGTAGTCCTTTAGAAACCTTATAAGTGGTCACTCAAGGTTGTTCCAGCAAAAAGAGAAAAAATCAAACATTTTTCGGCTTGATACTCTTGACGGTTGCTAGGGTCGGCGGCGTTCCCAGGTGGTTCGGAAAGCACGGCTTCAGGTGCTCGACTTCGGGAGCACAGTGCTCCAGAAGAGTCGAACGCCACAATTCTTCGTCGGTCTAAAAAACAGTGGGCTGTTAAGTTTCTCCTCTTATTTTCGGATTTACGACGATTCAGCTCAGATTTTTGAGCCTTGAAAATCTCAAAGATCCCAATTCCGATTTCGATATAAGCTATCAAAAAAAAAAGAACCGCAAAACTAATATTTGGAAATAAATGACAAAAAAAAGCTGAAAATCTCTCCCCAATCAATTTTTTGAATACATGTAGTACAAGTCAGCAAGTCAAGAAAATGTTCAAATTTGAGAAATCCGTCTTTAGTAAGTAAAATTGCGTTTTCTTCAATTTTTTATCTATAGTAAGAGATCAGAAGATCTGGCTCTTTTGCTGAGACCAGAAGCCGATGACGCAACGGACCGTCATCCTCCAGACGCTATTAAGGGCCATTAGCGCAGCCAAAACATAGGCGTCTGGCGCGAGGCAACCGCGCGGGCGGATTGATAAAGCCTGCGTCTTTGCGACCTAGCACAGTCCCTCGCCAGACGCCTTCCCATTCCAAAGACAAGAATAACTTTGTCTTTACAGAACAGGCGGAGCCGACGAGCCACGCAGCACCATCGCCATTCAAGCCGGAGCGGCCGTCTTGCTCCCTCGTCTCCAGCCCATCCCTTTCCCTTTTACTTTCCGGCATTTTTAGTCTGATTATCTGTAGGATTAATCATTATTATGAAAGGACTTTGTGCACTATTCAAATACCCGTGTTCATTTAATTAAATAGAAAAAATAGTCCATTATGGTCAGCAAAGACGGCGCAGTGGAAGCCGGAGGGGCAACTATAGGTCTGAGCTGGTGTGACATTTGACGGACTTTCCAAACTATGAGTAACACAATTTCAAATTATACTCTATTTTTTTTCAATTTATGGAATCTTACAATCGGCGGCCATTTGATCTTCAGCCTCGTTTTGTTCAGAGCCGACTGTTTTTCGACTTTTTCTCGATTTTCGGCAAATTCGGCGCTTTTCGCCAACTGCCATTCGAGAGAAGGTCGTGATGGGTCCTGGAGAATTTTCTTAATTTCGGGAAAATTTCTACAAAAACCTTGACGTCAAACATGGGTTCTCTCAGGTTGAGCCCATCGGTTCCGGCCCATTTTTTGACGGGTTTCGATGTCGACGGAGCGCTCGCCGTAACGACATCCGGACAGGAGTCTCGGCCGGCTCTTACCTGAGAGAAAAAATTATTCAAGAAATAAATTCATCATAGGTAAACTTAGGAACGCCAGGGAGGTCACTAGAGGGGCAACCTTAGGGGCTCTTGTAGGTACTTCTTTTGGGACCACTCTTCCTTCCCCTATAGGGGCCACTGAAGCTTGCAAAAGTGGTTCCTATAGGGACATGCTCGTTTTTTATCGTCATGACCTCTATGATAAGAAGCATCTCCATACGAAAAACAACAGAAGATTTATCGATCAATTTTTATCACTTACGGATTTTTAAATTTCAAACCTGGACAAAAAATAAAAAACCTCTATAGGGACAACTTAAGCTTCAAGGGCCTAGAGGTGAGGCCCTGAACGCCTATTGGGACCACCTCAATTTTACCCCTCTAGGGATCACTTTTTCGGTCTCTATAAGGGCTTTTTTCCTGCTAACCCCTTCAGTGACTACTCTGGCGTTTATAATAATCGATATATATTATTTACTGATTTCCTGCGAGATTGTTCCGATCATTGAAAACTAATGGATTTCTAAAAAAGTTCAGGAATTTTTATACGATAACAAAGCTTTACTTGATTGGGATTCGCACACTTTCGGTCAAATTTTCTTTTCAGTTTCAAAAAATACTCAAAAGTTTTTCAATCAAAATTCGTTTTAATGCAAATAATATACTGGACAAAGTCCAAACGACCTCAAAAAGAAGAGTCTGAAGCTCCTTTTAGAGTTCCTAAAAAGGTGTCAAAAATTTCTCGAAAAATCTTTTTTACCACCTTATTTTCTAACACCTCCTTAGAGGGTCCTTTTTCAGAAAAAGGCGCCTTTGAGGCCTTTCAATTTTTTAATTTTTTTTTTCCAAAAGTCCTGTTTTGAGATCTTTTGGATTTTGCCCGTGATTGCGTGTTTCAATTTTATACTCTATTAAAGTTTTTTACCGCCTAATATCCCTCATAACCTCTATATCCATTAAATGAAACACTTTAAGCGAGAGGAACCAAAAATATTCTATTTCCACTAGAAAAATGTGAATTTCAATAATATTTTGTGGCCTGTCAGCTAAAAAAAAAAGCGTTTCAGCTTTTTCAAAACTTCACCTGTCTCAAATAACTGGCGGCGGTCATCGGAGGGCCATTCAGATCCCCGATTTCTTCCTCTTCATCGACGCCTAGACAAGCTTCTTGGTCCATTTCAATCACTAAGACCTTGAAAAACGTCGAAAAAAATCAAAAAAACCATGTGAAAAAAATAGATAATGTTCTGTTCAAAGACAAACAGATTTTTAAATCAAAAAAATCTGGAAAAAAAGTTTGAAATAATTTACTAGCCTCAACACTAAAAAAATAAAAAAATAGAGCAAAAATAAATTAAAATCAATCTTCCATAAAAAGGCTCTAACCGATTGCACTGATGATAATTTGTACATAAATTACAGAAATAAATTAAAAGTGATCAATGTCGTGAGCAGAGATCAAGAAAACTGGGGCAAAATTAATCGGGAAAGGGTCACGAAAATGGTCAGAATGGGCTGAAAATTGTTACATAATAACTTTTTCGGAATGGAATTTAAAAAGAAGTCGGGAAAACGAGTGGAATGACGGAGAAGGGAAGGAGTGGCGTTGTTCTGAAAAATGTTCGTTAAAGCTGGAATTTTCAAATTTTCCTGAGATTTTTTGCCTTTTCCGAATTTTTTTGTCCCCTTTGTGCAATTTTTCCCCAGCATTGAAAAATTTTAAAAATTCGAAATTCAGTTTTAACATCATGCTACTGTTATTGACCTGTGGGAAAACTTTAAAAAAACATTTTGACAAAAAAAAAAAAGAAAATCAAGGTTTCTAGATTAATGTTTAAAAATACCTTATAATTAATTTTACGAATGTACTTATCACTTTAATTCAGTTTTGTGAACCTTTTGGAGTTATTCTGAAACTGGAAATTGCGTTTGTTACTTAAAAGCCTTTTTTAACGACGTTCCGCCCATTTTTCCTCCGTAGAGTTGAGTATGTCGTGTGCGAGCACCGCGGCGCTCCCGCGCAGAAAACTTACGTCTATCTTATGAGAAAATTTCGTCTCAAGACCCATGGCGATGCTGTCGCATGCGCCTTTATTATGCCCTGTTGTTTACGGTCTCGCCTCTGTAGTTTCCATGACGTCACTAGGTTTCGACTCCGCCCCATAAATATTTTTTTCGCCGCTAACAAAAACTTCGTGGCTGCTTTCATAAAAGTTATTTTTCTGCACACACTGAATGCGGACTTTTACATACAGTACTCTTCGGGAAAAAAATCGTTTTTTTTAAATGTAACGCCCATTTTTTCAAAAATATTCTTTAAACCTGTCAAGTTGCGAAGCGGCGGTCAAACATTCCGTCGCCTGGTCAGCTTTACCCAACCGCATGAGGGAGCATCCGAGTTGCTAAAAAAGGGGGGAATATTCCTCAAAGTTCCAAATTTATTTCCAAACCTGCCACCATTCACAGCAAAGAGGTTCAAGACGCACCAATTCTCTGAAAAAATGAAATGAATAACCTCCATAAATATTCTAAATTTAATATTCTCTTCAACCTAATATCTCAAGCTTCGAATCTGTACCATCAGAAAGTGAGAAAGATAACTAAATTTCGGAGAGTCAGAGATAATTTTTAAATTCACTGAATCACTTCGAATACGGTATTATTTTATATATTAAGATAACCTCAAAGTTCGATTTTAATAATGGTAAGTTCTAAGGAAAAATCCAGGAAAATTTCAGTAGTTTCATTCAATTCTTATGATCACCAGAGTAGTCACTAGAGGGACCACCTTACCTCTTCTATAGGAGAACTAAAGTGACCACTCTATGGAGTTTTAGTTAGTGACCACTCTAGGGGATCATGATAGCGTCTCTATATGTTTTTTCAGCTTCCAAATAAGTAAGAAAAATGAAAAACGTCCTCTAGGGAGCCCTATTTTTCCCCTAGGGGGTTTTTCTCCTCACCCCTACAGTGACCCCTCTGGCGTTCGTAACATCTTCCAATCTACATTCTTCATAAATCTGATTCTTTTTCCTGACCTGTACAAATGTTCAGACATCTTCAAATTGCCGTCGTGAGCGTACAGCTTGGCGAGATGGGACATTGTCGGGACATGGGCGGGACACAAGGCCAGGGCAGAAAGATAGGCGGCTTTCGCTTCACTTCTCAGTTTCGACGCCACCAACTCGTCTTCGATTTTCTCAGCTCTACAGTTGAGTAGACGTCCCTGAAGCCGAAGGAATTTTGTAAATATTTTCTATTATAGTCTGTGTACCACGACTTGGAATTTCACCAAACGACATTACGCTGTGCCGCTGCGCGCCTTTGCGAACCTTGGTCGCGCTTTTAATTTTTTTTATTTTTATTAAGGTAATCTACTTTCATGTGCTCCCACAGCAATAACAATCAATTGAAAGCGTGACCTAGATTCGAAAGACGTTTCGCGAACGCACGCAGCGGAACATCGGAATGTCGTTCGGTGAAATTCCAAGTCGTGGCACACAGACTATAGTTGAATTGATCATAGGCGATTCACGGCTAGCTTGGGACGCAAAAAAGGCGTCGTCTCTCTGCGCTCTCCACCTAGCAGGCACTGTCTCCTTTTCACCGCGTCAGGACCCATTTTCGATGGCTCAAGCCAGCCGTGAATCAGTTATACAAGAAAAAAGGAAAATCCAGAAACAAAAATGAGTGGAAAGAATACAGTACTGACCATCTACGACTCTTTTGATGATTTTTGAGAGAGTCGTCCAATTTTTTTTTAATTTTGTGAACGTCCTATAGTGGTCTCTCAAGGGGCCCTTTAGGGTTGCCTATCTAGTGACCAATCTAGCATTCCTAAGAATTCTCTTCCTGCGAACTTTACTCCAGATTTTTTTCCCTATGGCTGTTTTTTTTTGTGATTATTCTAATGTTAGAAAAACAAACGTTTCCTAGTGGAATGGGCTCATAAATTTGAGCTGAATCGTCAGAAAACCACCCAAATTTTCTATCCTCGTCCCATAATAATATTTCTAATAATATCCGATTTTTTCTATTCACCTTCAAGTACATGGCCTGCGGGGAATGAGGGAACAAATTGACGGCCTGTTCGACACATCTTCCGACTTCCGCCTGTTTTCCCTCGGCAAGGTAGAGCTCAGCCAGTGACATCCAAATGTCCGCCTGGAAATTGATATCCTGTTATTGTAACTTTTTTTCAAAATATTCGAGTTTTTTCTAAATTTTCTGAAGCTTAGAACCCTTGAAGTACTATCTTTTTGCAAAGTTTTCATAAATCTAATCGATTTTGCGACTCAGGCAGGTTATGTTTTCCAAAAACTGGATATTTAATATTTACCACGTTTTAATCGTACGTCGGAACTGCAGAGTGATTCCTATGGGGCCATTGAAGGTTTCCCTCTAGGGACCACTTCACCTCCCCCTCTAGAGATTTAGCTAGTGGCCTTTCTGAAAACTCTATAGGGACCACTTCAGCTTTGGGTACTTAAGGGTCAGGCCTAAACCCTTACAGACCACCTAAATTTTACCCCTATAGGGGCTGTTTTTCTCCCTAACTCCTATAGGGGCCACTGTGGCGTTCCTGAGTGAATCTACCTCATTTTCTCCATTTTCTAATTTAGATATTTTGTTAATTTCAAAAAAAAAACAAACCTGAGCCTTGAACTTGGACCAAACTTCGTTGATTCCGCCACAGCTGGCGCCACTATCGCTGGCCGTCGAAGTTCCGCCGACTTCAGAAGGGGCGACGCCACTTTCGATAACTCAAAGGGCAAAGATAAGTTCATAAAAAATTTGAAACACCGTGACCGCATTTGGAATGGCTCGAATCTTCGCGGTTGGTGATTATCATACTTTACACTTACAAAGAGATTGTAAAATAAAACAAAATTTGACGAAAAACCGCTGCATCGACTTTTTGTAATTATTAAGAAAGCAAAATTTTCGTCTTCAATAAATAATGATTCGACTAATCGGTACTTGAACTTTTTTCCTGTTTCTGAAACAGGGATCTCCAGAAAACATCTCAAAGAAGTTTTTGTCGCTTTATCAAATTTTGGATTATTTCCACTGTTATCCAGTAGCTCTAACGTTATTTTGATGCTACTCGCGCAAGTCGTTTCGCGGTCCGGCGCATTTTTTTCAGCTGTCCGTCAGTAACTTCAGGCTTTTCGATGCTTCTCGCGCAAGTCGTTTTCGGTCTGGCGCACTTCTATAGCTTAAAACGCAACCGTCACGCGCTGATTCATTCCACATGCGGCCACTTTTTTCAAATTATGGTTGATTTTGTCAGAATTAAATTCATTATATGTGTGAAATAAAACTTTAAAACTAAAATTATTATATTCACATGCAACTATAGTTTATTCTACACGGCTTGAAAAATTCTGACTACTCTGCGCTCTCTTCCTTCTCGGGGTTTTTCGAATTTTTTATGACCTCGCCAGAGAGAGAAAAGAGGGCGCAGACAGGTCAGACTGTTTCGAGGCGTTACAAGCAATTTTCAAGCTTTTCAGACTTGCATGAAACTTTAGGCAGAGCAAAGAAGTTCCAAAAATTAATTTTCTCTTTCGAAATTCATTAAATCATGGAATTTTTTGTCTGGAACTATTTTTCAATGCTCAAGGTTCCACACATATAAGGTCTCTGATCTAGTCGGTTCACGGCTGGCTTGAGCCATGTAAAAAAGGTCTTGACACGATAAAAAGAGATAGTATCAGGATTATGGAGAGCGCAGACAGACCACGCCCAGCCGTGAACCGCCTCTGGCATGCACTATACCGTGTTCAAAGTAATTCCTTGAAAATAGCCGTCAGAGAAGGAAAAAGATAACTAGAAATTGGAGAATCAGACATGAATTTCAATTTGGCGAAAATTCTTCTGAACAGGGAATACAAGTCAATAGCGTGATTCGCCCAAAGAAAAATAAATCTCAGGATTGAAACAGCCAACTCGAAGAAAACAAAAATTTCTCCTGTCAAAATCTACCGGAGAGATCGATGGCCGAGGCGGTGGTCGAAGTGGTGTTCAGCACCGGGGCCGTGAAGCCCATCAACTGCGCCGAGCTGATCAACGGCGTCACCGGAGTCATGTCTCGGCCCAACGATGGAGTTCCTTCAATTCCTACTCAGTCTGGCGAAATTCCAAGCAGGTTTCAAAGCTTTTCGAAAAATCTTTAGGATTTTACTGTAAAATTCGAATTTTAAAGATTTTTTCGTCTTTCTTTGGATGAAGACTTTCTGAATTTCCTGAATTTTTATATAAATTTTTAAAATCTCCGCTGAGTTTTCAAATCTGAAAATTTGACAGTTTTGAATCTGAAATTTGAATCCGAGCAATTCATAAAATTTTTTCTCATTTTCGAAAAACCTTCGCGATTTTTTCGTAAAATTCGAATTTCCAAATTTTTTCAATATTTCTTTGGGATAGAAGTCTCTATTTTTCTGAATTTTTTTAAAGGATTTTTTTGGAAATCTATCTTTCGGTGAACCTTAAAATCCTAAAATGTTAACCTCAGCTTGTAGAAACAGTTTTTCACTTTTTCCGAAAAATTCTCCAATGTTTTCTCAATTTCAAAAAAATTTCTTCGAAATTTTTTTATTATTTTACTTTTTTTATAATTTATCTTTCGGTAAATTTTTTTAAATCGTCAAAGGTAGAGGAAAATTTTTACTTTTTCAAGGAAATTCTCAAATTTTATCTTTCGGAGAGCTTTTTTTAAATTTTTTTCTGAATTTTTCAATTTTTCTACTTTAATTCGTGGATTTCAAAAAAACGTAGAGCCACTTTTTTTATACTTTACAAAATTTTTCCATTCAAAAATCATATTTTTACACATTACAACTTGAAGGACCGTCCATGCAACCGGCCTTTTCTTTTTAACCAATTTTTTTCTGAAATTTTTTTCCGTAGCAAGTGCATAAAAAAACTTTTAAAAAAATCCCTTTTTTTAACTGTTTAAAAGCTTTAAATTTTTTTAAACTTCTCAAGCATGCCTTAACTTTGCAATTAGAGAGCAAAAAAACATTTTTGCAAGCATTTTTTTAATATATATTTTTTTCAATAAGTTAACTATTATTTCAAGCTTCCTTAAATTATTCAGGCAAAAAAAAGTAGAAAAACTGTGAAACTATGCCAATTTCGGATGTGAAAAACAAATATTCGACTAATTAGGTATTTAAAAATATTTCGAAAATAGCTCAAAAAGCCGTTTTATAGAGGTTACTGAGCTATGACCGCCTGATTAAAATCAAAAAAAAATTTTTTTGGTTTTTCAAGTTTTTCATATAGGCATAGCTTTCACTGTAATCTTGTTTTTTTAGGTAAAGTTTTTTTCGCGGAACTGTCCCGCCCATCTCTAAGAGGGGGAGGAGCTTAAAAAGGTCAAATGAGCTTTTTTTAAATGCTCGTTCAATGCTCGAAAAGCTCAAAATAAACAAAATCTGAAAGAATTTCAATCTTTTTTGCCATTCACCAGTCTTGGTGCTGCCTTCTCTCAACAAGGTCGTCCCATCAGAAGCGTTCAAATTGGTCTGATTCCTGTCCTCGTCGTTCAGGACAACGAACGAGAAAGAATTGTCGCGTCGTTTCCAGAAATCGAGCAAATGGGAGCACGTGTCGAGGGATTCCTCAACTCGGCCTGCACAAATATCGTTGAAATCCGACATTTTTTTTAGGATCAGTACCAAATTTGGTTTCGATATGAAGCCGTAGGACAAGGAGGCCGTAATTGTTGGGAAAATCTTTCAGGGCGTTTACCACGAGTTCCAAGGCGCCCTGAAGAAGAACAATTTTTTTTTCGAGAGATTTTTGGAACGCCAGAGTGGTTCCAAGGCGCCCTGTATAGAAAAAAATTGTTTTTGAGGGGTCTTAGAAACGCCAGAGTGATCCCTATAGGTTCTTGAAGGTTGCCCTCTGATGACCACTTTGTCTCCCCCTATAGGGATCCGCTGAGGCTTGCACAAGTGGCCCCTATAGGGGCATGTTCTTAGGAAAGCTTAACTAATGCTATTTTACAACTAGGAAGGAAAATGATATTTTCTAACTTTATAACTCCTTCAAAACCTCTTTCAAAGTTCTCTACCTGAACTTAATATCATTTAAAATTCGGTAAATTCAAAAATCCTTATTCTAACTTCTTATATGTAGTTTTTTGAAACTTCCTCCTTCCTCAAACACTTTCAAAATGAAAAAAAAGACGTTTTTGTTTTCTCTGAACACTTTCAACTCTGCAGTTGGTATTTTTCCAAAATTTGGTCACTAAATTTTTCGATGTACTTTCCAATAATGCCTTGTGAGCTAATTTTCTAAAACCGAGCCAAAAACGGTTTTGAGACCTTCAAATCGCCATGAGCCGTGAAGACCAAGGCGAGAAGCATGATGGCGGCCGGCTGTTCGCTGTTCAACTCCAGACTTCTGGCACAGCGTTCTCTGGCCGCTTCCAGGTCACGCGCTACAAAAATAAATCAACAGAAGTCTTTAAAAAAGAGATATTTTTCTCAAGGTGATGGTTGAACTTTTTACAGCTTTTTTACAGTGTACCGTGACCCTTCGGAATTGAAAAAAACGTTTTGTTGGCAGAAACTTTTCCTTTCGAGAAATGAAGGTTCCAAGTTCGAAAACCCGACTTTAGCTCATTTATCTAAATTTTCAGAAAAATTCCAAAGCCAATAGTGAAATTTCTTTCCTAGAAAAGATTTATTCCAAAATGGAAAATTATAATTTTATCATTTAATTTTTTCTTGCTATTCCAGGGTCAGCGGCAAGCGGAAAAAAAGGATAAAATGTCTGGCAATCGATAATTTTTTCGTGGTATTTTCATTATTCGCATTTCACTATGACGATTCATAGTTCCAAAACTAGGCAATTTTTGGAAAAAATGGGTATTTCGAACGTTTCAGGCATCAAAACTTGACTAAAAAAGAGTGAGAATATTTTTCTCCTTTCCTGGATTCAGGAGATCTCAACGATTTTAACAAAAATGCAACTATCCACTAGAAAATCCATAAAATACGGACAAATCGCATGATAAAGTGCTGCATAATACAGGGCCAAGTAGTCGTGGGCGTCTGCGGCGACGACGTCTTCCATGAGTCGGAGGGTCTTCACCAACTCGCTCCTTTTCTGCTCCCAAGACGTTCGTTGCTGGGCTCTTTGTCTTGAAGAATATAACTTTATTCTGAGATATTGAAATGAGGAAACCCCATGGCGATCGCTTGAAGAAGCTGACAACGCGTCATCAGAAAGGCCTGTTGGCCGTCTTTTCCACAGATCGCAAGAGCTTTTTCCGCGTGTGTTAGAGCTAAAATTAAAACTTCAAAAGATGGCGTTCAAAATCTTGCTGTCATTTAGCGAAAGAAGTATCAATCTGCGTCTAAATCTGCTTTTTAACACAGTATCACTACAGCGCTTGATCCTTTTTGAAGAATAATTTATTCAAAAAAAGTCAAAGTCAAAAATGCAACTTTCGAAGAACGGTTTTAAAATTCGTCGAAATTTGAATTTTATCCATCTCTACCATTTTCTTCAAGTTCGCCTCCGAAAAGTAGTTTGGAAAAAAAACCATTCCTCTTTTTTCTGTCCTAGCCCGCTTTTTGAAACTTCAAAATTCGTTCTCTGCGCCCTCCTCGTCTCTCGGCGACGCTCTCATTTTGACGTGCTTTTTCCTGTTTCTCTGACCTCATCGATGAGAGAACAGAGAGACGCAGACACTCTAAAACTGTCAAGCCGGACGGACTACAGTACCGTCAGAAAGAAACATTAAAAAACATTTTGTTCACAACTTCCTCATAAGGTGCTCAATTTTTTCGAATTTCTATAAAGCTGCGTTTTTTCTGCAAACTGAAACTCCACCAGAGTTTTGCAAAAAACAGTTATCGTAATTCCAAATTCGAAAGTTCCAGAAAGATTAAACAAACAATTTGTGATCGAAGAAGCGTTTTTTCGTATCTTTTCTAACACAACTATAGCTGATACACGACTGGCTTGAGCCATCGGAAAAAAGGTCCTGACACGATAAAAAAAAGAGAGTGTTTGGCTGGTGGAGAGCGCAGACAGGTTAGCCGCGAAGCTATATATGTAACAATATCAACCTTCTACTTTCCCGCAAGACTGTTTCAAACAAAAAAAAAATATTTACCCGAATCATATTGGGAGAAGCGCTCGATGTAGAGCTGCGAGAGCATCATCAGCTCGATGGCAGAGGAATGTTCGGCACAGGACGAGGATCCGTCGTTGGACGACGTCGTCGAGACGGCCTGTTCCAGAACGCGCGCGGCTCGAGTCCATCGGCCACGGCAGAGTAGAGAAAGGGCCAGTTGTTCCCTTCATTTTTACATATATTTTCTTTTTCAAGGCGACTTTTTAGTCCCGCTCGGTGAATTTTTTGATGATACTTTTAACAACAGCCGGAGAATTGCACATAGACAGTCACAGAAGAGGAAAAAAATCTTATCGATAATCTTTTTTTTTCCCTCGAAAATAGCTTTAAGGACTTCAAACGACGCTTTTTTTCACTTTTTCTGCCTAGGAGACAATTTTCGTAGCCTGAATTTTCATGAAACAAGCTTTTTTTTTCGAGTTTTAGAGCTTTAAAATCTTCAAACGACGCTTATTTCTATGATTTTCGCATTTTTCTCAAGAATCAAAGGGTATATATCGAGGAAAAAAACTCGGAAAAAAATTTTTTTTTCCGTTTTTTTGAAGAAGGTCATCATAAGGTACACAATTATCCTCAAAACTCCACCAAAAGCTAGAAATTAGTCAAAAAATCAGTGAAACTGACCACAAATAAGAATCCTGGTTGACGAACTTCATGGCTCGTTCATAAATTGTGGAAAGAAGTTGGTATTGTCGGAGTGAGGAGAGGATCTCCAAATAATTTGTTTCAATTTTTAGAAAATCACTTTTTTTTTTTCGCTTAAATCGTGGTCGCATTTGGAATGGCTCAACGCTTACAGACTTTTTTCTAAATAGGAAGCTTCAAAATGAAAAATATTGGAGAAAATCATTTTCTTGAAAAAATGCCGTCGTGCGCAACTCATTTCAGGTCGGATGCGTTTTTGAAAAATCATTTCAAAGTCGAGTCATTCCCAGTGCAACCATGGGCTCTAATAAAACAGTTAATCATTGAAAATTTATTGAAAAGTGAAAAAATGTTTCCAGTTTTGATTATTTTCTTGGTTTCCCTCCATTTCTAATTTTTAGGAATTTTTCGCTGTAAGACCCTGAAACGAACCAAAGTGAGCAGATTATAAACGGATTTCGCGTTTCGGACGCTTTGAATTCGTGAAACGGACAAATCTTCGGATCTCGATAACACGACGTCGCGAGTCACCAGTACCTGGAAAATATCCTTTGAAACATGAGAAAAAACATATTGAAACAGAAAAGTTCGATAAATACAAAAAAAAATCACCTCACTGATCATAAGCAGCAAAATAATCTCTTCAAGTCGTGAAGATGGGGAGAAATAGCCTCGTTGTGATCCGGTATAAAAAAACTGAAAAAAATCATACTTTTTTTCTTGGATTTTTTTCAAGAAGTTATTCGATTGAAATGAATAAAGATTTTTCAAGCGCCAAATCAGTACAAAAATTCTAAATTTTTTTAAATTTTTTTAAAAAGAAAATTCCCAGCGGAAATCATAAATCTATGGCCAATTATACTGGAGAACACAAAATTTCTTGAAAACTTGAAAAAAATTTCAAAAAAATTCCAGGCTAAAGTTATCTTTTTTTCCACTGAAAACTGGAAAATCTTTGTCTCATTTATTCAAGAACACATTTTTTTAACCCGGATCAATCAACCGATTTTTTTGGATTTTAAAGACCTTAATTTTTGAACAGGAGGTTTATGAAATCCTTATTTTCTTCAAAAAAAATGATGATTGCTCGAAGTATTTATTTAAAAAATAGTGTCAATTTCAAAATCCAACTCCAGGAAAAAAATTCAATTTGAAGCTTTATGAAACCAAAGCCTTCAAAAAAAGGGTCAAAACTTTTTTTCTCAAAATCTATTTGAATCTAATTTATGAGCTCCAAATTGATCTTTTGAACACCTCAAATTCTGGCTCTTCATGCTGAGCGCCTCGCTGATCGCCCGATCGCTGGGGATCGCGGCGCGAATGAGGAGTTCTGCGAGTTGTCGCGACAACTTTTGCTGCAGTCGCTCGCCGGTTGACTTGTCGCCGAGGCAGGTGATGATTCGCCGGTACCTTCAAAAACTTTTCCCTTATATTTTTCGGTTTAAAAAAGATCTATTAACCTTTTTTTAGCGTTATGTTAATGAATCAACTGCCTATTTTATATGAGAGAATTCAAAACGAAGAGTTAATCGAGAAAAAAACTCGGAAAAATACTAGCCATCGGGAAGTTTCCTAGCGATATGGAAAAGTCGACGTTCGAAAATTCGCTGATCTTTATTTCATTCCAACAAAAATCTCCCTTCGAAGTGCGAGGCCTGTATCTGTGCATGCGCCTTTTAATATGCCAGTTTTATTATAGACGATTCACGGCTAGCTTGGGACTCAAAAAGGCGTGGCCTGTCTGCACTCTCCACCAACCAGGGCACTTTCTCGTCTCTTTTCGTGGCAGGACCCTTTTCGCGATGGCTCAAGACAGCCGTGAATTAGCTATAAAGGCGCACAGAGACAGGTCGCGCGCATCGAATGGAAGGATTCTTTAACGTGGAAGAAAACAAAAATCGTGAGAAGCTGGAGCGGAATGAGCTATATCACATTTAAAAAATACTGATTTCCAAATTTTCGCTCCAACTCACCTTTGAAATCACTGTAAGTTATGCTCCAAGCTACTTTTTGATCCAGAACTCAAGTTACTGTTTCACAAATACTTTTAAATGGTGAATCAACGTGAATATGATAATACATATTCCTTTCTATGTCGAATACAGTATATAACCTGTTCAGATTTTGAATATCAAAAACAATGACGTCATTCGAAAACGCTCTGTGGATGGCTCGCTCTTTGATTGGTTTAACGCACAAGTAGGGGCGGAGCTTGGAAAATGACCAAATTCAAATTTTTAATTCACCAAAATTCTTCTTTCGTCTTTCACTTATCGATTTTTTTCATTTAAACATTTTTTTCTAATCAAATAAAAATTTTTTTAAATTATTATTATTATTATAAAACAATACTAAAAAAAATTTCTTTGATCCTGAACTTTCTCAAAAAAAGGCTCGAACAAAAAAAAATTTTTAAAATTCCTAATTGCATTTAACTTGAACCTTTTCCCACACTACTGTAAATAAATAGGAATTCGGTTGAAACACTAAAAAAATTGAAGAGCTATTGACTTCGGCTTTATCGAAAAAAATAACACTAAAAAAATAAAATTACTCAACTTAGCGAATAAATATTAAGGTTAAAAAAATATTTAATTTTTGAAAAAGAAGTTGTTTTTTTCTCTTTTTAAAGAGAACTTTTGTTTAAAAAAATTTGTTTAAAAAAACGCATTTTTTTGAAAAAAAGAAAAATCCCTACATCAAGGATAGTTTCCCATTTCTTTTTTTCAACTTGTAAACTGAAAAAACCATTCGATCCCCTCGCTTCCATTTTTTTCTTCTGTGCAATCGTATCTTTGGCCCGAAGGACAGCCACTCTTTCCAAGCAGCATTCCAAGATTTCTCCTGAAATTTAAATTTCCTTATTTTTCTCATTATGCTTCTTAAAACTTTTTCTAAATCTTAACTTTAAAAAAAATATCTATTCAAAAACGAACCAAGCTTCTCGGCCGGTTTCCCCGTAACAGAGCTTGTGCTGACATTTGCTCCTAAAAATCCTCATTTTCCAAATAAATGAATCCATTTTTGTCACCTTTCGGAGCTTGCGCAGAAAATATCGTCTTTTCCAGTTCATTGATGAAAGAAATGGCCAATTCGGCGGATTTTTCAAAGCAAAAGAGGGCTTTTTGTTCGTAGGAAGTGTTGGATCCGACGCTTTCCGAGCGGGATCTTGAACTGACTTCCATTGTTTCCAGGCAAAGTCCTGAAAATGAAGACGATGAGATTTTTGACAAGCTTCAACGAGGTGATTAAAAAACAAGCAACTTTTTTGACTTTTTATCATTTTTTTATTAAATTTTTAAACGATTTGGGAGAATTCGTGCGGGTATATAATTAAAACCGTTTCTTTCCTATTAGTTTATGCTTTTTATTTTTCGAGATTTTTACTCCATTTCTTCGAATTTGAGCGTATTTTTCAAAAAAATTTGATTTTATATGGACATTTTGAAAAAAATGATGAACTTATTCATCAAAAAAAGTAACATGATTAAAAAAAAAATTTTTATCCAAATATAAATCTAGACGAAGATCCGAAAATCACAGATTTTCCAGAATACGATTTTTCTTAATTAGAAGCGACTAAAGGACATACACGAACACTTTTTTTGTATTAAGAATCTTTTATCAAACGTATGACACAGTGATTTGATTTTAACTACCAATAATCCCAAAATTCTCTTTTTCCAATGTTTCGTCGTTTTGTCAACGTCCATTATTTTTTTTAAATGTTTGCATAATGAGGAAAATTATTGTAACTCAAAAAAGAATATAAATCTTAGGAATCTCTCTGGAATTAAATATTTTTTATCACTTTTTATCACATTATAAGTGCAGTTTTTTTAACGTTCCTTCAGGCAAAAGTGACTATTTTTTTGATGCTCTAAAAAAATCAATACAAATACAACATCAAAAAGTTTTTTATTACATTCAAAGACTAGAAAATGCTTACAGAACTTCAAAATTATTTCCAAACCCTTTTTCTCAATATTTCATACCTTTAATGGCATAAGCTTCGGCGACAAGACGAAGAGCTCGGAGTGTTCGAAACGGCGTATTCGCGTTTTCCATTCCAGAATTGTCAATGTCGATCAAAGACTTTGAAAAATGAGTTCAATACAGGTAATTTTTCTAATTATTGTACCTTTTGATACTCGGCACAGGTATAGTGGAGTTTTGAAAGCAGAAGATTCGCTTCTAGAATTGCGCTTCCGTTTTTTCCGTGCTCTCTGAAAATCGGGAAAAAATTTCTTTCTTTACTGTTGATTTTCAAGATATTTCTGATTCTTTCTAATCCGCCTGAACTTTGAAAGATCACTCAATTTTTTGAAAGATCGGTGAGATTTTTCTTTAAACATCAGGGGGAAACTTTTCTCTTCAGTAATATCTCTCAAAATTTTTTTCTGAAACTATCAAAAATGCTCTCGAACTTTAAAGAACATTCGCAAGGTCTAACAACTTTATTTATTAACGTTTTTTTATTTAAAATTGTTATTTTTTTGAGCAATTTTGCTAGAAATCTTTTAAAAAAATGGAAACTATTTCACACCATAAATTCATCAAAATCACAGGAACTAATATATTTTTCGTACTCGAACCAAATTATTTCTAAAAAAATTCAGAAACCGTAAAACTTTCTTTTTGTCTTATCATCAGTTTCTGTTCGTGAAGCAATATTCAAGTGAGTGAAAATTGTTGAAAAAAATTGAAACAAGCAATTTGAAGAAAATTTTGAAAAAAATTTTTAGCTTAATGTTTTTTTCCTGGGAGTTTATATCTTTTTTTCCGAAACGGATTAGAAAGATAACAATAAAAAAATCATTGAAAAACCGATAAAATCTTCATCTTGCTTTAAAAAATGACAAAAAAAGAAGCTTTTCGAGTATTTTTACAGGTTAACTTTTCATTTTGAAGAGCTTCTTCAGCTTTATTCAAGTCCTCAAATAGAATTTGTCATTTCAAAATGAAACTGTACCTAATAGTCGTGTAAAGCTGCGACTCGGCTCCTTTCACTTTGTCGTAGTGATCTTTATTGGGCCGTAGGATTTCTCAAAACATCAATTTATCCCAATTTTCGACCCGAAATCCACCTCCTTGCTGCTCCAAATATGACTCCAGTTGAACTTCTCCGAGTAATAATTCGTAGACATCTTCCAAACCGGAATGTTTCGACCTCACGGCTGGAAGAAGTTCCGTGAGGCGTTTCCAGTTTCCTGAAGCCTTTTTCTTCATTTTTCATAGCTTTTTTATTCTGAAACCGTCAGTTCGAGCTCGGTCGACCTCCGCCTCGAGGCGACTGCCTTTCAACTTGCTCATCTGGCTTTTACCTTCAAAATTCTTTTTTTTTTTTTGAACATGTTAGAAGTAATTGGAACGAAAATCTCGTATAATAATTCAGTGTGTTTAATCAATATGAAGGGTGAGAAAGTAAATATGAAGAGGAAAAATTCTTTTTTTTTTTTCAAGATGAAAAAGAACCCCAAAAGCTTCCTTCAAGAGCATTTTTTCTGCATCTTTTCCGTTCTTTCATCTTGAAGCTTTTTCTGATCGAAATAATATCAAAATGCAGTTCAAAAACTTCAGAGAAAGCAGAAAAGTTACTTTGAAGCTGCAAACATAAAGCTCAAAAATACTTTCTCGATCATTATGTGGGACATTCCAAGCTAATTTTGAAGTTCCTAGTTTTCCGTTTAGCCTGTACTCACTTTCCTCTTCACAAAAAAATCCAATTCATTTTTTTCACAAAGAAAAAAAATAATTGAAAATTTGAAAACAGAAAATGGGATAATATTCATCTAAAACTGTACTGAAACAAAATTTGGTTTGAAACTACCAGATTTTTTTTGATTTTTTTCGATAGTACTTACTTCTTCTGAAGCTGCTGGTGATTGAATTTGGCATAATTTTAGCAAAAAACCGTTGCCCAAGACAAGAAACAGAATCCGAAAACTAAGACGCCAAAAATTTCCATATCACTTTTAGAATCAAACTACACTCCATTTCCATCTCACTTTGTCATTTTTCTTCATTCCTGAGACAATTTGAAAATATAATATTTTTCTTCTTTAACCATTGTCATTCCTCATGAGAACTTTTAAGCTTGAAATGAACTATTTTTGAAGATATTTCAAGGAAATAATGGAAAAACTACCATTTTCAACTGACTGAGGACTTTTAGCTATTGCCGTGTTCAAAGTCATTCCGCAGAATACAAAATAGCCTTCGGAGAGTGAAAAATATAACTAAATTTTGGAGAGTCACGGAGGATTTCGACATATATTTGAAAATTTAAAAAAAACCACCATGCTCCAAAGATATCTCCATCAGATTCTCAACAAATAGAACAGATTTCATGCTTCGGAAAAGCTAAAAGATTTATTAAAACTTAACAACTGTGAAAAACAAACGGGACAGAAAAATCTAATTAAAATGATAGGAATATTGATAAATGGAATTAGACAGATCCAGAGTTCATTTTCTGAAGATGCTCGACCATGAAGTTGCTGGCGTCGATCATTCGGTTCACGCAATTCTGAAATCGAAAATTTTCCAAAAAACGTCATTATCGGTATTATTTGAAGGCTTTCAAAACGAGGAAAAATCTCAGAAAGGATATTTTTAACAAAAAAACCCATTTATTAAAAACTCTTGTTATATGGCTTTTTTTCAAAAAAATTTTCACTATAAGGATATTTTTTTGAAAAAAATTTGGACGAAATAAAAGACGACCGAAATATAATATTCCAACAGAAAAATGTCTGAAAAAGTTCAAAAAAATACATTATTTTTTTAATATGATAAAAAAAGCCGGATGAATTTTTTTAAAAAAATCTTCATTTTTTTCTCTTATAAAAAAATTTTTTTGGAGCTTTTTTTCATGAAACTTTTAAAAAAATGGAGCTTATAAAGTGTTTTGAAAGGACTTTTTCAGAATTCAAAGCAACCGTCAGAGAGCGAAAAAATAACTAAACTTTTGAAGAGTCAGAGATAATTTTGAATTTCGCTGAAACTTCTTTGAGCATTACATCAGGAAAAACTATTTTACATCTTTATATAAGAACATTTAAAAATATTTCATTACCTTAAAGGTTCTTCGAAGCTGTCAGAGGTTCTTAATGCGAAAAATACAAAACCTGGATGCAATTCTGCGTCTTTCCGTCCATCTTGCTTGGCGGCCGGTAGTCGGCGAAGCAAATGTCCCAGCAACGTCCAGTCAAAGTGTGGACCTTGACAAAAGTCGTTGAGAAATAAACAAGTTCACGAGGAAAAACCTGCTCAGTGAACTTCTGTCGCTGAGTTTCAGCCTGGAGCTGCTGGAGAAACCGAGCGAGCGACGGATCAACGTCCATTTTCTACAAAAAATTAGTTAGCAACTAAAAAAGAAATGAAATTTTCATGAGAGCAACGATAAATAGTGTTATTTATTTACTCATGTACAAAGTGAGAAAAAAATAAATAAAAAGTAATGGACCGGCTTTTTAGTAATTTTTTTACGAATGGCTTTCCGGATTGCGAAATTAATTAATAAATCGCAGTTTTTTTATAAGAAAAACGTATATATAGCTCTTTAAAAGGCGATCAGAAACACTGTCTGTGTGAAAATAACGACTATTTCAACAGACAAAGTTACTTCACAAAGCATTTTACCTGAAAAAAATCGTAAAAAAATTTATTCTAATTTACAAAAAAAGTCCTAACAAAGTTCTCTAAGCTTCATCTTTTTCTGTACGATATAAAAATTTTGTTACTTTGATCCGTTATAGCCCATTCCGTGCCAGCGCCTTTAAAATAACGAAAATTTCAGGCTTAATTAAAGACGCATGCAGATACAGACCACGAGTGTCGAAGAAAAGATCATTCATCTCGGAAAAAAAAAACGTGAAAAGATAACACCGAATGGACTATCACAATCACGAAAAAATCATAGGAAACACTTTTTTTAATCCAAAATTATCGTTGCAACGAGGCATCTTTCGTATAACTTCAGGTCTTTTGAGACTTCTTCGCCTTTAAATTTATCAGAAAGAAACTTTGAAGGAACTATCATTGTTAAAGCCGCACACAGTTCATATTTCATAAAGGGTTGAACAGAAATATTCCATAGATTTCAAACAAACACAAAAAAGAAACCAAACATGAATAAAATCTTTATTCTTCTCTTCCAATAGACTTTTACACCGTCCAGGGTGCATCTAATCTAGAATTTCTACGGTTCATAGAACTCTACTATCCAAAATATATACATATCAGGGCGAAATCTCTTCAGGAGAGTCCGTGGAAGCCCGCGGATCGGGACTGTTCATATTTACATCGATTCTGTCCGAATCGAGACCAGTCAGCATGGAATTGACGATACCAGGAGGGATATTGAAAGAACCCGTACAATTGATGGAGGAAAGTAGATGGCATTGTTGATAAATGTGACTAGAAGAGGCTAGCTGGGAGCTATACGAAGGCAGGGAGAAGGTTCTTGGGTGCAGGAGAAGTTGGTGGTCGGGTGGGGGGATGAATGAGGTGGATGGAGGGTTTCGAAGGGCCGACAGCATCAATCCTTGGAGTTCGCGCTCCTTTTCCAGAACTCTTTCTTCCAGGAGCAGTCGCTCGCTTTGAAGTCGGAGCCAGATCTGGAATTTAGCTGTTTTTTGAAAATAATATGAATAGATTAATGGAACCAACGAGATCAATGAGACCAATAAGATCACAATTTCTTTTAAACTTCGATTTTTTGAACTCGACTTTCGGCGCAGTGACTCTACATTTTCAATTTCAAGAAAATCATTTTAAGCCAGAATTTTTCAATAAAAAGCTCAATTTTCATGACGAAAAAAATGCTGAGACATACAAAAGAGCTAAAAAAGACATTTTTTTACAAAATTCGTCATCAGGACACTTTAAAAACACGTTAAAGTTTCAGGATTATCTCAAAAAAATTTCTTATGAATTGCTACTAATGCAAGATTGATATGTATATCATTTGAAAAATCGAAAAAGGACCGTTTTAAAACCGCCGCAAAGTAAAAATCCAGAAGATTGGGAATACATTTCAGACAGCTTGGGAAAAAAATTTCAGGGCTGATATTAAATTTTTAATTAAATAGCGGAATTTCGTTCTACAAATCCTATAAAAATATATCTGTTTGATTTTTAAATAAATTCATTTTTTTCCACAACTTTGTGTTCACTTTAGTCTTTCATAAAAAGTAATACATTTAGGGCGGTTTTTACTCTGATTTCTAAATGTCATTTTTTTCAACTTTTCAAAAAGTGTAAGTATCAAATAAATGATTTTTTTCATGAACATTCAAAAAAACTAAAATCTTCAATTTCCCGAAAAAAATTATAAATTAAAAAAAGCTTTAAAAAAACATCAGTTGACATATTTTTCTGAAATACAAGGAGTTTTTTTCGAAAAAAACTATCGAATAATTTCGGAATGCCAAGCAAAAGATTTTTTTCAAATCCTAGATAATTTTTTTAATTGAAAGTTTTTTGAGAAAATTGAAAAAAAATTCGAACCTCTTTATAAGCTGGCGATAACGAAGATAAAGCGTTGAAAAAAATACAGGAGTTGGCTGATTTGAAGGGTTTGTGAGATGAGAAGGCCTGAAAAATTTTATTAATTCAAAAAAATTCGATTTACGAGCAAACCTATGAAAAGTTCGGCTGCTTTCGGTTGGAAAAATGTTGAGGAAGTTGAGATTTTGATGTTTCGGGCTCCTGAAAATATATTAATTACTTAGAAAACAATAATTTTTAATGTTTTTCTTGGTGGTATGAAAAACACCAGCGAAAAATTCAAACGGCGATTTTTTTCCGATTTTTTTCATATCGCTAGGGAACTTTCCGACGGCCACCTTTCCGACGAAATTTTTTTCCGACTTTTTTTCTCGATAAAATCTTCGTTTTAAAAACTTCCTATATAAAGTAAGTAGTTGGTTCATGATTGAAACACAAAGAAATAGGAAAAAAATATGTTAATAGATGTTTTTATAAACATAAAAAAACATAAGGGAAAAAAAGTCGGAAAAAAAGATTCGTCGGAAAGGTGGCCGTCGGAAAGTTCACTAGCGATATGAAAAAATCGGAAAAGTCGTCTTTTAAATTTTCGCTGGTGTTTTTTTCATACCACCGTTTTCTTCCAACGAATACCTTCAAATCCTCTTCTTTATTCAATCTTTTTCTAGACCCAGTGGAAGGAGTGGATGCAAATGAAGAAGATGGGGTATCGCAACACGAGAAAACTTGCTAAAATTGATTATATTTAAAAGAAATGATTTTACGATATACATTGTTAGAAGCTTCTTTCTGCGGTTCAGGGCTTTTTTTCCTCAAAAGTGCGGCCAATAATGGCCGATCGAGTTCCAATGGAGAAGTGGCCATCTGAAAACAGAAAATATCTCTATTTTCATCTGCGAAAAACCTTCTTCTCTTCTGAAATCGGGCAACTCGGTAAACACACGAGGAGCCAGGCGATTTCATCATCGGTCTGAAACATTGCGAATCAAAAAAACAATCGCAAAAAACGAGAAAACCTCGTGTTTTTTCGAAAAACAGTCGAAAGTGGCCCCAGCGGCCGTTTTCAACTGCTGATGACCATTCAGGCTCCAGCCGAGAATATTCTCGGCCATCAGAAAAGCGGAAGATTCCATTGATAGAATCGATCGGATATCTTTCCCAATCAAGGAAAACTGAAGAAAAAAAGTGATTTTCGGATTATGGATGGAATTTATACCGTTTTCCTACGAAAAAGGCGAAAAGCTGATCCGAATGCTTGCTCTATCCGCCAATTATGTACTAGGAATATACAAGGCTCAATGAGGCTCATAGTTTCTTTGAGAAGACGGCTATTTCGACTACTTGCCGGTTGCGAGAAGTCTGAATTTTCAAAATTAGAAAAATCGCTAAAATTCATTGGCAACCTTGACACAAGGATCTTTACACAAATAGCGAAACAGTGTGCAAAAAAAGAGGTTTAGACATTTTTTGTCTCAAAATAGGTTTTAGTCGAGTTTATTATGAACCTTTCTTAATGATATCCACCGCAGCACCGATGATATTACACTTATCGGGCCTTTTATCGTTGCGAGAAGTGGTTGTGAGAAGGTTCGAAGGGACAAGAGACATCATTTCGGCGAGAATATCGTTGAGCTCACACCTTCTCTTTTTTTCATGAACACTCCGCGAATTCCTAAAACTAACATCGTAAATATAAATCACAAGGTGAGTTATCTACCTTTTAGCGAGCGATTCACCTTTCCGTGACGGTTCTTTCTGACTCATTCCCAAAAAACTACGGCCAAAAGATCACTGATAGGTAGGTGATGAAGCAATTAATTGAATTAAAAAGACGAGCGGTCACTCGGAAACTGTTCACAGCGGGGCGAAAATAAAATAAAAGTTTTCCAGCTTCCTTGGCATGCGCGTGAAACACGGCGGACAGCTGCAGCGCCAAGGTCACACAGGAATGAAACAGGTTGCTTCCAAAAATGTGACCGAACAACAAAGGTTCCGACCCCTAACTTATTCTCTGTTCTCCTATGCATTCCTCGCGCGAAACCCCTCTCAAACAAAGTACTAATGATGAAACTAAAACTTTACTAGCTGAAAATGAAAACAAAAACAACGCAATTTACAACTAGACGAGCATCCAATCGATTCCGAAATAGTGGGCTCCCAAAGCGGCTGAATGAAATTATTCAACTTCGCCTCGAAACCAGAAAACTAACCGGTTTCAATAAGAACTCCAAATATAACAAATGTTCCTATATCGCGTCGAGCCTTTTGAGACGCCATCTTTTCGAGTTCAGGACCGCCGGCGCCAGGGAACATCATTTTTTCCTATTATCGAAATGATGCAATAAAGGAATTTGATTTCCAAATGAAAAAATCAGAAAAAGCGGAGAGAAACGGAGAAAAGATCGATAGGCAAAAAAAGCGACCTTCCCGAGAATCGAGTTCCACGAAAAGAAAAATCAGATAAGTAATTGCCCCAGAAGATGAACGACTTTGAAGGTTTCGAAAAATTTGTTCGAAGGAAACGTTGACTTCTTGAAACGTCCTTTTTTGCTTTTTGATGACAAAATACGAAACGGAATTCCGCGGAACAAAATTAGAGCATAGGTTCTGCGAGCCATAAATTAGAAGATCGGCGACACCAATAATATGAATTGTTAACGAATGAGTGTCACTGTAAAACTTTTTTAACAAAAAAATAAAGTTTTTAATTCGAAAAATAGAAATCAAAATAAAATCATTTGCGTGGTAAATTCTTCAAAAAAAATCTGACTTATTTTGATAAACATTTTAGTTCACATAACTCTGAAGAATAAACGGCACATCAAAAAAAAAACTCAGTACCAGATATTAGTTATATGACACAACTCAAAAGAAAATAAAAGGAAACAAAAGAGCAAACCAGATTGATTCGTAAAAAAAGCCAATCGCGGACATCAAGAGCGCTTAAGACGACCAAATGGAAGGAATCGCGAATTTGAAAAGTTATTCGCTCTGTTTCAAAAATAAAAAAGACAGAGGAAATGAAAAAAAGAAAAAGAAAATTAGAAAAAAAAATTTGGGAAAAAAGTTTGGACAGTCGTCGGATAAGCTGCAATGTACGCATTTTTCTGCATACACAGCTGATTTGCGGGAACTCAATTTATTTGAATTTTTTTCTCAACGCTATACGCCTTTTATGTATTAAAAATCCTTTTGCCCTAGCCTCATGGTTTATAGTCTATTTAAAAACGCTTCCTCGGATTTCTAAAATTCGAAGACATCACGTTTTTCTACCGCCAAAAAGACCTCATGTCGAATTAGATATTTAACTAGCTTGGCTTCAAAACCAATGTGAAACGATCTAATTTGGTATACGGACTTTTTGGCTAGAGGGAAAACGAGTGACAAGCTGGCGTGGAAACATTGTTACTGCCACTTCATTTTTGAGTTTTCTAATTCAGAGAGTTTGAGAGAAGATTGTTTTCCTTCTCGGCGTGGACTAACTATTCACATTTTGTTTTTTTTGTACTTTTGTGTTTTTTTTTTTTTGAAGCTTTCATAATTTGACGAGGGCGTAAATTTCTCGAAACTAGGAAATAATATTGACGGTTATCGTTACGTGAAAAGCTCATTTTTTGTAAGGTAATGTCTGAAAGAAGTTTTCGATCGGTTGGTAGAGTTTTACCTTGATTTTATAGAAAGCGTATATTTTTTTCTCTGTATTTCTTGTAGCTTATCGAGTGATATTTTTTAAGATGCCGCCAAAAAGGCTCGCAAAAGCGGTTGAAGAAGATGTCTTCCCAACAGCAATCGACGCTACTACGTCGCAGTTCATTGGCCGTCCGGAAATCCACAAGGTTTAATTACATTATTTTTTATTTAAGTTCATTTTTCTTCAGGTGCTGCTTGAGTCAACGACGGAAGTTTACAAAGACACGATCGGCGAGTTGTTGAAAATCTCAGATACTATCAATCAAGTCAGGAACGAGGCACAGGCCTATTTTGAGAGTCTCAAGTTGGTCTCACTGTGTTAACTTCGAAGGAACTCTTCATTTCAGATATGCTACTAAATTCAATATTTCGGATGAAGAGAAGTCGGTCCGGGAGCTCCTTCTGTCTCTGAGCAGAGGAGAAGACGAGGAGGAGGACGAGGAAGAAGACGAGGAAGAAGACGCGGAAGACGAGGAAATGCCCAGAAGCTCCCGCACCAGAAGCCCCGGAGGTGCCGGAAAACGGAAACGAGCAGGAGATGGCCGCAGAAGAACCTTCGACGCCAGTTCGTGAGGAAGTCCAGGTGAAGAAGGAACCCGTCACGCCGATTGCTGCGGATTCTACAAGGTTTCTTAAAAATGAAATGTATTTTTGAACTCCGTTTCTTAGGATTTCAAATAGGATGTCTCAGCTGCGCGTTGAAGAAACGGTTCCGATTGCCAAGTCGTTGCCGAAAAGAACGGTTAGTTTTAATTCAAACTTTATTTTTTTATTGATTTTTTTGTGCATTTTCTGTTTCTACTATGGAACAAGATTCTATTATCTATCTTCCTTTTTAATTCATTCCAAGCTTCAAATTTATGCTCCTGAGTCTACTAACAAACTTTTTTTTCGCTGAATTTGAGGAAATGTTTTTTTGAAAGCTAAATCAGTACTATAATCCTCTAAAATCCTCATTTTTTTTTTTTAATTTTTCTTATTTTTTGTTCTCATTTTGTTTTTTTTTTTTTGTAATTTTCTAAATTTCGCTTTTTTCTCTTTTTTGTGCTATTTTTTTAAAGCCTTCTAAAATTCTGCTTTGAGTGAATCAGTTTTATTTTGGAAAATTATTTACCTCTTGAATATTTTGCTTATTTCAAGAGAGTTTTTAGAATGAGGCAAAAAAAAAAATGGTACTGCTTTTAAGAAACAACGAAAATTCTCCGTATTAATTTAGGTCACCTAAAAATACTGATTTTTATTGACTATCCGAGAAAAAAGTAAAAGTTTCAAACAGAAACCAGCTTTATTTTATCCATTTTCTTCAAATTTTTATGATTCCGGGTTCAAAGCCATTCCGAAATATTCAAAATAGCCGTCAGAGAGTGAAAAAGATGATTAAATCTAAGAGAGTCAGAGATAATTTTGCGGAAAGTACTTTAACCATGACTTGAGATTTACAACATTCCCCCTTCAAAGAAAATAAATCTCGAAGGAAGAATTATGACGCAGGCCACCGGATCACCCCGCAAACATGTGCGCCTGCCCGACGGTCCCCCGGAATCCATGAACTCGACCCCACGCCTCGGCCGGACTCCGTTGAGCCACAGAGCCGACTGCAGAGTCCCGCGGGCCCTCGAAATGATCCGCAAAACGCCGGAAGTTCGTCACCGGACGCCTTCCCCCGGAACGACCTCTCGACACAGGACTCCTTCCGCCACCCGAGCGATTCCGCCCCGAGTCGCCAATATTCAGAAGGTTAGCACGGTTTCCAGTTTCAGAGATTAGGTTTTGGACCTGAAATTAGTGATTTTTGTTCGAAAAGCTAGACCGTGTTTTGTGTCCTTTTTACAGTTACTGAGATTGACTTTTGTCCCTGAATGTAGTTTCTTTTGGAAAAGTCAATTAGAAAACGTTTTAGTGTAATTTTTATCAGTTTGCAGAAGATATACGACAATTTTCGTCCAATTATTGCTTTTTGTTCAAAAACTGCGTATTTTAAATGATTTTCAGCTCTGAAATCAGGGCTTATAACTTACTTTTTTGTGTTAAAAGACCTAAAATTAATGCTCTTTGTTCGAAAAACTTTTTCATTTTTTTAAACTACTTTTTTTGAGTTTATATCAGTTTCTGAAATTGATTTAGTCAATTAATTATTTTTTTGAGTTACCTTTATTAGAAAAAAATCCTTAAAACCCTATCAAGTCGAAAGAAAATACTCACATATCAGTTTGCGAAATTTTTGGTTTATCTCACGATTTTTTTCTGTTTTTTTCAGTTTGTTTTTCTCCTCTCTGATTTTTCGTCATTTTTTTCAATACTTTATATAGTCTGTCCGCTTTATCTTGAAATTTTTCGAGTGTCTGCGTCTCTCTGTCCCCTCACCGGCGAGGTTAGAGAAATATGAAAATAGCGCGTCAAAATAAGAGGGGAGCAGAGAAAAACAACATTTTTAAGTAGCCAAAAACGGACTATTTGTACTTTTATTTCTCACTAATTTGATTTTTCCAGAACCCTACCAACGCCGAAATGCAACGAATGAAGCAGACTCATGCTCAGAATCAACGGGAGCACCAACTTTGTGAGAAGGTGGAGAAGGCGCGAAAAGCTCGCGAAGACAAGGAACAAAAGGTCTTGAAATATTTTCCTTTCTCTTCAGAAAATAAAAGGTTTCAAGGTCCGACAACGTCGAGAGGAGCAGGAGAAGATCCAACGAGAAAAGCAAGAGAAGATGCGTCTCCAGGAAGAACGAGTCCAGCAGATGCAGCTGGCCAACTTGCAGAAAAGTCCGACGAGGTCCCGATTGGCCTCGCCGTCCAGGATGCTCCTCAGTGGAGTTTCTCCGTCCCGACAGCTACTATCCATGGGAGCCAAGACTCCTATTCGAAAGGTCTTAACCCAGAAAGTCTAGGTTTTTGTGAGGAGAAAGTTATACTCAAGACTCTCATTAGAAAGGTTCTTTTTTTCTCAGGAAGTTTTTTTTAGAAAGGTCTCTACTCAGAAAATCTCGATGTTTGTAATGTAAAAAAAACATGGATAAAGAAAAGATTCAAATTTCGCGATAAGCATTTTGGCTTCTGTAGTAAATTTATGGACTTGGTTTCTGTAAATTTAATCGATGTAAAAGTATCTTAAAATGATTCTAAAGGGAGTTTTTTTTTCCATGGGAATTGCCCCCATAATTGCAATCAGATAAGGCCTTTTTTCAGAGAATTTAAATTTTTTGTAAGGTTCAGCAGTGGAAAAAGGCAGAAAAACTACTTTTTAAAGAAAAATTGAGCTTTTCTCGAAAAATGAAGAACAAATTTTTAATGAGAAAGTTATATAGTTAGATCCAAACCTTCAAGGAAGATAATTTGAATGAATTTCTGAATTTTTCTGAAAATTCCGTCACTCTCGGCCCATGTAAATTTCTGATGTAAAACAGAATCCAAATTGATTTTTTAGATTTTTTTCAAAAATATTTCCACCTTTTTTATGCGTTTATTTTTGAATTAGTTTTGTCACAAATTTCATTGCTTCAGTTTCAGAACTTTGTTCTGAACGATGAAACAAGCGAATCGGTGACTCCAGGCCGCGCTCCGGCCAAACAGACGCGGATTCAGGCTCTCCGGGGCGTGGAAATGCGAGCTGCGCCAACTCTTGCCTCGGTTCGGATTCATTCTAGGGATGATTAGAGATTTTGGAAATGTTCAGCCTTCTCGCTTTGAAGAACCCAAGAGAAAGAGCAGGAAGCCGAAGGACGTCCAGGTGAAAAGTGAGGAGGACCAGGAACGGAAAAAGAGAAAAGAGCAGAAGGCGAAAGAAGCATCGAAGGCACAGGAAGCTGCTCGACTCGAGGAGCAGAGGTGGACTATTTTTTACTTTTGAGACAAGATTTCAGGAGTAGAACAGTTTTAACGATCATCAAATATTGCTTAAGTGCTCAATACATTTTTCAGCTAGCCCAAAAAAAATGTAAATATATACATAAGTTATTTTTTTATGTTTAACTGTACTAGGAGGGTAGGAATTACAAAAATTTTGTAGATTTATTTGATTTTTATCTAATCTAGTTTCAATTGTAGCTGAAAGTTATGTTCAATTTTTGAAATGGGGGCTTTGGAGGCGTTAAAATGTTCCTCTTTATTGAAAAAAAAAGGGTTGAGATTTTTTTTGATCTGTTCTTGAAGAGAAGGGGTAGCATTTTTTTAAACTTCCAATCTTTAATTTCTGACCTTTTGTCAAGATCTTTTTGCAGTACTAAGAGGATGTAAATTTTCGGGAATTTTGATGATTTTATTAACTAGGGAACGTTTTTTACCCCCCGGTTGAACTTTTGCTGAAACTTTGCCGAAGTGTACTTTAGGACCCCCTGAAAATTTCAGAACAGGGAGTAGAAATTTCTCATAGATCTCGTTTCTCGAGTTAGGACACTTTTCTAAAAGCCCGAAATAGCGCTTTTTTTGGCATAATTTGCGTATTTTTTTGCACACTTTTTGAAGCTCCATAACTCGAAAAACAAGATCATTGCGAGATGTTTTTCTTGATCTGCCATCAGAGTCCTAAAGACTCAGCAAAGTTTCAGCGTGTTTTAAAGTGCTAGGAGAATAAGTTTTTCGAGATTTTCGGATGTTCTTTTTTTGAATTTGATCCAGTCGAGGTTCAATCAGAACGCATATTGTTTTATGAATTTTTAAATTTCGCTACTTTAGAAGCGTTTGAATTTTTTTGAATGTCCAAAAAAATTGACTTTTTGCCCCAGTCGATGACTTGAACATTTATTAGTTTTATTCAAATTAAAGAAGATTTTTTTGTCATTTTTTTGTTGATTTTTCTCTTCCTTTCTTTTTCAGTTTTTCAGATTTTCATTATAAAAATTATTAGATCAAGCACTGATTAACTTCTGAGTCGAAAGTTGAATAACTTTGAAAAATGAAAAATCATTTTAGTTTTTGTCAAAAAACTCCCAGTTTATTCCGAAAATTTGAAGTTTCGCGCGAAAAAGTCGCCTTCTCGAACCAATTTTTCTCATTTCGCGAAATCATTTTTTTTTCAAACGACTAACGCGTCAATTTTAAAAAAGATGTAGTTACTTTGGAGTTGAAATCGCTCAATTACACAAAATCCTTGTTATTGATTAAATATTCAGGCTGAAACAGCAACAAGAGACTTATCTGGAGCAGTGTCGACTCGCCGAGGAGGAGAAGAAACGCGTCGCGGAAGCGGACCGCAAGAAGAAGGAGCAGGAGGCTCAGGCCAGGGCCGAGAAGGAACGCGTCGCCCTGGCCGCCGCCCTCAAGAAGGAGCAGGACGCGGAGCAGCGACGGCTCGAACGGGAGGCCGAACAGCAGGCGAAAGCGGAGGCCGAAGCTCAGGCCAGACTCGAGAAACAGACCAAAATCGAGAAGATGCAGGTGAAGATGGGGAAAGGATATAGTTAAGAAGCGCTCCGTACAAGAATGATTTTCGAACTTGACCTAGGTGAATTACGGTATGTGACAGTTGAGCTTGTCAGAAAATACTACTTTTTCTATTAAAACTTCTTTTTTTATTTAATCGTTCTTTTTTTGTTGATTTATTAGTCCCATTTCTGACGTTTGAAGTGATTCCGCGACATTCAAAAAAATAGCCGTCAGAGAGTGGAAAAGATAACTAAAATGTGGAGAGTCAGAGATAATTTTTGAATTTTCGCGGAAACTTCTACTGAAAAACCACAGAAATATTGAGAAATATATTTTTCATTTTTCATCTGCAAGTTTAGGGATTTTATTTGAAGATTCGTAAGACAAAAAAACTGCAAAAATGTGATTTTCTAGACTACATAAATTTTTTGGACAAAATTTTATTAAAATTCGAACTTCCGTTAAAAAAAAGTCTGTTAAACCGACTAAATGATACAAAATCGGCAAAAATCAGCAGATATTATTTCCTTGAAAATTATCCATAGGGCGCGTTTTCAAATGGTTTCTGGAAGCCAAGAAATTCCCAGCTGATTTTTGAACCGACTTTTCTGAGCTAATCTTTTTTTGCTGAAATTTCGTCCTCACCGAAAATTTTGCAAGTTCTAGGCCAAAATGTAGCTTACAATGAAAAAAATAAACAAGAAAAGCTTCAAAACCAGAAACTTGAGGAATCGGAACGACGGCCGGATTCTTACGAGATGACGCCTCCAAGGACCTACTCTGCCAAAAGTCAGGACGACTACGGCCTCGACGACCTCAACAGCGACGATGAGACCGATCAGGAGGTTCGTTTTGTCCGGAAATTAGGCGTTTCGATTCATCATTGTTTTTTGAGTTCCATGGAAAAAAATATTTTAGTGACTAACGTTGTATATTCCACTATACAACAAATGTTAATATGTTTTTTCACTGCAAAAATTTGAAAGATGATGAGAATAACTACAAGAGAAAAAAATGCAACAGGATAACAAGTTACTGGAATCAGAACCCTGAAGGGGTTCAGATAAAGAAATTATAGCCAAAAGGAAGAATTTTATTTGCAAAAAGCGGTAAATGAGATATCATTAATTAGAAAAATTATCCATAGGGCGCGTTTTCAAATGACTTCTGGAAGACAAAAAAACGGCCACCTGAAAGTTTCAGGTTAAGATTTTTGAACCAAATTTTCTGAGCTGATCTCTTTTTTTTTGCTAAAATTTCGTCCTCATCGAACATTTTGCAAGGTCTAGGCTAAACTGTGGAGACGTTAAAATTCATTCTAGAAGGTACTTTACTCCATAAGGGAATCGTTTTGATTGGACATCGTACTGCGCGCGTAAAGCCGCTTCGCACACGCGACGCGTCACCCTAGCCAATCTGCCCATCTAGCTTTTCAACTCGCGAAGGATCGACTATATATAGTCTGTTTTTCGCGACTTGAAAGAGACTTCTCTGCGCCCTCCTTGTCTCTCTCATGTTGACGTTCTATTTCCATGTTTCTCTGACCTCGCCGGTGAGAGAACAGAGAGACGCAGACAGGCGAAAAAACGTCAAGACAAAGCGGACGGACTATACCCCGGAACTGAATCATGTCTGAAAAAAAACTCTGGCCGAAACGCCATTCATCAGCAAACATTCTGAGGATATTTCGTTGCAGGACGACCCTCGGAAGGATGTCCCGGCCTGGGCGAATTTTGACCTCGTCCGACGCGACGCCCGCAGACAGTTCTACAACCCGCCGTTCGACGTCGACAAGTACTTTGGCACGATTCCCACGGTACATTTTTTGGTTTTTGTAGAAGATTAATGTTCAATTAGTAGTGTAAAACGTTGAAAGTTAAAAAATTACATCGTTCAGTCTTGAATTTTTCTTCTTTTTTTATGAATTTGAGGTTGATTTTTTTATCGTTTTTTTAGAGCCAAGGCTTGTTTTGTAAAAAAAAATTTTTGACCTCATGGACTTCCTATCGCTAAATAATGAGTTTCAAAATTTTGAGAAAATCATAAATCATCTCGTAAAAGTCTTTTCCATAGTATAGTGAAATCTAGGCTACAAACGGAAGAATGCTAGTGATTCTACAGAGAAAAGTAATTTTTCTGTAAGTGCTCAAAAACTTTTCGAAGATTTGGGTCAAGATTTCTGAAAGTTACTTACAGGTCAAAAATTTGATTTTGGTATAGATTGACGAAAATTCAAGAAAATTGGTCCCAGTGCTAGATTTTTGTATTTTTGAGAAGTCCTATCTTTAAAGAATAATAGAGTTTGAACCTAGATTAGGAGTTTTTAGATGGTTTTTTTGAAGAATACGTGGCCAAATTTATAGGTTAAATGAAAAGATCTCTCTTTCAAGGCTTTAAAACATTCGATAAGCTTTTTTGTACGAAATGAATGCCTTTTTTCGACTCTTTTCTTCACAATCGACTTTTTCAGCCGAATCTGAAAACAAATATTCGGCGACGAACTGTCGCGAGTCAAAAAACGCGGCTCTTCCGCCGTTTGGAACTCGCCCCTCGGCAAACCGACCGCAGCCAAACCTCGGAACTCGAAAATGTACATTGCCAAATAATCACGAAATCCAAATTCCGTCCCACTAATAAGTTCTTGGAATATCTAGTTTGTTGATGATCTTTTAATACCTCAAGAAGTGCTCTTTTTCCTGGAGAAATGTCGCTGTTGAACTTGGTTTTTCACTTGTTGTGTCTGCAGAAGAAACGCCGTCTCTCGCATTGATCTTTCACTTTTCCCTCTCCTCTCAATGTGTGCTCTCTCGCCGTCTCTTTCTCTCTCCCATCTCTTCACCTTTTTCCCATCCTTTTCTGTTTTCAAAACAATTTTCATTTCTTTTCGGCGTGTAAATCTTTTTGCCTTTATTTTCCTTGTTTATTTGAATAAATGCGTATGTGATCAGTTTTCAGTTCCGATAAGGCGTTATCAATCCCGCAATGATCAATTTTGGGTACTTGAAAGTCTGAAACGACCTTTTTTGAGAGGGAAAGTTGTTATTTTCGATTTTATTGCGTTTTTATCGATTATTTGGGCCTGAGTAATTCTAAAAAAAGCCATTTTGCGCTGTCAAAGTTAACTTTGCTGTTTCCAAATTGGAATTATAGCCTTTTTTTAATTATAAATTTTTCAATTATAAGATTCAACTTAGTGAAAAAAACTTTCCTTTGAACTTTATCGAATTTTTCTTCTTTAGTTTCCTGTTTCATTCTAAAATTAAAAAAAATAGAAACTTATTTCGAAGATCAGCTTTTATTTTTTTGTCTATAAAGTTCTGTCTGTTTTTCAGGCGCTTTTTGTTCAAAATTGTCCGAAAGCCGATTCTGGTTTTTTATAAGCCGTGTAAAATACCGAAAAGCGCTCTTCGCTTCGAGACCTTCACTAAAATTTCCAATGTTCCTTTGAAAATCCCAGGAAATATTTTTGGACTGACTGTTCGTGTCGAGATGACTTCGACTGCGCTTTTAATTGATTTTTTTTTTTTTTCAGATAAGTTTTAAAAATGGGCGGAGAGAGCAGTAAGCACCAAGACGAGAAAAAAAAGTGCACCACGGAGCTCTTGGAGTACCGAAAAAGTCGGTTGACCCGAGAATCGAAGCCGCTTTTTCGAGACTTTCTAATGGAGGAGATGAGATCAACTACAAATATTTGATGGTTTTTTCAAGTTTAAAGTTCGGGTAGAGTTGGTAAACTGAAGAAAACCTGTATTTTAAATCTCTTCATCAAAAATTGAGATCGAAATTCGGCGTATCAAAAACTCTTTTAACACTGGAAATTGAAAACTTCAAGAATTTTCGGGTTTCCCAACAAGTTGTACAAGAGCAATTTCTAGACTAAATTAAACGAATTAAGTTGGAATATCAAAATGGCGCATAGAAACAGTAAACTGACGATAGGTTTCAGCTCCTTCTCAAGACCCTGAGAAGGAGCTGAAAATGGTCCTCTAAAAGCTCCCAAAATGTAAAACTTTTTACTTTACAGCATATTTTTGTTAAAAGATGTGTAAAAGCGCCGAAAAAGAATCTTCTGGTGAACCTTGAATGGTCTTTTTTAAAGAGAAGCTTTTCCGTTTTGCCCTGGATTTTTCGAAGAAAAAAGAGAATTTCTGTCAATCTATTTTCTGAATGAGGAAACCCATGAAGGCTAAGAGATCTAGAGTCTGTTCAGATTTTTAATGTCAAGTGAAATGACGTCATTCAAAAACACTGAGGATGGCTCGCTCTCTGATTGGTTTGTCGCACCATTAGGGGCGGAGCTTGAGCGACGACTTGACATTCAAAATCTGAACAGACTATAATAGATAAATTGGAATTTTCATGTTTGATTTGGCTCGAAAGTGCGCTCTAACGAACTATTTTTCTGATTTGATGGTTTTTTTTTTGCGCCGGTAACTGAAACCGGACGCGCTCCATTCCTTTCTAAGCGCTTCTAGGGATCACTTAAGGGTTCTGAGGCTACTAAAGTGGTCACTTTTTGATTTCAATAATCTTGAGATTGCTCCCTGGAGCGTATTTTTTAGATTTTTTTTTAAATTTTACGTAAAATTCACTTCCCTAATAAAAACAATATCCTGTTTCTGAACAGCAGCCTCTTAGGTACAGCAAAGTTTTTAGTATCATCGGCTGTAATTTAAAGATTTCCGGAAATAAAAAAGTCCTTCAGGAAACACTCAACGAAGATGTGGCGAAAGGTCTCTGGAAGTATTTTGTCCCCTCGAAACCCTTCTCCGAAACGATAACCAAAGAAGAATTCGCGGCCAAGGCGGAACCCCTGGCAGGCAATTCGACAGATGTTTATGTTGGAAGTTTGGAAAATTGAGTTTCCTTGGAAAATTTGAAGAATTCAGTGTTTTTACCGGCGAAACATTTACTGAAAGTTTGCTCAGAAGCGGCCGGAGCCGAGGCGATTCACGGCGACGAGGAATTCATCACCAGGCTCACCAAAGAAATGGTTAAAGCTTTTCTTTTCAAGAGAAAAATGGACTTTTACGGAAATTAGGAACAAAATCGACCCTGTTTTATTTGAAAAGTACAGGATTAGCTTGAAATTTGGTAAGAACTTTTCCAAAAAGGTCACTAAAATGAATAAAATGTTATTCTTGAAATAAGTGCTTTCGTGCAAATTAAGACTTTCAGAATCGTCTTTCAGTACGAAAATCGGATTTTTGACTTATTTTTGAGGGAACTCCTTACCTTGTGAGACGAAATTTTTTTTTTTGGCAAAGTCCAGTTATCCCAGGGCTTTATATTCTTCACAGAAGGAAAAATATTTACAAGAAATTCGTGAAAAGACTTGAAGAGAATATTCTGAGCTGAAAACTTGATTTTAATTAATTCATTTTCGTTGTGACAAAGTATAAAAAAAAATACTAATTTAGGATTTTCGAGACCTTGGACCCTAGTTAAGTATTCTCATTCATAAACTCGAAAAATTTGTTGAAAATTTCTTTGAAAAACTTTAAAAAAATATGTCATAAAAAGTTTTTTTCAGACCTCCCTTGGTGATACAGCGACGAGTGTGGCGGAGTGGAAAAGAGCTTCTTGTCCGAAATTCTGCAACGCCCTGCAGGCCGCCGTCCTCGAGAAGCTGTTCAACTACGATAATGTTAGTTTCTTTCAAAAACACAATCGGAAAAAAATAAAAAAGCTTTTTTCGAATAGTCCACAATTTTTCCCGGTTCATGTAGGTTTCAAACTCGAGATATTATCCCTCTGTGAATTCCGCTGCGCTTTTTGAAAAGTTGTTGAGGGTAACCGATTAAAACAGGCTCCTAAAAATTGATTCCTAGAGAAGGTTCCGGCATTCTGGAAAACTCGGTCGCTTTCTAAAGTTTAAAAAAAATATTTCTCTGACCTCGCCGATGAAGGAACAGAGAGACGAAGACACTCAAGAAGTGGAACTTAGGAAACCCAGAGTGATCCCTATAGGGGTTGGGGGAAATAACTCCTATAGGAGGCGATAAAGTGGTCCCTATAGGGCTTTAGGGTCTGACCCCTTAGCCCCTCAAGTGAACCCCATAGGGGTCTCTCAATTTGATTCAAAAACGCGTATTTATTCAGTTTTTCTCATGGAAATGTTCATAAGAATCATCGACTAGGATGTCCCCTATAGGGGCCACTTTTGCAAGCTTTAATGGCCCCTATAGGGGTTGGTGAAGTGATTCCTAGAGAGGGCGCAGACAGCCCCTATTTCCAAAATACAGTCTTAAATTTTTTTTTTCTTTTTTAAACTTTTCGTGTCGTTTCGGAACGTCACAAAACGCTTAATTATTGTTCATTTTTTTTTTTCTCGATTTCCTATCCAATTTTACCAAGTTTCACCTGAAATTCAGCCTTCCATCGACTACGCTTCCGATATTCTGACTCCTCTCCAAATGTGGTTCCTTCAGTGTTCTCTTCCGGCCGTATACTTTCCGAAACGAGATCAAGTCAGTACAAATCCCACTAAATATTCACGAAAATCGTCTTTTTCTTCAGAATTCGGACGACGCGTGGACCCCGCTGTACACAAGCCTACAACATGGAATAAGTACGAACCGATTTGAGGCATTAGTTTTCGACTATAAGTCCATTCTGATGGGATTTTTCCCGAGATTTGTGATCGTTTTTTGCAGAGGTCCGACGGTTTCGTTGTTTCGGCTGAAGGATGGCCGGACGGTCGCCCTGGCCACTGATCAGGAGTGGAGGTAAAGAGATTGATCTTTGGGCTCTTAACAAACTTTTAAAAATTCAGAATTGACTTTAAATAGATTTTAAATGTTTATTGAAATGAATGAGGGAAAGAACTAGATTATGGAACAAAAAAATTTGAAACCTAGTTTTTTTTGTAGCTTTTATGAATCAAACCTGTCTGCACTCTCTTCTCTCTCTCACCATAGGGAAAGAAAAATATCAACAGAACAAAAAAGAATTCGCAGATAAAAGAGAGCGTAGAGAAATGAGACGGTTTCAAATTCATATGTGAGATCGGTGGGACCGCTTTAGAAGAAAATTTGAAGTTTCGAAAAATTTTTGAAAGTAGTTGAAATTTTGGAAGATACTGGTGCATAAACTTATTTTGGTTGTGAAAATCTTGTTTCAGTTGGATTTGCTCGTTTTTGCTTGCTTAGAACATTTTGACTTGTCTGCCGTCTCTTTTCTATCGCCATAGAAACATGAAAGTGAAAAAAAAAGAAACTATAGAGAGAAGAGGGCGCAAAGAAATCAGAAAGAGATTTTTACGTAATATAAGCCGTTATATGGCAGCTTTACTAGGTTAGGCGAAAATTGAAATATTCGCCAAGTTTTTTTTTTTGAAAATAGACTTTGAATTCCGGAAAAATAGGGGTGAATAGACTGATTTTCTTTTTCCAAGTTGTTGCATTTTTTCTTACAACAGTCTGACCTGTCTGCACCCTCTTTTCTATCACCATAGGAACATGGGAATAGAAGAAGAACAAGAGAAAGGGTATAGAGAAAAGAGGGCGTAGAGAAATCAGACATTTTGTGAATTTGTAAACGATTTAGACTGTAATTTGACAGCTTTAGCTTTTTTTAGACGAAAATGCAAAAATTTGCCGATTTTTCAAAATAGTTTTCCTGTTGAGGTTTTTCAAATTTTTTTTTTCCGAGAAACGTTCAAAATTTATTAAATCGGAATAAAATAAGGAAAGTGAAATTGCAGACACAGTAGCAACCGATTCGGGGGCCCGGCCACCTGCTTTTTCGAGCTTTTCCCGAAACTTTCGAGAACCGAAGCTTCTTCTTCGATTTACTGCAATCTGAAGATTCGGTCGGCGTCTTTTGGAGTATCGTTCAAGGAAATTATGAAGATTGACAAGGATTTCGACGCCATCTTTGATATTGAGGTGAGGAAAGGGGAATTTTTCAGATTTAGAAGTTTTAATGGCCAGTTTCCTTACTTTTAATAAAGTCAGAATATTTTTTTCTGAATAACTGAATAAAAATGAGCTCGAATTTCTTGGAAACTGGCCAACTTAGGAGCTCCAGAGTGGTCCTTATAGGGCCTTCGAAGGTCCCTTTAGGGACCACTTTACTTTATTCCTATAGGGGCCACTAAACCTTGCAAAAGGACCTCCTATAGGGGTCGGGCTAGTCAAAATTTTTATGAACACTAGAAAAAGAAACAAAGAATTTTCTCGACCATTTTTGAAAAATTCTGAAGTTTCGAGAGATCCTTGTAAGAAAAAAAAAAGAAATAAAACCAGCATTTTGGAATTTACAATTTCAAAAATTTTCCAGGTATGGGGCTGCGCCAGCGCCAACACCCTGAATGAGCAGAAAAAGCTCAAAACTTGGCAGAAACAACAGGCCGAAAAACATAAGAAAGTTTGCTCCATCGCACTTTTCCTCCAAAAAATCAAGGCTTCCAGGTTCCGCTACCCGGAAAATGGGACGAGAATCCCGACAAAACGCTTCTGGAAATGGCCGGATTCCAGTTTTCCAACGAACGACAGCTCATGGAGTTGGAATCGAAACATTAAAATTGAATCAAAGGGTCCAAACTTCACTTACTTGTAGAAACTAACATGTACAGAGAGAACGAGAAAATGAAATTTTCTATTTATTTTTTGATCGTTATTTCTTCAAAATAATCAACATTGTGTTCGATATTACGGCCCATTGAAACGAAATGATATCCAAAATAGGAAGTCTTATTAAAACATGAAGTTATTACATGAAGTGTGACAGGAAAACGAGCAATTATTAACAGAAATAGAAAGGAAAGAACGAGGTTGGACCATGAATGTATATAAAAATTATCAAGAACTAAAAATATATTTTCTAACTCGCTAAATTCATATTTCGAAGCAGTGAGTTGAAATTGGAACAAAGAAAACTAATATGGCTCAAAAAAGGAAGAAAGCGGCTTTTGTGAGCTTATACATGTATTATTAATAGAGGTAGAAAAATTTTCTAAGGTCTTATTAAAATACGAAGAGAAAGAAAGAGGGAGTGAGCTCGAGTTTTGGATTCGGGAGAACTTTGGGTCAACGTTTCAGAATATAGAAATTCGAATCAAGTTTTTGGTTCCATAACCCGTGCTTGAACTTCAAAAAAAAAAGTACATGAATGGGAGCTTTCCAGTCTAAATGCAAAAAAAAGAAGAAATTTTTGAATTCCTTCAAACTCCTTATGAATGAGAGATTTTTAATAATGGATTACGGTTTAAAAAATTTTGATCCACGAAAAAAAGCTTGATCTTCTCAAAGAAGCAGTGAATACACAGGTGAAGATTTACGGTCCGTAAAATTCCGTAGAAGCAAAATCAAAAAAGGTTTTCAGTCAAATTTTTTTTTACGGTTGAAAAAATGAGTTCCTGAACCCATTCAGTAAAGAGGCCGGTTAAAAAAGAGCTGAATTTTTGGGCTCTATTCCTTATAAAAAAATATTCGAAAACTATTTTTCCAATCGCAAATATGATTCAACGTCTATGCCGAGAATGCATTTCAAATTCCACCTTGAGAATTAAACATGAATCCAAAAACTCAAAGCTCATTTCTAACCGGTTAGCCTAAAATACTCGAACATTTACGGACCCTAAACTTCATAAAAATGTGATTTCAGGGTTAAAAATTAATAAGGCGGCATGTATGGATTGAAATAGTGTGGATAGGCGTATGGGAAGGGGAACTGTTGGACTGGATGGAAGGCGAAGGGCGGGAAGAAGGGCAAAGGCGGGCGGTTCTCGCTGTACTCGACGCTGGAGTCGTGGTCCGACTCGGGAGGCGTCAGGTTGAGTCCCGACGGGAGTGGCATGAGTGGCGGCGTCCGTTGAGGGGCCGAAACGTCGGGACACACGCGTTTGGGACTTGGGCCTTCGTCGGGACTCGGCGTGTCGCGCTTGTTTTTGGCGACGAACTTTTGTCGGAACCCCTTGGCGTACTTGTTGTTCTCCACTTTCAGGTCCGTTATTTCTTGGTTCTGAAGCATTTATTTTTGAAAATTGATATTTTTTCGAAATTCGCAACACAAAAATGCAAAGGAAAAAAATTTAGACTTTCGACTTCTCATAAGTTTTTTTGATTGAATCCTTCAAATTTTTATTTAAAAGTGGCCTATCCATAATAAATTATTTTTTTACACTGTTCAAAAAAATAAGTCAAAAAAACCTATATTTTTCATTTTTTTATCAACTGAGAACCGAATATTTTCCAAGATTTTTCGTTCATTAAGAAATCTTGATTATTTAAATTTCTCACTCTTCACATTTTTTTTTCCTTTTGAAACGGGAAAGTTGGTTTGAAAAAAAAGGTTTAGACGAAATCGTAAAGTTCAGCTGACTGTCGGTTTTTTTCCCGAGGAAAATCGATGGTACGACAAAATCTCAAGTCCGCAAATTTTAAGGACCGTAATCTCTGTGTACGCAGATCTAAAGTCCTATAACCTTGGAGACCAAAATTTTGGAAAGCAAAAATCTTTCTTTTTAGTCTTCTTTTTTGCACTTTATCTATTTATATTCTCTTGTTTGGATCACCGAATACAATTTCTGATAAAATCTACTCGCAAAAGCGTTGATTTTCGCTTTCTAAGATTTCGGTCTCCAAGATTATGGGACTTTAGATCTGCGAGATTTGCGGACTTGAGATTTTGTCGTACCATCGGAAAATCGAAAAAAAAAACTAATTTTCGTTCAAAGAGAACTTTGAATCTTCGCAAAAGATTAGAAAAATTCAAAATAATCTTTTCAAAACTATAAATAACCATTCAAAATTAAACTTTCCTAGAAACATCAAAAATCCATGACCATTTTCCCAAGATAATAAACCTTTTCAGCTCTTTTCTCATAAGGTTAAAAATCCGTAACCAAGAAAATTTAAAAAGCACAGCCCTCAAAGACTTAAAAAAATCATATTTTTATAAGAACGTATGATAAAACTCAATTTTTTTAATAATTAATCCCCCTGACAACCTTAGATTTTCCTCAAAATTCCCAATAAATATTTTTCCTGCATCTATAAACCTCAATTTTGCCTAAAGTATTCCAGAAGCTCATTCGGAAAAACCTGATAAGCGGTGACGGCAGTGAATTCCGTGAAATCGAACTGAATCTCGGCCACAAGTGTTCTGTGGGTGATTCCGAGGGGAGGCTGAGGGCTGAAAAATGCTCCTTTTTCGAGGATTTTTTTTCGTTTTATCCTTAAAATCATAAAAAACTTACTCGAGTCGATAAACACATAGAACGGGAATGTAGCGGTGCATGCTTTGGAGGATAAACTGAAAGATAAAAGAAGCGATAAAAAGGAAAAAAAAAATTTTAAAAAAAGGCTTTTCTTGGGAAAAGATCATGCAGAAACCATTAATTACTTTGTTTATTTTTTATGTCATAATTTCTTAATTTAAAAAAGACCTAAGACATTTGTAGCCTCTTCTTGAAGCGGTTATTAAAGGAGCATGGAAAATTTTCATGTTATTAAAGGCGCATGGAAAATTTTCATAAAGGTGTCAAGGCGGAAAAAAAACTGTTTATTGCATTTTCTGGTTTTTTTTCATGTGAGATGCTTTCCTAATTTACAAATTTATAAATTCTGAGACAGTCATAATCTTCCCTCTGGTTATTAAAGGAGCATGGACCAATTTCATGAAGGCCTCGAAACGAAATTTAAAAACAATTCGTAGTGAGTATTTGAACTTTTTCCATACGCTCCAATAGCACACAAGGAAACGGCTCAAAAAATCAAAAAAAAAGTGAAAAATGAAAGATTTTAAAGTATCATTCTTTTTTTCAAAAAGAAACTATGAAATTGGCGCTCTTTACACAGTCTTTTTCTATGTTAAAATTAACATTTTACAATATTCTTTCCCCAAATAATATTCTCAAACCTTCTCCGTGTCGGTAGATTCGTTGGAAATTTTGATGCGGGCAAACGAAGCGATGGTTTGCATCCAATCGCGGCCCGTTTTGGCCCCGCCCTGGTTCCAGACCGTTTTTTCGGGATTCCGAGGCTCGCCGCTTCCAGCCACTGACCATTCACCTTTATTGAACTTGTACCTGGAACTCGTTCTTTTTTTCAAAGGTTTTTCGATTATGGAACTCGATATAGTTCGTTCGCCGCGACTGGAAAGTTTTTGAGTGTCTGCGTCCCTCTGTTCTCTCACCGGGAAGGTTAGAGAAACATGGAAATAGCACGTAAACATGAGAGACTTTGAGGGGCAGAGAAAGTCCCGGAAAACGGACTCAAAATCGGCGTTTACTGACAGTATGGTTTACAAAGATGGCCAACAACATTCGTCGTAACTTTTCCAATAAAAACATGCAAAATTGTGATACAATTTTAGGCTAAACAAAGGATGAAAGATTTTTGGCAACCTAAAATTTTTGAATCCCCTATAGGGACCCCTACGACACAGTTTTAGCGACCCCGATAGGTGAAGCGTAAGGGTCTCTCATAGGGTCCGGAACCCTCTCCCCCTTCCAAAGTATCTCAAAGTTTTAGGCTATCCTAATAATGCCCATGAGCTTGTGCGCAACCCGTTTAAGGTCTGGTGCGTCCCAATCACATGATTTTTTCAGTCAAAAATGCAAAAGAAGTTAAGGATCGCATGTGGAATAACTGAAGTCAGTCGCGTAAAACATCTTTGACCTCCCAATTTTTTTCCATGACCTTGCGCGTAAACCGTTTAAAGTCGGGTGTCTCGTTGTCGCATGATCCATTTATTGGATGGACTTTGAAAAACTGTGAAACCTATTTTACAAAATTGTATCTATCTTTTTGATTTTCGCCTAAGCAAGCGAAAAATTCTTTGCTTGTTAAATAAAATGTCTACTTTTCAACAACTAAAAAATATTTTTAGAACAAACTCAAGTTTTTCGTCTTGACACACCTGTCGAAAAACGCAAAAAGATCAATTTACCTGAAATTATCAGTCCGACGTAACTGCAACGCCATCATGTAGTTCTCCGTCTCTTCCAAGCCTCTCACTTCGTAATCGAGCTTCGGGAAAAGATTCCTCAAAACGGAATCATTCAAGAAATCTAGATTTTCAGCGCAAAAACCTTCCTTTCCTCGTGATGATCATCTCGGTATCCTTTTCGTGGAATCGTCGCCAAGTTTCTTCATCGAGCAATCTTGCGGTGATCATCTTTTTTTCTCTAAAAACTGAAATTATTTCAGGGAACAGGAAAGGAAAAATGATGAAAAAAAGCCGCTTGAAAAAAAGAAAACGAAAAAATAAGAAGAAATAAATGAAAATAGACTTATTGAAGGAGATATGGTAGAAATTCAAATATGAAAAAGAATTAATATAAAAATAATTTATTTTTTTGTAATTTTTCAAATGCATATATTTTTGCGAGTTATTATTTAAAAAAAGGGTCTTAAAAGGCTTAAAAATAGTTTGTCCAAAGCAGAGTTTTTGAAGCCTTTTTGATCATTATTCCGTGTTTCAATAATTAGTGCAACTTAGTGAGTTTTAAAAAAAGTAATTGCACAATTTGAAAAAAATTGTCAGAAAAAAAGAAAAAAATATTTTTAAACTTTTTGAAGAGTCAGAGATATATTTATAACTTTGAACTTTGCGAGAATTATTTTGAAACCAACTTTATTATTGCAACTTAGTGAATAATCGATTATAAAATATGAGTGAAACGTATTCACGCCTTCAAAAAGTTAAGAAATTAGGCTTCGATAACTTTAAGGAAACTATTGAGAGCAGATGAGATGCGAAAAACAACATGAAAAAAATCCAAAGAGCAAAATCAGAAACGACTCAAAAGGAAAACACCGCCGGAAACGTCCGCTCCTGGCTGCGGATCTAAACGGAACTGATCTGTTTAGAGGCGGAACCGAAAGGCGGCAATATCGCAGAAAGGTGACAAGTATCATTGTTTGGGAAACAGAAAAGTGCGAATTGGATAGGCCACGAGGCCGACGTCAGGGGCACGAGCCGAAGGAGTCTTCCCAGCCATTTGCAGAGTTTCGCACCAGTCGCTCCTCATTTTGTCTATTACACCAAGGTAATTGATCTTACCGATAATTAGGCGCCAATTTAGCTTCCTGTGAATATTCAAAAACTGATAAAATAAGGAAATCTTAACAAAAAAAAACAGTTGAATTTAAAACAACGCATCGGTCGGTTCGGTCATTTTTTTTGTAAAGCTCAAAAACTTTTCAAAATTTGAAAACTCGAAAAAATAGGCATAATAAAAAAGTGACAGAACCGACAAACTTTTCCAGCATGCCGAATCATAAGATTGGAAGCAAGAAAACGTGTGAAGAGAGAACCAGAAAATTTTCAGAAAGCCGAAATGAAAACGGGGCTCGCGGTTTTGCGCGTCAATTAAAAGGTTTATATTCCTCAAAGTGTGTGCGGCAAAAACACTGACCGTGAGCCGGATATAAAAAATAACTTTTTCATAACCCTTACAAAAGTTTATTTAAAATTTTTTGATAGTTTAATTACGTCTATCTAACATGAGCTATGTTCATTAACTTTTAAACCGCAAAAGACAAATTTGCATCGTTTGGTGCAATTAATAATAACATTAAAATTCATTTTACACGCAGAACAAAAATAAAATGTACATGAAAGGTTTGGAAAAAGAAAAAAAATTGGCAATTAAACCTGAAATAAACAATTAAATAGAAGGCGAGAGACTCTAACAAAAATTTGTCTCGAATAGATAAAAAAACAGTGGCTAACCCATATAATCTCCTTTTTGAAACGTAAATTAAGCTGTGAATATTGGTTCATTTCTCTTTAATTAATAAAAGATGATGTGCAAGATTTTTTTTTCTTCAAAATTCTGCTAATGGTTTAAAGATTTATTTTTTCAGAATGTTACTGTTCTCTTAAAAAAATTCAACACTGAAATTTTTTATTTTTTCTTTTTTTGTGAGAGCAAGTTGACATCAATGATAAATATTTATTTTTATCATGTATCCGTTAATCATGCAAATCAAACAAGTGCAGTTCTACAGAAAAGTTGAAGATTTCGTGCGTGCAAAAACAAACTCAACAGAAATGAATAACAAAAAACAAAGTATTTTACAGGAGGATCCCAATAAAAGTGGACTTTCTGGGATCTCAGAGTTTTTCGAAGAGAATATCAAAAAATTGATAATAGAGGCAATAATGATGAAGTGGGATGCGATCTTGCATTTCAAGGGTTTATTTTTGAATTATTATGGGAAAACCTCAAGAAAATGAACGAAATTTGAAGTTTTTCGAAGGAAATCAGCATCCATAGCCATAATAAGGATAATTGTAGCCCGGAATCACACTGGGAGGATATGGGAAGGTACACCAAGGCTGCTGCATTTGCAGAGCTTCTTCCGGGTTCTGGGGCATCATTTTGGCCGAGTTCTCCGGTGTTTCCGGCGAAGAAGACGACCTTTTGCGTTCGTTGCGGAATCCTCGGGCGTACTTGTTCTTCTCCACTTTCAGGTTCTTCACGTTGTTGTTCTGCAACAAGTTTTGGTGTTAAAAGAAAGTGTTCAATAATTTCAAGTTGCTTTGAAGACACTTCTATAGAAAAATTTAGGAAAGAACTCTAATTCTCAGTGGAGCGCACTTTGCTTTGTCCAAAGGGCCGCTTCTTTCAATATCATAGTTATTTTAAAATGATAATCAAAAAAATCTTCCTAGGTGACCTTTTTTAATTGCAGTTTGAAAACTCCTAAAATTACGAGAAAAATTTTTGTTTCACAGGCGGAAGCGAAAAATGAGAGTAGAAAAGGCTTTTTTTATTTTTGAAGCAAGATAAAAATCGATTATTCCGGAGTTTATTCGTGCTAAGAAATGTTCCTTGTTATTGCAATTTTTTCAAACTACAGCCGAAAAAATATATTTGAAACAGGAAACTGGTCGAAAAAAAATGTGGAAATTTGAACTTTTAAATATCAGTAACTTGTTTTTGTATGTTGTTTAAAAATGAAACCCTTTTTTTCTATTTTTTTCTTCATTTACTCAATGAAAAAAAGACACAATGTAAACAAACATGAAAAAGTTTTTCAAGTTTATTTTTAATTTCATGAAAGGAACGGTCCTGGAGACTGAAAAATTTCCAAAAAAAGGCAAAAAAAGATTTAAAAAAATAGTTTTTCTTAACTCTTCTTTTTAAGCTTTAAAAAAAGGATGTAATGGAATAGAAAAAGCCTCCCAAAAAAATCTAATTATTGTATTAAAAAAACACTTTTTTTGAGAAAAAAAGTACGTTTTTTTAATCAAAAAAATTTTGACAATTCGAAATTTCAATTATTCTTCTATTGTATATTCCATTAAAAAAAACCTTTATTTTTTTAAGTTTTTTTGTATTTTTCTTTCTGAAGATTGACTAAAAAAAGGAAAAAAATAACGAGGAAAAGTTAATTTCCATTTAAAAAGGTCACTTCAAACCTGATAAGCCGTGACGGCGACAAAAGCCGCACTTCCGAAGGTTCTTTGGAAGACCGGAGTCGCCAATCCTTCGAAATTCGGGTCACACGTGCTGAAAATAATTCATTAAATGATTTGTAAAAAATAATTTGTTCATTTCTACCCGAGAATCTTCTTCAGATGTGGCGGCTCGAAATGGGCAATGTCAAGGTTTTTTTGAAAGATTTAACGAACCTGTACTGATAAACGGACAGAGTTGGAGCGTATTTGTGCATCGAGTGTAGGACGATCTGAAGAAAATAAATGTTTTGAGATCAAAATCGGGACTTCAGAGTAATTTGGAAATTTTTAAAAAGGGACTTAAGTTTGAAGTGGTCACTATAGTAGTCGGATTAGAAGCCACTAAAAAGAACTACTATAGTGGCCACTAAGATGCAAAATAGTCGCTTCTAGAGGTGGTTTTGTGGCCAAAGTGTCCTCTCCAAGTACTTCAGCAACCCCTTAAGTGGCCACTAAAATTTTTCCTAGGAAAATTGAGATCGGTACAACAGTTTCTTGGAGTGATTCTGAACCTATAATCAATATTCCATGGGAAATTATGTGAAAAAAAATTTTATTTTTTCAAAATTTCCAACTTTCAGAAGTTGGAGATGATCAATTTTCAATTGGTTTTGATTTCAATGTGGAATTTTTGCATAGAAGGGGAATTGGAAAGCTCTGTGAAAACTCAGCTTTTTAAAATATCTGCTCAAAAACTTTCTAAAAGTTAAAATTTTAAAATCAAAATCTTTAAAGTCGCTTCCTTCAATAACTTCTAATTTCGAAGATATGATTTTTTTTTTTTCAACCCCTCTAGTGACCACTCTGTCGTTCCCAGGCTTAACGGGGAGAGAAACTTTGTGTTAAACAACTTCAAAAGTACATATCTTTAAATGTTGGAGAATTTTGAGAAAAAGCGTTTGGGCAGCATTTTAAGGTATTCCAAACTTCGATTAAAATTTTTTAACTCAAAAAATGGATCTAAAAGTTTTTCCTGTGATCTGAGAAAACTCCTTTTTTTTCCTCGATTCCATAGATTTTCTGAAATCTGAAGCTCAAAGAAAAATATTGGAGATGATCCTTGTCAAAGAACAAACGCGTCTATTGTCTCGATACCCTGTTATCTGATCAACTTTCCTTTTTTCCTACGACCCCAACTAATTATTTTTTGCGGATCGCTTTTGTTTGTGTTTTTTGGGCGTCCATTAGCGGGTCTAGGTGCTAAATAGGGGGAAAATGGACTAAATACCGCGCATATGGCAGCGCGACCACTAAAAGGCAAGGAGTACTGTAGACGTCCAAGTTTTTCGTTTTGAGCCTTTTCGGAATTACTGTAGTTTATATGGTTTTGGGAAAAATTTAGTCGAAAAATAAAAATAGTTGGACAGTTTAAAAGTCATCAAAAGTTTCATTATCTATTGAAAAAAAGTAGGGAAATTGGAAGGTGGAAGATTTTTTTGAAAGGCAAAAAAAAAAAAAAAAAAACGGCTTTTTTTACTTCAATATTTACATAATTGGATCTACGTTTTAAAAAAATTCTGACAAAGATTTTTTTGAGCATAATCTGTATTTTTTTCAATTTTTCGCAATTTTTTTAGTCTTAAAAATGACTTTCAACAAGTCAGAACCGTGTTTAAAGCTTCAAATCGGAGCGTTTATTTGAATTTTCATGTTTCAAAATTCCCAATTCGCGCTGAATTTTATTGAAATCACTTTACTCGGAAAAATATTTGCCCTTTTTTTAACCGAAATATTGATTTTTTTAAAAAAAGTCAGATCATTTTTTTGGCAGCTTTAAAGCTGATCTATAACTTGAATTTTCTCGTTTTGAAACTCTCAAATTTCTCGAATTCATCGTCTACCGTAAGCAGAACGATTTTCACGATTTTTCGACTTTGAATTCAATTAATCTTTCACTTTACTCAACATGAGAACTATAATGACAACCACAGAATTCCTGTTCAACCCCATAGTCAAGCTCAAAACTTACATGATTCGGATCGGTGACGCCGACATTGTTAGTGAGCTTGATTCGGTCGAAGCAAACGTCGCGCTTCATCCAATCAGCGCCCGACTTGACTCCGCTCGGGTGCCAAACCACCCTGGAAGGTCCGCAGGGCTCTCCGGGACCGTTGGAGCTCCATTCGCCTCCTTGGAACTTGTGTCTGAATTTTTCAGTGATCACTAAGGTCTCTTCCTGTCGTTAAAAATAAACCAAGAGGGATAACATTTTCAAGAATTCCGTTGAGCTCTGAAGTTACTATGAGGCAGGGTCTTCCTTTGGTTGGCTTTTTTCGAAGATTTTTCTTTTTTTTTCCCGATTTTACGCTTTTTGGGAAGAAAATTTTAAAGACCTTGAGCTAGGACCAATTTTGAAAATAGATAAAAAGGTTTTCAGCAACAAAAAAATTCAGCAATCCAAATATATTTTCGAAAAAGAAAAAGAAAGATGTTATAAGAAAGTCCAAGCATGATTAATAGGAAATTCTAGCAATTACAATTGGAATAAGCCTAAAAACGACGTAAGAGTCAATTTTTTCAAAAGCTTTAAATTTGCAAGTCAGAGAATTTTTTTCTGCGTCTATCTAATTGTTTTATTCCTTAATTCTGTATTGAAAAATCGAAATAAAGTGGAAAAAACACTAATTTTTGTTCTCGCAGGTGAAATGAGCTGTCCTTAAAGCTATAAACTGTCAAAAAAAGACGAAGAAATTCAACTTTCTCTGATTAATTTTTTAAAAAAATCATCGTCCTAATATTTTTTTTTTTTTTGAAGATAACATGATAGGAACGAAAAGAATAAAAAAAACTCGAACTGCAATAAAAAAAGACCCACTTTACTGAAAAGATCGTAGGGAAAGAAATGAACTTTTCGGCCAAAAAAAAAAGACTTGAAAAATGGATTTATACGAGAATTTTGAATCAAAAACAGCAACAAGAACTGATTCGATAGGAACATAACCAATTGATAAATAAAAAAAAACATGAAAAATGAAATAAAAAAGCAAAAAACCTGTTCGAGTCGATTCGATCAATCTGTAAGGTGAACGTGTAGAACTCAAACGGCGACAAGTCTTCGACTTTGAATTCCAAACATGGAAAAAGGTTCCTGTAAAATTGGGTTCAGTCGTTTTCTCAATAAGACTTGGTGTGTTGAAAAGTCCTAGCTGAATTAAAAAACGGTGGAAAAATTTTTTAAAAGCTTGCCAAAGTGAACCTCACAAGGGAGGTCCACTTTGGGGTTTAGAACTTCTTGAAAATTGGTCAGAAGGTTTTTTGATGTACCAGTAGAAGATCCTGAAAGTCTGACCCTATGAAAACGTCTAGTTTCTGAGAAAGGACACCTCGAAAATACTTGAAATAGACTATTTTGAGGCTTAAAGCCCTCATTTCTTGAAAACTAGGAAGTTGGGCAGGTTGGGACTTAAAAGGAGTGTTCCAGCCAATTCACCCAGAATCCAGCTAGAAATAGAAGACAGAACTCAAAATGATTACCTTCCATTCTTGGTGATGATCATCTCGTTGGTGAACTCGTTGAACTGCCGCCAAAGGTCCTCCTTGGCAAGGGAGATCCTCATCGTCAGGAACAACAATAAACAGCGACGTCAAGATGACGAACAGATGATGGCCGAAGGATGCCCAACTTTTTGACACCCGGAATAGGCGGACGGATCCATCCTGCCTCAGGCACGTACAGGTCCTGCGCCCAATTTCGGCAGGTGGCCGGCCCCCTCGCACCGTATCCAAAGCTGTGCCCGTCATTATTTCGCTGAGTCTACGGAATAGTAGTAGTTTGAGAACCAATTTGAAACTTCTTTTGTCATTTTGGATCGTGGACAGGACTCAATTAGCCCGTTTGGAGGAACTTACAGAAATTTTAAGAAACATAGGCAAAGTCGGAAAGACCCTCCGAGGGTCCATAAAGGACCATAGAAATGTTCCCTTTAGGTAGATGAAGGCTTCCTTTTTGCTGCCTTTTTGCGCCATTTTCTCATCCCTTTTGCCCCATTTTTGCTGCCTCTCCCTTTCTCCACCATTTCTTGAGCCTTTAAAATCCCAGAAAAAATGAAAAACTTGATAAAGGGACTCTTTTTGCTGCCTTTCTGCGGCCTTTTTTGAGCCTCTCCCTTTTAGCGGTCATTATCCACCATTCCGACTTTGCCCGAGTCTTCAGAAACAACATTTTTCTCGGTGCCTTATCGGGTTTCGCAGAAAATCTTTTTTTTTCCAAACATCCTGAACTAGGTCTATAATTTGCCCATGTATGTTTCAAATAGTAAGATTGAACTGGATCCGCAAACGTATAATCCTGGTCTTGGCGGCATTAAGAAATTATTTGCTCATGTATGTTTCAAATACAGTTTTCTTAAAGACTGCTGATTTTAAACTGATTACTTTCCACTTATTTTATTAATAATCAACCGGTTTCAAGACGATTTCGATAATATTGAACATACTGAATACTCTTTGAGTGCGAAGATTCATTAAAAAAAACCAGCACAAAAACTTTTTCCGTTTTCTTCAGTTAAAATATTTCATCCTAAATGTTTCGAATTGTTATTCTTCTCAATTAAAACTAAGATCATTCACCGTACCTTTGAAAAACCCCTGATTGTGGAAAATGGACTCAATAAGGGAAAATAATGTTGTGATGAAACGAGATTTCCAAAGATTTCTACAAAATAAGTCTCTCTTCAATTTTACTTTGTGGCTCCTGAAAAAGCTGGTTTCCCTGAACTTTTTATCCTTTGTCAAATTTTTTGATACAAAAAATTAGGATTAGATCCTTTATTCGACATATTAAAATACAGATAATAATCACCTATGAACATTTTGACTAGTGAATCACGACTGTCGTACCGAAATAGCAGATAACTTTTTGTTGGAAAGTATTTTTCTTCAGTCAGATAATTTTTTAGAAAGTATTTTCAGCCCCCGTTGGGCGTCTCGAAAAGTGAGTATTATGAGTCTAAATGATATGACTAGACATTCAGTGAAAAGTGCAAAAAAAGGAGAAAAAGGTCATTTCTTCTTGACGACGTGAAGCCATTGAATCTTCCTGACGTCTTCCAAAGCTTCTCGTAAACTTTGCATCCGTTTCTCATGCAGTTCTGAAGTTCTGAGTCCAATTTCGATCGATAAATGAAGAATCACCGTACTGCTCGTAGTTAACTTCATTGAAAGTTCTTTTCGAGCAGACTTCTTGGTTGAAAATCTCTGCTTCTCTTATATCACGAGGACGATTGTTTACTGAAAAAGAAATATTTTAAATTTGAAGCAACAATTAAAAAATTTACTTCCTGGCCGCATCGGTCGGAAAGGCTCTCCCGGCACATCGCTAGCAAAATTCACAAACTCAGTATCTACATCGGCAGATCTGTAATTTGAAAAACTATTAAATTCTAACGTGTACTTTTTACATGTGGAACTGTGGCGGAGGAGTGGTAGGCGGGCTTTGTGGTGTTTCGCTTGCCATGTTTAAACTGAAAATTATTATTTTACAATTCTTCCTTTATTTACACAGTTATAACGGATGGAAAAGATGCCAAAACTTCATAAGATTATTGATTGAAAAGCAATCATTTGAAAAAAATAAAAAAAGATGTTATCATAAAGCAGTTTCGATTAAAAAATTACAATCTCGAACCTTCGCAGCAATAATTCTAAATGACTTTACAAACTAAGACTTATTTGCTTTTAATTTCAAAATGATCGTTTCGTCTCAATTAAGCTTGCAAAAATCTGTTCGCCGGTACTGACGGCGCGTGTTTTTTTGCCAAAAGTGTGCATGCGCGCAAGCACTAAAAGTATTTTATATTATTAATTTCAAAACCAAAATTCATAAAGGTAGGAACGTATTTAGAAACAAGAACCCCCAAAACAACCCCCTCCAATCAGACTTAAAGAAATAAAGAAGCTGTCGAAATACGGCAAAACCGTGCGGGAAAGTGAGCTCCGCCCTCGAATGCATTTTGGTCGCAATAACAGGACGGCGCGAATGAAGATTTTTCAAAAAACAAGCTCAACAGCTGATGTCTATTTTTTATTTTATCACTTACATTTGTTAATTTTTATGTTATCGTGCTAATCTTTAATGTTTGACTTTATTTCATTTCTATAAAAGACCTCGAGGCAAGTTCGTTTCTTTTATGCAAACGTATTTCTATTTTGACCCCTCCTTGGTTAAATTTTTTCGTTATTTGGTATCATACTTTATCTAGCTTTTTTAGTTGATAATGTAAGGTAGTCTCGCTTTCTATCTGCTCATAGTGCCGGAAAAAAATCAAAGGTGCTCCCAAATCAAGCTTCGGTCTTGCAAATGTTTTTTTCCTTTGGAAGATTTTTGATTTTTTTGAATGAATTTATTGATTTGATTTGAAATTTTCCGTTATATTCGAGAAAAAAATATATTATATGTTTGGCGTTTTAGAAACTTTTTATTAATTTTTATTTTGAAGAGTTTTTTACAGATGGAGTCCATCTCTCAAGCAGATGAAAACCAAGACCCGCAACGTTCAATTCCAGTGAGTCCCTACCAAGCTCGAGAAAAAGGCCAGGAAAGCCGTTGGAATTCGAAGCATGGAGGGTTAGTTGAAGAATCGAAAGGGAATTTGAAGAAAATACGACTTTTTAGACACTTTTCGATACAAAATTTTGAAATTGGGCGGCCTCTGGGTAAGGGGAAAATTCGGAAGCGTGTATTTAGCTCGATTGAAGGATTCTCATTATGTTGTCGCATTGAAGGTATAAAAGTATGGAATGTCGCTGATTTAATAATTGTTTTCAGGTGCTTTTCAAATCACAGCTTGTTAAAGCCAGTGTCGAACACCAATTGGAGCGAGAAATTGAAATTCAAGGGCATCTCAGGTACAAAATTATCCGTTTTATTATTTTGAATATATACTTTTCAGGCATCCAAACATCCTAAAGATGCACACCTATTTTTGGGACTCTAAGAAAATCTACCTGGTTCTGGAATACGCGCCCGGCGGCGAAATGTACAAATCCCTTCAGAAGGCGCGCAAATTCACAGAAGCACAGACGGCAGTGGTCTTTTGATCGAAATTTTGAAACGTGTACCTCAATTAATTGCAGTACATGTATGAAATCGCGGACGCCCTGTCCTACTGTCACATGAAAAACGTGATCCACCGGGACATCAAGCCCGAAAATTTGCTTATCGGCGTCAAGGGAGAGCTGAAAATCGCCGATTTCGGCTGGAGTGTCCACGCGCCCAGCAAAAAGTTTGTGTCATATTTTTCAAAATTTATTTATCCCGTGATCAAAAAAATTTCCATGCAAAATTATCTCTGAATCTCCAAAATTTAGTTATCTTTTTCACTCTTTGACGGCTATTTTAAATTTCCGCTTTAGTGATTTTCTTTTAGAAAAAAAAAGAATTAATCAAATCAGTCATTTCATGGTGGCCTTATTCACGATTCGAACAAAATGTCGTTTTTAATAAATTTTTCTGTATCCAGTACATCTAATCGAGCTCATGCTACAGTAACTTCATTTAAAAACCTTTTTTTTGGAAAATCATTTTTCGAAATTTTTTTCATCAGGATATTTTTATTTATGAACTTCTTGCTTCTGATTTCGATTATTCATGATTTTCCGGTACTTATTCTGTTTTTGATACACGCTTTATACAGCAAAAAAAATTGATGAGACCTTGATACATTGGTTATTTTTTCTGTCCGCTCTTTAAAAAAAAACTTTGTTCCAAGAAAAAAGATTTCGAATCTTAAAGTTGTTTTGTCTTTTATTGGTCTCAATGCGAAAATATATGAGTGAATATTGTGGAATTTCCTTCTTTTTTTTTTAAATGGCACAAAATCTCGGGGACATCGCTAGACTTGACAGTATTAACACAAAATAATGGAAAATACGAGTTATTTTTGAAATAAAGTCCAAAATTTAAAGCGAAAAATTTGCAATAGGTGAATTCCTTCTGTTTTGAACACGATATTATAACTTTTTTGAAAGGCGTGGTATTGATATAACTATTTCTCAGGAGAATGACCATGTGCGGAACTTTGGACTATCTTCCACCAGAAATGGTTCGCGGAAGGGAACACAGCGATAGTGTATGTTTTATTATTCCTTTTTTCAAAGTAACTTGCGATTTCGAAATGGACGTTTTATGCATTAAAAAAGATGCTAATTACGCGAAGCTGGCTTTTTTTAAAAAGTGGCAGCGAGAAAATTTGGGTTACAACGAAATGGCGAATGTTAACTATTTAAAAAAATTCAGAAGTTGGGTTTTAAAAAATCCTCGTTGTAGAATCCAATATTTCTCGAGGCCCCAGTACCGGCGGAAAAGATAGGAAATCATTTTTTGCTCACAACTTCCTTAAATGGAGCTCAATTCTTTTTGAAACTTTCTAAGCACGACATGCATTTTGGACGTTTCAGGTGGATCTCTGGGCGATCGGAGTCCTTTGCTACGAATTTCTGGTCGGTCGGCCTCCGTTCGAAAATGACAAACAGGACGTGACTTACGCAAAAATAACGTCGGTAAGAAGATCATATTTTTAAACATTTGTTTTTTTTAGCTTCAATGTGGAAAGTTTTCACAATTTTTAGGCGTTTTCGAAGTTTCTTTTTGGAGAAAATGACTTGAAGTAGCTTTAGAAAATGTTGGGTGAAATTTCAGTTTTATTTTTTTCTACTTTTTAGGTTAGAAAATTTGATAGTTTGCATGTTTATTCATTCCACCAGAGATTTCTTGAGTTCCCAGAGAAATATGGTCTGCTTAAGATTACAGGGATGACACAAATAATTGATTTTTTTGAAAAATTTTCGAATCAAAATGTAATTTTTTTAAGTTAAGAATGAAAGTTCCATCTCATTTATAAGCTTCGTAATATTTATTCTCTTGTAAAGCTGTCCTGAATTCATTAAAATTTATTTCCACAAAAGGGCTGATTGAGCTAAAACTGGAATCAATTCATCTTGAATAAATTTTTGAGCTTTTCAGGTGGATTATCGGTTCCCCGAGCATGTCTCTCAAGGCGCGCGTTCCCTGATCAAAGGCCTTTTGCAGAAAGATCCGACCAAAAGAACGAGTCTTTTGAATGTTAGCAAAATATTCTTCATTTAGATATAATTCCGTTTCTTTCAGGTGATGCAGCACCCGTGGGTGGAAAAGCATGCGCGAAGTGAAACGGACTGCCGAAAAAAGAGCCAATCAACACCAACATGAGCAATAAACTCCCAATGATATTTTTTGTTTCGACATTTATTCTTGTACAAATAAATTGTTTTGCCTACCATTTCTTGTATAGATTTCAAAAGAAGTACTTTACCGTTTCACTATTTCTTCATTTTGGGGTAGAATATTTCTCGATAGTGATCAAAACATATGCGAAATTAATGATGAGATTGTCTTTGAATAAAAAATTACCTGAAGTATTATAGGGTTTCTTCATAATTTTATTTATTTGACTTTTTTTGAAAATACTTGCGAAAAAAATTTTTTCACACTTTTTGGAAAGAAAAACCAATAAATAGACAATAAATACTCAAGTCGCTGCTCGAATTTTCAAGAGAGCGGTGGAGCGCAGAAGCCTCGTTCAGTGTCGAAGGAAAAATTTTTCTACTCCTAGGTTTCTTTTTATAAAATTTTACCATTTTTTTCTTCGTAAATTTATCAAATCGTTTTTTTTATAAGTGAAACGGAGTATGCTTCGAAATGCTGCCGCCAAACTGAAAGTTTCTATTTTTAGGGTTGTTTCGTTTTTTTAACTTTTTTTGGAATTTTTTTCTCAGAATTTTTCACAGGAAATTTACATATATGGCAAGTTTTATACTAATACTCATTCTAGTTAATGAAAAAAAGACTTGAAAGAAAAATAATAATGTTAATTTTTCACCCCTTTTTTCCTCATTTTTCTCATCGAGTTTATATGTTTTTTTATCACGACAGGGAATCGATACTGATTTTTTTATAGCGTTTTTTTCATCCTTTTTTTCGATCAAAATGTTTTTTTATTTCAGAAATTTCGTAGAAGTTGTTGATGTGAGTAGTTTCAAAAACAAAAAAATGACGGATAGTGGCTGGAGTAGCGCAGCGGTCGGTTCAGGTAAATTTCAAAGTTATCTTTTTTTTTTTAAAGTTTCGTTAATTTTAAGGCACCGCTCTCCCGTTTTACACCATGAAGGAAGAGCTACCGGGTCAGTTTTTTGGATTTTTTTATATGAAAAATATTAATATTGACTTTTCAGCAAGAAGTTTAATGCTTGGCAGTTGTGATCTTTTTGAGGGCCTACGATCTGGGCGCAGTTTATAAGTTAGTTTTTTTGATTTCTATTTTTTTCAAATAATTTATTCTGCGTCAACTCGTCACGCTTTCCTGGAGAAAATGTCGTAAACCTTTGGTTCACAGGTCTTGAAGCGAAAAAAAGTGTTGTGTACTGTGGTTGTTTCTTTATCTACTTCGCAGAAATAAACAAGTTGGCGTGGCCTTTTTGAAATAATTTCGGCGATTTTTGATTTTTTTTTCCAATTGTTTATAATGATTCCGTGTAATTTAAATCTGGGAGCCGTACGAAAAAAATGGGTCTTACAACGTTATATCGTTTTACGGTGACTTTACCGCGCGAATTCGAAGTTTTTTTCGTTGTTTCAAAATTTTAAGTTCGCGCCTAAAAAGCCACCGTAAAAAGTAACATATCGCGATATATCGTTGTGAGACCCAATTTCTTCAATTTCTCGCGAAATAATTTCAAACAAACATCGCCAATATTACTTTGACCAAGGCAAACATAAAACCTAATTGAAATATTCCAGCCGATTCTGCGGTCATCGAAAAATCCGTGAGGAAATTTCCTCCTTTTTGCCCCATATTTATGGGAATTTTAGCTTCAACTCGGCCCATGATTCGAGGTTTCTTTTCAATGATTTTTTTCATTTTCTAATCTGATTAAGTTTTCAGTTCATTAAAAGCTCTCGTGGAAAAAGCCGCCGATTACCGGAAAAGAAATCAATTATCTGTCAAACAGTGCCATGCAAGGCTTTAAACTCAGCTCGGGACCTGTCGATGAACGGTTTGCATTTTCAATTTTTCTATTGATTAGTATATTAGAATCTTTAATTAAGCTCTTAGGGCATTGAAACTTTGTAGTTTTGAGATTTTTTTAAAAAAAGTTTTTTAAGAGAAATCTTATTTAGGGGCCCTAACTCAACTCTTACGGGGCCCCGAAAAATCTGCTTTTAGGGGCCCCCTATAGGGGGTAGGATCAAATTTTCACTGGGATTCTCTTCTTTTCGATTTCTTTCCAGCGTCGTTTTATGAAAGGATAGATAAAAAAAGATGCAAAATTGAATTAAAAAAATGAGATATTTTTTTAGAAAGAACCTTTTTGTTTTTGCCCGAGTATATTCTTATATGGAAAGATAGCTAATTTTAGACTGTGAATCTCGAATTTTCCAGTGCAAATATATAGCCCATACCGCGTCAGCTTGTCACGTTTTTTTGTGTTTTTGACCAAACTTCGCTTCGAGACCTTTTTTTGTCTATTCGCAGATTTGTGGAGCAAAAGTGCAAAACAAAAAAACTGTATTTTTCGATAAATTTTTTTCTTCTTCTTGATACTTGTCTGTCTCGCGCGGTAAGGACTATAATCGTCATTTCAAAAAAATCTTTGCCAAAAGATTTTTAAGGCGCAGAAGCCTTGCGCTACCCAAAAATTTTTGACGGAAAGCTTGTTGAATTTTTTTCTTTTTTTGCCTTGCAAAATTCGATGATAAACCGTTGAGTAAATTTGAGTTGAACTGAATAATATTCCCAAACGGAGTTTTCTGTCAGTTGTTTTTCAATTTCATCATGAACTGAATCATATGTTATCATATAAAATAAAGTATCATTTTTGTAAAGTTCAACCAATTTTTCCTTTCACTGAATATTTCTGGAGTAACGATTTTTCAGAGTTTTACTAAAAAAAAACGGAAAAAAACTCAAATTTTTCTAGAACCCGATTTTTATTTTTTTGCACATAACTTATCTTTTTTCCTTTTTAATAATAAAGAATCTAGGAAGAACAGTGTTAAAATTGAGCTTTTCTTTTCTAATTCATGTGAAACTTATAACTTACAGGAAATAGCGTTTTCATTTCTAGCTTTGTCAGCTTGTTTGAAATTTCTTGTTATGGGGTTTTTGAGATTGTTATGTCCTCAAAAAAAGCTCTTCTTCTCGAAATTCATTCTTTTTGAGCATATATTCTCCGTTAAACCCTCCAGATTTCAAATATTATAGGACTTTTTAACTCGAAACTTCTTAAAAAAATTCCCAGTCTATTAAAAAAAGAAAGTTTAGATACCGTTATTTGTTTGAAAAACGACGGGGTGACGACGATTTGAAAGGCGCGTTTCCGATGGAACGGAGGGAAGGAAGTTCGAATAGTTATAGACAGTCTTTGGACCCTCTGAATCCTCCCAAAGGTTGAAAATTAAATATTTCTTCCTGTTTCAAAATATTTTTCACAGATATTGATGATGAACCCGATCGGAAAAGACACAAAGGTGACCGGGAGAAGAAGAAAAAGAAAAAGGACAAGAAAAAGAGGGAAAAGGTCGGTTTTGTGATAATTTTCGATGTTTTCAACAATAATATAAGGAGGAGGAACGGCGAAGGAGTGAAACGACTGGCGGCAAAGCTTGACTTCTTGGTTAGGATTTTGGAAATTCGTGAGTTTTTTTCTATTCCTAATAATTTTTTTCAGCAATTTTTTTCGGAATAACTTTCTGAGAATATTATAAAATCTATTATCAAGGTTCACACCTAATCCTTGAAAGTTTTAGAAGATATAGTACTGAAATGAAAAAAATTCCAGTGAATAATTATCATCAGATAGATGAAATTTGGTTTTTTTCCGACTTTCCAATCGAATTTTTCCTGATCTTTTTTTCGATTTAGCAGTCCGTTTTTGAAAAAAATTCGTAGAAATGCTGTTGACCAATCTTTGCAAGGAGTTTTGCCAATTTTTTTCTGGTCTTCTCGAAAAAAATTTTTATGAGTAATTTTTTTCCATACTAAAAAGAGACTGAATTGAATTTTTTTAGTAGAAAGTTTCTAAAAAAAGAGAAAAAAATTTTTTTGCCTATTTTTGAAATAAAAACTGATAGTCATTTCAAAAAAACCTTTCCAAATAATCAGAAAAACGCCCGGTAAATTAATTTTTTTATAAAATTCAGATCTTCGACGGGTCCTTGGAAAAAGCCGACATGATAGTCTTTGGAACTTCAATTTGCCGATTTTTTTGAACGAAATTCGTTCTTTTTCTGTTTGTATATTTTATGGAAACTGTCTCGAATAAAAATATTTCTCATTTGATTTTTTTATCTTGAGTCATTTATCAAAAGTTTTTCAGACGCTTCAAATTACTTTGAAATTCGATGAAGCCATAAAAAGAGCAAATTTAAAGCTTTACTATTTGTGTAATTCTGAAGTCACATTCGAAAATTGCCTTCGGAACAATTTATTTCTGATTTTTTACATTGCAAGGTAAGTGGATTAATAGGATTTTGCATTTAATTTTTAAAAAATGTACTCTAAAAATATTTCACGGAACAATTTTTTTCCCCATACCAATATCAAGTTTCAATGTTTTTTTATTTGCTCGAAGGTTTAAAATTATAAAATTAGAAAAAAAGTTATACTAAAAAAACATTTTTTTGGAGTTTTTTTAAACGGCTTAGATTCAGAAATCCTACGCTTTTTCTCAATAAATTTGTTTTTATAATTTTTAGAAAAATTGTTGAAAATGGTTTTTTAAACTGTCCTTTATGTAATTTTTCAAAAGTTCACTAGTCTTTCATGACCAAAAATAAATCGGAAAGAAACTTTTTGCTCCCTAAAATTCTGTAACTTCCATGTTACTCTAGAAAAAGTACTAAAAAAGCTTTTGAAAACTGGAAAAGAACATTTAAACTCAGATCCTTTTTAATGGAAGAAAGGCGTTTCGGGGAACAGATCCCGGCGTCGGACGTCGTCCAGACGCCGAACTCTGAAGACGACGTCGGAAATCTGCTCGAATGGATGAGAAACGACGAAATCGGGCACGACGCCACCCTTGAATCGCCTTTTGGCGATCGGCAGAGTTAGAACTTTTATTTTTTCGTTAGCCGAGAAATATGTGTAGTTTTCTTCAGATTTACCAAAAATCACGAGATTCAGTCTTTGTAAGAGCTCATAATTTTAGCCCTAATTGAGATATTTCACTTTTTATTTTTATATTTCTTGTGGAAGATGTCAAGTTTTGATAATGCCAAGAATTTAATGGCTCAACAAAATTTCGGAATGTTGAAAACTGAAAAGAGGCGAAATTAACTAGTGAAAGGCAAGTCGAAGAAAGATAAGGCTCTCAAGTTTGCGTTATAATTTTTTTTAGGTTTCAGTTTTTGGTATTAGAGCGTTGAAAATATATTTCTCAAACATGTCAGTACTTTTTGTGAAGTTAGGTGAGCAAAAAAGATAAAAAGACATCCAGAAAAGTTACCGAAAAATTATTTTATTTTTTTAAATCTTAAAGCTTGTTTTCACTGACGTTTACTGACATTTAGACTAGTTTACTAGGTTTTTTTTTGCAAGGAATATTTCTCCTTGAATACCAAAACTATCTCTGACTCTCCAGAGTTTCGTTATCTTTTCGCTTCTCTGATCGTTATTTTGAAAATCGCGGAATAATTTTGAACACGGCACGATATTTGATTATTTGCAGTAGTCTACTGCGACTACACGGCGAGCGCTCGAGCCTTCAAATCCATCGAAAATTACATTCAAACGGTTTTTCTTGATTACTTTTACTATTCAAGGCTAAATTTCAGGAAGTTTTGCCCTTTTATGGGAATACTCATAGTTCAGTTACGGTCACCGCTGAGCAGACTACACTTTTCATGCATGAAGCTAGGTTTTTTTGGCTGGGATCATGTAGAAACTTATTGAAAGTGAACTTTCAAGACAAGAAATTCGGGCGATGACTGGCGCCGGCGACCTGGACGACGTCATATTTCACTGGGAAGCGGCGCCACAGCCGCCGTCGAACTTTTGACTCACCTGATTTGCGATGAAGCGCAGAAGCCCTTGGTAAGAATCGAAAATTCAGAGAAAAGCTCTGATCTAAGAGTTTTGAGATTTTTTTAATGTTCAGAAAAAAATCCTCCCAATTATTTTTCTTGAAAACGATACTGAAAACTATACATTGATGGTAAAGGAAAAATTTTTACGAAATAAGAGAAGAACTCGAAATTTAAAAAACCCGATATCATCGTCTCGAGAAGCAAAATTAAAAAAAAAGCGGAAAATGGTTTTTCTTCGCTACCGATTTTTTTCACGAGCAGTCCGCAGACACGCTATAACATCGCGCGCAATTTTGCGGACTTCAACGTCTTTTCGCAAATTTCTTCATTTTTACTTTCGTTGTTTTGAACTCAAAATTAAGATTACTCTTTGAAGGTGGTGGTTCATTCGATCCACGAACATCATTCAAACCTTCTCCCATGGCGACATCGGGCTGAAAAATGTTACGTTGTTGATGAACAGGAGAATGGAGACGTTGATCTTGGTTCATTTATTCATAATATTTCAACGATTAAGTTCTCTTTTTGTAGAGTCTTTGGAGAGGAATCTCAAACTTGCTGTAGAAAATCATGCAGAAGCTTTGATTGTCGGAGCCTTCACTGCATGTTCAAACGTCACTGGAGTTCTTATAAACGTCGAAAATGTCACCAAGACGTTGAAAAAGTTGGTTTTGCGCTGCTTAGGAACTCCAGAGTGGTCCCCTATAGGGTCGAGCTTTTTGGCCCAGGAAGGTTCCCTATAGGGACCACCTAACCTTGGCCTACAGTCTTTACTAAAGCTTGCAAAAGTGTACCCTATAGGGGTCATTTTAGTGGCCCCTTTAGGGGAGCATTTGTCGTTTATTGTTGCAATATCTAGTGAGAAGCGTTCCATGACGGAAAATCAATAAGTTGCGCTTTTTGAAAGAAAAAAATAAACAGAGCTTCGATTTTTATTGAAAACTTCTTTTTAATTTTCAAACTAGACAAAAAAATTGAAAGACCCTACAAGGATCATTTAAGGTTATCGAGCACATTAGTCGGATTGTAAGCCCCTATAGGGACCACTCAAAAATTTAGTTAGATCATCTTTTCTTACAGCCTTTTCTAGAAGCAAGATATTTTCTTAAAAGTATTGCAGATGGAAAAATTTTTTTGGGCTTTAATTTTTTTCATTTTTTTGTGTCCCATATTCATCATGGGAAACTGTTTTTTTATACTTAAAATTTTGGCTTTTAATCTATGAAAAGGTTTCGAAAAACTTTTTATAATATCAATTTTTTTGTCTGTAATCCGGCAAGCTTTTTGTGCATTTTTCTTTTTCGAACTTGTTTTTATTTTTTTTTTTCTGTGAAGGTTCGGCGCGTTATCCGTGTGGGATTACGCTTCGGCGGCCCCTTACGTCGAAATTCAAGTGAATGGGCGATTTCCATTGGATGCGGTTTTTTTCTCGGGACACAAGTTTCCTGGTGGCGTTTCTTCTCCAGGTGCATTTCCAGGCCAAATAGGGCATTTTTCTGAGATTTTAGGCGTTCTTGTTGTGAAGAAAGCCATTGGGCAAGTGTCCAAGCCGCAGAGAATCGGCGGCGGAACTGTCTTTTTTGTAAGTTTTAAAAGTCTATTTTAGTCAAATACTGCCTTGATCAAAGGGATTTCGCGAAAATGGAAATAGTTGGCAGAGAAGGAAAAAAGATAACTGAATTTTGGAGAGTCAGAGATAACTTTGAATTTTGCGGAAATATATTTGAACATGACATAAAGTTCCATTCTTGTAGGAGTATCTTCAAAAAGTAAAAAAATAATTATTAGGAATAATTATAAATAAATGAACAGAAAATCACTTAAGTGATGGTAGAGAAAAAGATTTGAATTTAGAAGAAAATGAATAAATTCTAGTAATTCCAAAAATTCCAAAAAATCGTTTTTTTCATCAGAACTTTTTCAAGTTTTGTCTAATGACGATTGACTTAGCGGTTTTTGGTTTTTTATTTCAAGAAAATGCTTCTCATCATAGCCATTCCCCATGCGGTCATGGGCTTTGAATTTAGACTCAATCGATTATATCGATCGGGAATCAGAAACTTCGAAAAAATAATCCGTACCATAAACTTTTAAAATTTTCATCAGGATCATGAAAAAAACAATTGACTAGTGAGAATAGATACTAAATATTGATTTTTTTTTGTGAAAGAAAGTTCAGAAAACTTTCACAATACAATCCAGGTGAGTCGAGCCGGAGAATGGTACCTGAAAGAGGCTGAACATCGAGAAGAAGGCGGTACTGCAGATCCTGTCGGAGCTGTACGGCTAGCCATGGCCGTGAAGTTGAAAAGGAGTGTTGGGGAGAGGAATATTGGCCGGTTTGAAGAGAACTTGTCGAGGTACAGTTATCAGCGAAAAAAGTTTTGAAGATTCCCTTTTTAGAGTTGTTTTCTTCTGAAATTTAGTTTTCTAATTTTTTTGGCACTATTTTCAAAGTTAGAGATCGTTCACAAATGAGAGGGTAGTGGTTTTGCTTTCTCTGAACACTCTCGTTTAGCAGTGAACTCTAACTTTTAAAACTTGCAAGTAAACTTACTTTTAAAATTGAGCAAAAATAGTGTTTTTTGAAAAAAACATTTATGATACTCTCTTCTTTTTAATAATTTCTGTGGAACTCCTTTTTTTCGAAACGATCGAAAAAAACTCTAGTTTTTTGATCTTCAAGTTTACTTTTAAAGTTTCTACGGATCGACAAATTCAGAAAAAAAGTTTATTGAGAAAAAATGAGTTGAAGTTTCATTTCAGAATATTCTTGGGTGAGGTCTCAAATTGTAAAGAGCTTGTCCTATTAGGAGCCCCGGTTTTCGAAGATCGCGTTCCCGTTTTTTTCCTTCGTTGTAAAGGTTAGTTTAAGTTTTTTTCTTCAATAATTATTTCTTGCGAAGATTTTTTTAAAAAAATTCGTTGAACCTTTGATAAAACTTGACGGGAGTAAACTTAAGATTTTTTTCTGAGTCTAAAAAAATAAGAAAAAAAAGTTTCGCAATGTAAACTTTTTCAAATTATAGCGCTCCAAAGTCTATAATCTACAATTTTTCCACAACTTCTCTTTTTTTAGAACACAGAAAGCCCTAAAGTACAGTTTATCCAGTTTCCCTTGAAAGTACCTTTTAAAACTTTTCTTGAAGAAAGTTTTGAACAAAATAAGTATTTTAGGACCTCAAATCTGGCCTTTTCTTCCATCATAACTACATTTCTGCCCTTCTCAACGATTTATTCGGAATTCAAACTCGAGCCGGTTGTATGTGTGCTGGTCCGTATGTTCAGCACCTCCTGGGAATTGATGAAAAGGTTGATATTTTCAGGAAAAAAAAATATTATCAAATTTTTCTTTGAAAAAAAGGAAAGTTCTCTGAAAAAGACGATAAAAAAGTCAACCTGAAGCGTTTTCACTTCGATGGGCCCGTCCAATGAACCTTTACGCGAAAGTCGTCTAGTGTCGGGTGCACTTTTTGAACGATATTTTTCGTAATTGAGCCGAAAAAAATCGATTCAATGTGTTTCAAATATGCGACCATCGGACTCAATTTTGAGACCTTTTTTTAATATAAAAAAATTCAGATGTCATCAGAATACCTGGAAGCCCTTCGAGAAATCCCCAATCTCGACCGGACTCATTTGAGAAGGACTCGCGAATATTCACAACACGAATTTTTGAGGCCCGGATTCACTAGAATCTCTTTCCCCTATTATTTCACAGCTGAAAAGGTTTTTCGTGTCGAAACCCATTTATTTTTGTATTTTTTCAAAGGTTCGACAAGTTGCCGAGTGTGTAAAGTTCGTCGCCGAACACGCCGCCGATTTGATTCATCTGGTAGTTTTTCTCAAAAATTCAAAGGAAATTAAGGAATCTTCAGTACCAAGTGAACTGTGAGAGTTCGGAGTGGCATCACAAAAATCAGCGGGTTTTTCATGATCGAAGGTAATTTTTGAGCGATTTTGAATGGTTTGAGGCGCGGCGGTCCGGCGCGGTTTGAGTGAAAAGTTCATCTGCTGCACTTTTTAATGTCAACTGGCTAAAGTCGCTTTTAGTCGGGGGGAAGCTTAAGAGTAACCTGTAAAATTTTTTGATGCCGAAAGCCGCTTTTGGTCGGGTGAAGAATTTGAGTAACCTGTAAAAATGGCGGAAGTCGCTTTTGGTCGGCTGAAGCTTTGGAATAGGCTGGAAAAAATTTTTGATGGCGGAATTCGCTTTTGGCCTGGTGAAGCTTTTGAGTAACTTGAGAAAACTTTTCGACGGCGCAAGTCGCTTTTGGTCGGGTGAAGCTTTTTGAGTAACCTGTAGGAAGTTTTCAATGGTGGAAGTCGCTTTAGGTCGGGTGAAGGTTCTTGAGAATCCTGTAGAAACTTTACAAAGGCGGGAGTCGCTTTATGGTCGGAGAAAGTTTTGGTGTAACCGCTTCGCTTTGAGCCATTCTCCTTGCGACCAAACAATATTTTTAGTTTGAGCAAACTTAAAAGCTTGATCCATTGCTTAATTATGAACACTTTCACAAATATCTATTGCAAAATAACTACTAATAACTTTTTTTCCAGATGGCTTGGCCATACTCGTTTCACCAAAGACGGATTAATAGTCAAGGTTATTTTTCTACATTTTTTGAGAAACTGAAAGACTTTTTTCTAGGAAGCTAAGAAACGGGAAAGGGCGCCTTCAATGAAAGAATTATTGGAAGAAGCGGAAATTTTGGCTGAAGAATTTTTCGACTTTTTAAGGATGTGGGAAAGGTGGGTTTGAAAAATGGAAAAAGATAAAAACTAACGGATTTTTATCAGAAAGAAAGGCATGAAATTTTTCAAAATTTGTTTTTGATTGGGAATTTTTTGACTAAAAAAATAAGGTTCTGGCTTCTGATTTTTTGGAGGTCAATAAAAGATATCAATTACATTTTTAGATGTTGGTTGGTAAACAAGTACCAACGGAAACAGGAATCCGATTCAAAGTTTTTAAGGATTTTTGAAACATTTTTCCGTATTGATTATAGAGTGTATTAGAAAAAAATGCGAGATACCGTAAACCCAGACCTTTTTATGCCCTTTCGCGTCGAAACCATAACATCGGGTCTCACAGCGAAATTTTTCACGTTTAGACTTTTTTTAATGTAATAAGCGTGTCTGAAGTAATTTATATTGAAGGTCAAAATGAATTTTAAATAATTGAAATTTTATTTCAAACCTAGAAATTATCTTGGTTCAGGCGTTTACTTGCGAAATTTCAACGTGAATTAGACAAAATTTGATACTTTTTCATGTTCACAAGTTTTATTCATGTAGTTTCACTTCTAAAAATTCGAATTTTCCTACAAAAAAAAAGGAATTTTTGTAGATTCCCGACGGCAGAATTGCTATCGAACCAAAGTTTTCCCACCTCCGATGGTTCATTTTGCCGGTTGAAGTCGTGGAAAGAAGAGCTGGACATTCAATAAAATATCCTGAGCCTCCTTTTTGTCCCAAAATCTACGATTCACTGGATATTACTGAGAAATTGAAATTTTTACCTTCATCTCCAGAAATTGAACATATTACGGAAGACTTTGAAGGTAAAGCCTTAATTTTAATCGAATATCAACCACTTTTGTACAGAGATACCCTCTGAGAATCAGGAAAATGGAGAAAAAGAGTTCACCTGTCCGTTGTCACTTGAAGAACAAACGAGGGGGCGGGGCATCGATGGAGACATTGAGTGCGATGAAAAGTTGAAACAGGAAGTCAAGGTATATGTTTTATTCAAAAAGAAAATTTCACGAAGAAAAAGATTTTACCGCGTTTTTTTGACGACGCCCACTTTTTCTCCGTAAAGTGTCGTGTGTCGTGTGCATGCACTGCGCCGCTCACGCGCAGAAAATTGCGTTTATGTAGAGAAATTTCGATTCGTCTTGAAGACCTCTGGCAATACGGCGGCCTGCGCCTTTATTTATATAAAGCCCAAATCTCTGTCGTTCCCATGACGTCACGTGGGAACGGTAAATATTTTGACTCCGCCCACCGTTTTTTTTTGGTTTCACATTTTTTCCACTAAAAAATTCGCCGTGATTTCTGTTTCGTTTATTGAAAAAGTACACTGAAAATCCAGAATTCTGAAGTTTTAAAAAACCCCAACAAAGAAGGTGAGGAGACTGGCTCAAGGAAAAACTTGAAGGTGAATAATTGAAAATTACTCTGGAAAAAAAAGAACTTAATCAGTTTTTCATAGATCTTATAATGGGTAGAATAGCTTCTTGATATGCTTCTTAAAAGGAAAAAAAAAGTTTTTATGTCGGAAGTTTGGGAAAAAAAGATTATATATAATTTTTTTAAGACGGCAGAAGATTGGGGACGACGAGTTGTGGTGAAGCCGGTCGCTTTGACGAGACAGGAAGAAAGCCAGTGAGCATTTTTTTGAAATTATCTTGGGATCAGACCTGCTTCTTACAATGTTAAACAAGCTGTTGGGTTCAAAAAAAAAGAAACTTTTAATTTTTTTTTTCTCGTTTTGAGTTCAAATTAGGACTAAAATGAGATTTTTAAAAGCGCGAAATTCAATATTTTCAAAGTGGGAAAGTTGACCTCAACAAGTCCCGAAAAAGTTAAAATTATCTATTTTTCAAAATTTCGTCTAAGCTCGATATGGTTTCTCGGTCCTTGTTTACGAAAACCTGAAGGTTCTGAACTCTCTAGGGACCACTTAATAGTGCTGAAGCAATTCAAATGATCATTAAGGGTCAATTTACGGAGTAAATGTGAGAATTTAGGCTTGAGTGGCATGCCCCGCCCATTGATATGTACAAAAAAGTGACAGAAGTCATCCATGAACTCAAAATGATCAAGGTTTGTTCCAAAGGTTCCGTTCCAAGAAAAATAATAAGCAGAACTAATTTCACTTAAGAGGTTTCTTTTGATTTTATGACTTCAGGAAGGCGACCGCATTTTGGTTTGTCTTTCCGGAGGCAAAGATTCGCTTTCTCTACTTCATATCCTTCATTTCTACCAGATGCGGTGTAGGAAAAATAGAAGGTTTATCAATAACCTTTCGAAGGAAAATAAACTTTTACAGTACGAAATTCGATCTTGGAGCGATTACGGTAGACCCCGGGTCTGCAGAGTACAATCCGAGGCCATTGATTGAGTATTGCAAAAAGCTGAATATCCATTATTTCTATGAGGAACAAGGTTGGTTCACTTCCAAAAAATTTTTTTCGAATTTTGAATTTCCAGCGTTAAATCTTTGCACGAAAAATCATTTCTCCTTTTCAAACAGATCTGAAAAACGAATATTGAGAATGACATCTTGATGAATAGAATAGTCCACAAACGAATAAATAAAAAAATAATGAGGCATTTTTCAGTTTTGTGGTCGCATGAGGAATGACTCTGAGCGTTACGGTCACTTATTTTGACGACCTTTTTTGAAATCCTGCTCATATAACTCTACTATGCAAACGCCAAAGTCGTTTTGAGTCGGGCGCATTTTTGAAAAATCCGCATCTCTCGCGTGTCGAGCCATTCTACGTGCGACCAGATGGATGCGCATCGAAACTTTTTAGCCGAATCAAGAAAAGAACCGCTGAGAAAGATACGGAAAAAATGATTTGTTCGAATTTTCCTTTCATCATCATTTATTCAATCTTCTGCTTCAGCGTTTGTCCCGCTCGGTTGCGGGGTCCGCTATTCTGGATCGTAGGCGCCATTTTATTCGATCGGCTGCATGGTCTGGGTGTAGTCGGGTGTTCTTCATGTCGTTGTGGAGAGCGTCCAACCATCGTTGTTTCGGCCGCCCTCTCGGTCTTTTTCCAGCGACTTCCATCAACAAACAACGTTTAGCAACAGATTCGTCGTTAGCTCTGAGAGTGTGGCCGTACCATCTCAGTCTGGCTTCTCTCATCTTTTCCGTGATCGGTGCTACCCCAAAGCGTGTTCTGATGTCCTCGTTTCGCACGTGGTCCAGTCGTGTGACTCCTCCGGTCCATCTCAGCATCTTAGTCTCAATGACTGCAAGTCGGCGTTCGGCTTCTTTGGTTACAGGCCAGCATTCGGTTCCGTAGAGCGCGACAGGACGGATCACACATCGGTAGATTTTCGATTTCAGTCGGTCACCTATCTTTGGGTCGCACAGTACGGCTGTGGTGGTTTTCCATTTGTGCTATGCGCAGTTTATGCGCGCTGCGATGTCTTTGTTTATTGAACCATCATCCGCAATCGACGAGCCAAGATATTTGAAGGAGTTAGTTCTGGGTAGGTCGACGTTGTCCACTCGAATGGTGCCGTTTTCGGTTTTGTCCGTGCTCAGGTATTCTGTCTTCTTGAGGTTGATCCGAAGTCCAAACTGCGTCAGTCTTGCGTTCCATTGTTCCAGCCGATTTTGGAGCTCTTGTTTCGTGGTGGCAGCAATCATGACGTCGTCTGCGTAAAGAAGGGTCCACGGGGTAGGTGTCTGCAGGTCATTCGTTAAAGTGTCCATGACCAGGATGAAGAGAAGTGGCGATAGGGCGCTACCTTGGTGCACTCCTACTTTGATCATTTATTCAATACGAATAATAATACAGCTTGTATGGAGCTTTCTCTTTTTGAAACTCCCAAAGACATCGTTTTTTTTTCTACACATTGAAATTTTACCAGAGTGGAACAATAAACAGTTCTCACGACTCCAGAAAGTTTCAGAAAGATCCAACTCCATACAAGGAAGTTGTGAACGAGATAGCGGTTTTGTATCTTTTCTGACGGAAGTTTTTTCCTTCGGAATCAGACCTTAGTTACGTGAATCGGAGGTCTAGGAGTATTTTTAGTGACCACTTCAGAACTCTTAAGCGATCCCTAGAAGTGCACAGAAACGTCCGATACTCGATACCGAAGTTCGAGAAAATGATGGTATTCCAATAATTCAGAATAACAGCCACAAGGCAACAACCAAAGCTTTTTGAAAAATTTCAAGAACCTTCTTAGAAAAAGTAAGTTTCTCAGATATAATCGGAGCTGCCAAGAAAATCAAAGGTCTCCGGTCGATTTGCGCTTTCTGTAGTCGAATGAAACGAGGAAGACTTGCGGCTGCGGCGACGTCAGTTTCATTTTATCCATAGAGCACAAATGCTCAATTATTTAATTTTTTTGAAAACGTTCAAAAATCCATATTTCGGAGCACGGCGCTCCCAAACGGAGTGGGAAGTCATCAAAAAAAATTTGGCGCGAAAATTAAAATCTCAAGAACGCAGCCAAAGATGATCGAACAAACAAGTTATAAACGTTGAATACTCAGTAATGACGTCATTTTATCAGGAGCGCGCACTTACTTTTTTTTTTGTAAATTCAGAAACCTTGACGTCTCGCTCACCTTCCCTCTCCCCATCAAGAATGCCGTGCGGAGAAAAAAAAATTTTAAAACCAAAAATAAAGGCGAAAAGTAAATTTTTTTTCAGCAAAGTTGTTCTACAGAAAATGCGGAGTTTTCTTTTTCGTTTTTCTTATTTTCGCCATTTTTTAATTTCTAATTTTTCTGAAAGCTCCCGGAATCGGATATAACTGTAAAGTTTCTTTATTATCAAAAAAATGTGACGATTTTTCCGAATTTTTAATCTTTTCAACCTGCACAAGGTATCAAAAAAAGCAGGTATTTATTGAAGTATTGAAGGTATCATGGCTGGAACGTTCTGGCGATGGGCCAACATCTTGACGATTTGGCTGAGAGGTTTTTAAAAAAAATACGAAAAACAATATTTTTTTCCAGTTTTTTTCATCGCCGCCTTCCAAAAATGGCAATTTGAGTACGATGAAGGCGCAGTACTCGACGAGGTTTTCTAAATATTGAGAAGAAAATCTTGGAAAAATGTTTTTTTCCAGAGACGAAAAACTTCGTGTCATCCGACCACTCGTTTTTGTCAGGGAAAAAGCGCTTCGCCAATTTTCGGCGGATAAAAGTTGAATTTTTTGAAATTTAGGAATTATTTAAAGATTTTTCAGAGCTACCAGTTGTGGCTGAGAACTGTCCGGCTTGTTTCAATCAGGCCACGGAAAGGCACAGGATCAAGCAGGTATTTAGAAGAAAAAATCGAGAAAGGTTTTAGGGAAAAGTTGCCATGCTTTGAAGACCTCTGATTTTTTTTTTTTGAATTTTTTCAATTTTACCTTTTTTTTTTCAGTGAAAATCAATCAAATTAGATCGAATAATAACAACTTCTTTGGCTCTAATTTTTCGTTTTAACTTTTAAAAATAAATGGCATATTTCTCACGTGAGAAGTGTGTGAGGTGAACATCGCATATATGGTTAAATACTTCGTGGAATTCAGTCCCTGGTATAAGTGTTCGAAAAAAAAAGAATTATCTGCTAAGCTCCATAGGGCAATGAGAAATAGCTTGTCGAAAATGTAATTGTTGAAGATAAGAAAGGTTTTCCTTTTTTTGTGTAATTTGTGATTTTCTCATGTGATTCTTGTACTAGAACTTTATATTATTGAATTTTTTCAAGTGGTTGAGTTTGAATTTTACTTGAAAAGCCTTGAAATTTCTTTTCCGTTCATTCTCTCCTTTTTTTAACGGTTTTATTGTAGAGTTTGTACTTTCAAACCTTGCCTTTTCTTTGACAAAACCATAAGAAATTTTTTTTTTCTTAAGGAAATGAGTTTGTTTTGGAATCGATAAGCTTCAAAAGGCTCCACGAAGATATTGGAAAAGATTTTACCTACGAATTTTCCTTATTATATTTTTAAATTTGTCATTTTTAAAAAAAAAAGCCAATTTTTAACCACTGAAACCTTATTCTCGCCATCAAGAAGAATTTCTTTCACGTGTTTCCTATGATATAGTAAATACCAGTAGACGTTTCAAAAATCGAAAAACCGAGGAAATTTTGAGCCATTACCGTTCATTTTCGACAGTCTATTTCTCAGTACCTTATGGCGATTAGCAGATATTTCTCCTTATATTTCAGCACTCGTACATAAGACTGAATACCACAGAAGTTTGGACCAGATCCGTGATGTTCACCTTCCCTTGTCAAATGAATTATTTTTGAATAGTCTTCTTTTTTTGATAATTAATTTTTCAAGTTGATTTTTCAATTAATTCTCGACAAAGTTATTATTTTTTTCCTGTTTTGCAACTGAAAAAAATCTCGGTTTTTCAATTTTTTTTTTTTTTTCTTCACAAACCGCCAAGTATCTGATTTTTATCTAAATTTCAGTGAAATTCTTTTTTGAAAACAGTAATCTGCATTTTTAAGGCCTATTCAGAATTCTCGGCTTTTTTCAGTTTTTCAATCAGTTTTGACAACATACCTGCGAACTTTTTCATTATTATAACTGTCTGAGAAAGTTAATCGAAGATTGCCCATTTTTTCTAAAATCACCAAAGGGTTCACTTTTTCATTCACCAAACAAGGTAGGTCATTTCACTTTTTGGTTGGGAATTTTCTGAAAATCGGTTAGTACACTCCTTGCTGTACCAAAAGTAGATTTTGAAGGTCTCAATTAAAAAAAAACTTTTTTTTTCGAGAAACGACATCTAAAAGTCAAAAAAACTCTTCAAAAACTGGTGAAATTGGATATTTTGGAGGTTTGAACCCTTACTTCTCTGAAACTAAAAGTTTTTAGAGGTCTTGATTTCCAAGAATTTCTACTAGTACACCAAGGAGCCTCCTGACCAATTTTTTTAAAAAAAGTTCTAAACGGAAGTAAAATGAGCTCCCTTGTAGGTCCATGTTTCATCTTTCATTCATCGATTTGTAATTGACAGATTTCCCTTGAATGAAATAGTTTTTTAATATTATTTTTAAAGAAATCTTGATTTTTAATTTTCACCTGCAGTTGAACTCCAATTTTTCAGCTTCTGGCTCAGCAGGAACTCATTTTCCCAGACTTGTTCAACTCCCTTCGAGGAGCCCTTCGACCTCTGCTATTGGTGAATTTTCTTTGGAAAATTTAGTGGCCACTTAAGAGGTCCCTAAGGTGGCCACTGAAACTAGAAGCCACTGTTTTTCCTTTTAGTGATCGCTGTAGTGGCTATCTGTTCGGCTATTATAGTGCCCACTAAAACGTCAAAACTCTATAGTGGCCACTAGAAATTTCGCCAGTCATTTTTCCAAAACTAAGCTTTGATATTTCCAGGTCGACTCCGCCCATACAAGCGAAATGCGAACCCAAGCCGTTCAGAATATTGTTCGAGATAGTTGGCTTTGTTGATAATTTGCATATTTCTTGTTGATTAATGTTGTTATAGACCTTTAAAGGTAATTATTGTAATTGATTGGTTCATAAAATTTTGAAATAACTCTTTGGTTTTTGTATGGAAAGCTCGAGAAATCGCTTTCATCGAGTATTTTTATTTTTGAAATCTGAAGAAAAAAAGAACTGGGTCGCTGAAATAACTTTTTAATTCATAAAAAAATATTTTCAAATTATTTAAACAGATTTTTTTATACCTCGGAAGTCGGTGACAAAAAAACCGGAAGTTTTTTTGAGCGGTTCTAGGGATCACTTAAGGGGGCTGACGCTCCTAAAGAGATCCCTAGAACTGCCCTGATACGTCCGATTAGCGTCCGGTTTGCGTTACCAAGGTAAGAGAGGTGAAACGGAGAAGTTTCTCTCAGGACCGTCGGAGCAGCTGAAAAGGTTCCTCTGAAAGATTCTAAAATTATGAAAAAGTCTTTTGAGCACCTTTTTGAGAGGCTCAATCATAATAAGTTTCTAAAAGGGCTTTTTTAACGGTTTTTAGGGATTCATTCGACTTGGAGGTGTCTTTTCTTCGAAATCTAGAAAATCGGCCAGGTTGAAACTTTCAGGATCCTCATCGAAGAGTATTCTAGCCGGTTACCAGAATATTCTCTCAAAAATAAATCAATAAAATCAAAATGTTTTATTTCTCACACACAAGTACTAAAAATTACGAAATAAATGTAGGGAGAATGTGGGAACATATGTGTCGGAACTTGTGGTGATGGAGGGAAGAGGACTCGCGGTCGTGTTAACCCCCCACTTGAGTAAATTAGAATAATCTCAAAGTTATTCTTTTAGATGTCGATTATGTATCTTTCATATTTTTGTTGGATCAAGAGTGTTTAGTTCTGTAATGTTGTTTTCAAACCATTTCTCAAGTTTAGATCTGAACTGATTTTTTTCATATTCATATACTACGTTTCTATCCATGTGATTCCAATGATTGTAAACTCTTTGATTGATGAACCGGTAGTGTATGTCAGAAAGTAGAGGCCGCTTTATTTTGAGACCATTTCCTCGCAGTTGATTCCATCTACTTGTTGTATTTTGTAAAGGGATTGGAGATGGGCACCAATAGTATCCGTAAATGAAATTGTGAGCAGCAGTTATGTCTTTTTTTAAACGTCTTTGCCAAAGGGTGTTTAGTCCAAGGTATTTTTCGAATGAAAGCTTATAATAATGATAATTTACTCATCCACAAAGTGAAAAGAATAAATAAGGTTAAGAACCGGTTTTAGGTCACCCTCACGAGCTCGTACGAGTGACTTCAGAGGATATGAGATACAATAGATATTCACAGTAAATAGAAGTACACGTATGAGAGGAGCTGTTCCGTTTTGCCCGGATGAAGATTTCAGATTTGAAAAGATCAAACAGGATACTTTCTTAAAATTAAGAATCTTTTCCCTAGTCTCCATCTCGGAACATGTTGTTTACGGACTCGGATCGGACAAGCCTTCTGAAGTCCTCCGCGACAGTTGTCAAGGATTGTAACGAGCAACCGTATAACGATGATGTTGCCGAATCGCGAGACGGTTGTGCAACGGGAGTGCTCCACTTGAAAGAGACACCCCGCGGTCGCCAGAAGCGCGTCGCCAACGCGTCTGCCGCTCCTTCCTCCTCCTTCTCGTCTTCTCCTCTCACCTCTGACTTATGAGGCAAGTCGGATTATGGAGAGGTTTGTGAAAATATTGCCAAAGAAGGGAAATTTCCGTCAATAGAGACTTTTGATATGTTGAAACCTTCACAAGGAACGTCATTTGAATTCGAAAATTACCCAGAAACTTTTGAGGGGTCACTAAAGAGCAACCTCAAGGGCTCTTGTTGGTTCACCTTAAAAGTATATTTAGAAATTCTTGAAGAAATTAAATTTAATCTGAAAAGGTACTTAGAAACGTCAGAGGGGTCACTAGAGAGGCAAGACAGGAAAGCCACTTTAGTGAAAAAAATAGTGGTCCTTGGAAAATAAAAAAAAAACTAGCGGTTCTTACAGGGGTTAAAATTTATGTGGCCTCTATAGCGGTCTTTTATTAATGAGTCTGTTCTGGTTTGAAATTCAAAAAGACTTGATTTGTAAACTTGATTGATTATTTTCTTCTTCCTATATTCAAGTTTTTCAATCGAATGAAAATAATTCATTGACTTTTTCGCATGAAATTGCTACTTCATAGAGTTACAATGAAAATTACAATTTACGACAAATGCTCCCCTAGAGTGGCCACTGTGGCAATTATTAGAGTCCACTGTAGGGACGAAAGTTTTTCCCTTGAGATGAGTCTAAAAAGTCGCTAAAGTTGCCCTTTTAGTGACCGCTCTGGGTTACCTAAAAAGATGATGGAAGACCAAAAAAAACCGATCGAGATTTTTGGCAAGTCATAGACAGTATTTTTTCAGGTTTTGTCCGAAAACAGTTCGGAGAGTCGCTATAAGGACGACGAAAACTGATGTTGATATTTTAAACTACTGAAAATTTCTTATTAAGTGTAGAAAACAAATGCATTTACGAAGATATTGAATAGTTGAAAATAAATCTTAAATAGGAAAAAATATACTTTTCAGTTCCTTTTTGCGTTTGGAGAATATTTCGTCGTGAAAACGTCAAACTTATTTGTTATTTTTCTGATTTCATCACTTTGGATAATGGATTTAAAGTTTTTAAATTAAATCAAAATGCGTCACACGCTCATGTGATCGAAAATGAGATGAAACGTCGATTTTGAAATGGAGCGTTTCGAAATGATTATTGAAAGGGATTTTTTTGTTGAGGAAAATGAGAATATTCTAATGGTCACTTGGTCGATTTATTTTCTGTTTTGTGAGGTTTTAAATCATTTCAAGAACTATTTTTTTGAAGTTGGAAAGGATTCTGAAATTCAATTCTCTGTTTCAGAACACCCAAGAAGACAATTCAAAAAAAATACCTGAATATTACCTGAATATGAACCCGCTCCGCGAAAACTACGTCTCACTCTCCCCCTCGAAAAAGCACGGTCTACTTCAGTTTTCAAATTTTTTTCAAATTTTTTTCAAGCAAAAAGGCTCGGGTGGGATTCAGTCGATTTATGCACCAAGGCCTAATAAGAAGAAGAATATTTCAAAACTTGTCCCTTTGGACTCCCCATCCCCCATCCCCCTCCCCCTTCCAAATAGCCTCTTTCCACCTATCCAGACATATCCCAAGACTCAATCGGAACCAAATCCCAACCCAAAAGTCCATTGCGTGCACGCTTATCAGCCTCGCGACGCCCATAAAAGGTGCAGTCAACAAAGTGGTCGCGAGATAGATTTACGAGCCCCCTCACCGTAATCCGAGTGATGGACACGGTGATTGCGGACCCGATGGGTCGCCCGTTTACAACCCGTTGAGAATGCCTCCTTTGGCATAACACCAACACGACACGGCTCCATTTATGGCTCTAAAATTGAGTTGTTAACTTCCGATTGAGTGGCTGGCAGTTGTTAGGAAGGCGCCAGCAGGATTTTCAAACCGTTTCGGAGGTTTGAATTCGATCATTGCTGTTTCAAACTGCGTTATTCCCAGAAGAAAACCTTATTTTTGGATCGTGTGCCTGTAGAATTAACTCTGAAATTCCAGAAGAACATTTTCCAAAAAATTTGAATTTTTTGAAATTTAAGTTCAGCTATGGCGACTTATTTAAAAATTAGGGCGAAATTCGGGAAAACTTCAAATTTTCAGCGATTTTTTTGACCTCCGAGTTAACTAGCGTCTCTATAAAATAATAAAAAAATCGGGAAAAAAAGTCAAACTTTAGACTTTTTAACTTTTTTTCCATAAGCTTTTTAGGGAATTTTTTTAAAGCCCTAGATTCGGATCCAACGGGATAAACTGCATCTAGTCAAGTTTTTATAAAAAAAAAAATGATTTTTTTCTAAGCAACTTTCAAAAAAATCTGAGAAAATACCAACAATTTCTCATAAGTTTGTACTTTTTTTGAGAACTTCCGATGAACTTATGTTCGGCGGCAGATTTTTTTCGATTTTTTTGGAAATTAAAAAGAACCAAACTATAAAAAAATATGTTTGAAACAAAATCCTTGGAAGTTTTTTTGTGTGAAATGCTTTGAAAATGGCTTCAAAAAGGCTAGGAAAACATTTAAAAAAAGGCTTAAGCTTTGTTTTTTGAATTTTTCGAAGTAATAGAAAGATGATTCAATACACAGAAACTGTGGTGAGCTTTGTCTTTTTTTCTTTTCAAAAAAATTTTTATCTTGGGAGCTGCAGAAAAAAATTTTTCGTAAATTTCGAAGTTCAGTATTTTTTTGTTGAAATGAAATCTATTTATCAATACGTCACATCTGAACAAAAAAAGAATTTTTTTCATGTCATAACTTGTTGATACTATTTTTGTTATTTTTGCCAAGTTTTTCAGAAAAAAATGTGGCTCCTTGTAGTGGAAACACAAGTTTTTTTGTGGTCTGTTTTAAAATTATTTTTTTAATTTTTCGATTTCTTTTGAAAATACTTTTTTTATAGGGATACTTCAAATTTTTTTCGTTTGTTGGGTAAGTACATATGAGCTATTTCTACTAATCGATCTCACTCAAAAAAATTTTTTTAATAACTTGTTGATTTTTTTTGGTTTTTTTGTCCAGCTTTTTGAAAAGGTTTGAAATTTTTTTTTGGAAAAATGCAAAGTTTATATAGACATTTTTCAATAAGGATTCGAATTTTTTTCAAAGTTTTTTTGTTTGATTTTTTTCTGAGAAAAAAACTTTTTCCACAGTTTTTTTATTGCAAACAGAGCTATTAAAAAAAGTCCCTTTATTAATAATTTTTTTAAAGTTTTTCGGTAGAATTTTTTTAAAAATGTTTTTTTCATTGTAATCCGCTGACTCACTCTAAAGGTACTATTCATTTGTTTCGTTGTGAAATTTTTCAAAAAAACGGGGGCGGTCTTTTTGGAATATGAAAAAAATTCCAAATTTCGCAGCTGCAATTTTTTTCCTGTCCGTTCTAAATATTCAAGCAAATCAATTATACTAACCAATATGTCAGATCTCAATCAAAAAAGCATTGTTTATACCATAACTTGTTGTTATTATTTTGCCCGCCGTCAAGAAAACAATTAGCACCGTCGCCTTTGAAGATGCTTCGAAGCGGGAAAGTTGAAAGGCCCGGGCACGGGTCGGGGTCCTTGGCACGTGGCCGGGCCGACGTTTCGCGGATTTCGCGGGCCTGCAGCGTCGCGGCGAAGGAGGAGAAGTGGGCGGAGTCCCGGGGAAGTTGACACTTTGGCCCGAGCAGCCTCAGACGAAGATGTCGAACGTTTCTGTGCGGTTGACCGAGGCCCAAGACTCCCTTTGGAGGCAGTTCCATCGCCATACGACGGAGATGGTCGTCACCAAGTCCGGAAGGTTCGTTTTCTGTCTACTGTAGTTCTTTGGGATACTGTACCGTGTTCTTGAACCTTTTTTTGATTCATTTTTGAACATTTTTTGTGTCTTGAAGTTTTTTCTCGGGTACCGTAAACTAACCAAGGAATAGCCTTTGGACGCAGTGGGACTTCTGAATGAGACCAGCTGTTCTAGATGTAGTTTTTCATGCTGATTCCAAATCTGGTCTCAAAATTTGCCCAATACATCTGCGAAAAAAGTTATGGACCCTCAAAAATCCGATATTCACTTCTCTAATTGGTGAGTTCGAAGCACCTTTTTTCCCGCTTGGAAATTTTTTTAGAGCCTTTAAGTTTTTCTCGAGGATACTGTACCGAAAAATCTTATTCTTGAAGCTTTTTTGGATTTTTTTTTTTGAAGGTTTAAAGTTTTTCTCGGCTTTTTTGCACAGTTACGAAATTTTTTTCCTGTGATGCTGTACCGCAAAATTCTAGTTTCGAAGCTTCTCTTTAACTTTTTTTATTTATTGTTAAAATTTTTTTGTCGAGATCTTAAATTTTTTTCTCTAGGTTTTAAGTATTTCTTGGTGATACTGTACAGAAGAACGCTATTCTTAAAGCTTATTTTGATTCTTTTTTGCTTCTGTTTAAGTTTTTTCGAGCCCTGCACTTTTTTTGCTTCTATTAAACCATTTTCGAGTCTTGAACGTTTTTTTCTAATTTTCGAAAACTTTTTTAGTTAATCCTCTTTCAGAAATTTTGATTAATTTATTCATAGCTTCATTTTAGTTCCTTTTAAAATAATGAGTCTTACTCAAGTCTCTGAATTACTATGCAAAACATTTGAAAAGTAACTGATTGAACTTTCGGTATCTCTAGTGGATTATGAAAGAAATCTTTTTTTATTTTTAAAGTTTTTTTGAGGTTTTTTTGAGAATCCTCAGCATACACTGTTGCATATGAAATCATACTGTATTATGGTAGAAAAATGATTTTAAAAAAAGAATTTTTGTGCTTAATATAATTTTTTTAAAGAATCAATTTATCATCATTTCAAGTATAGTTGATGTTTCACCATCTATATTTATTGAAATTTGTTCATTTTAAACCAATCCATCGACTTTTCGCTTCAGGCTATGTTTTATAAAGTATGGTGGGAATGAAAATGGCATAATTCCCTGTTTTCCTTCTTTTCATTATGATAAAAATTCTCTATAGACTCGGTAACTCGTAAAAAAATAAAACTTAACTATTTTTCAACCGAGTTTTTTTGAAATTCGATCCTTTTTTTCTTATTTTTTTAAGTCAGATTAATCAATTTCAAAAGCTTTCAAAATGAAATTTAACTTCAAATTCCAGAAAAATGTTCCCGAAACTCGAATACGTCCTGAGCGGCTTGAATCCGGACTCCTGTTACGCCTTGGTCCTTAAGGTTCATCAGGTCGACGACCTCAGGTAATTCAAAAGATCCAAATCTTTAAAAAACGACCATTTTTTCCCAAGCCATAAAAGTAAGTTGCCCATACTGATTAGCGTGCCTGTGGCCGTCGCTCCACGACACCTCACCTTTTTATTTGAATTTACAACCGTCTAAAGTAGAAGTGAGTACAAAATAGTATAAACTAGGTGATTGACGGGTATCAGTTGTAAAAATAAAGGTTTATGGGTAATTATAACACTCTTTTTCTTTTTTTAAAGAATTTTATCGGAATTTTTTTCAATTTTCTCGTTGTTTCTTATGTTTACAGTTTTGAAAATTCGGAGGACTTTTGGAAAAAAGCCTCAAAGACACCTTTTTTAAAGATCCAACTTGGTTTCTGCTCTTCAAAAAGCTTCAAAATCGTTAATTTTAATAGCCCTTTTTATTTTCAAAAGTTTTATTAATAGTGATCATTGACAGCTTTTGAATTGTTTTTCCTTTGTCAAACCTCGACGAATCATTTTTCCTTGACAGGTACAAGTTCTCGGGTGGCGAATGGGTGTCGTCTGGACGCGGAGAGTCGCCAGCAGAGCCCAAGAAGGTCATCCACGCCGACGGAGCAATGTCCGGCAGGTAAACCACACCTGTTGATCAGCGGAGGGAGAAGGGATTTTGATATTTACCAAAGGAAATTAGAAATATATGATTTACTGATGATACAAGGAGTAGGTCTGAAACAGTGTTTTGGAGAAAGTTTCATGAAAAATTTGCAATTTTCACGGGCAAAGTTCAATAGGTCTCAAAAAGAAGAATCTACAGCTCATTTTTAAGTTCCATGAAGATGTCCTCTGAATTTTTTTAAACCTTTTTTCCGCCCTCTTCTCCTTCCTTTTTACCCCTTAAACGGTTAAATAAGTGAGCTTGTAGGTTTTTTTAAGGCCTTTCTTTCCAAAAGCTTCTTTTATCTCCTTCTCAGCTTTTCCCATGCTTTAGATGTTCAATGAATCATTCCAACTAGATCAAAACGAAATAGGAATAAATAAAATCTTTTACTGTTTCAAGAAGGATTCAACACATTTTTCTGAGTTTTCTTTCTAATTTGTGTTGGACTCGAAATGTATGAGAAAAATGTATAAGTTCAGATTTTTTTTCCATCATTTTTTGAAAGCTCTTGAATGAACTTTTATTAAATAAAAATGGAAATGGGTGGTTTTAGTTTTCAAACTTTCATTTATAATTCCTTAGGTAGGCCTGTTAGGATTTTTTTCTTATAAATTTTTTTAGATAAGTTCCAAGTTTTTTTCCTTCAACTTCTTTTTTTATAAATTTTTCAGTTTTGAAATGGTTACTAACAGAGAAAACGCAAAAAAGGTGGAATCTATCTAATTTTATTATGTTTTTATAGTGAAATGAACCCAAATACCGTTCATTTCTGTCCGGCCAACCTATTTTAAGAAAATCCTGCCAAAGAATCGCATTTTTTCCCATTTTTTTAAGGCTCTTTTGTCATGAAACCATCTATAAAACCCTTATTTCGAGTCTTAGTGGCCACTATAGCGTTTTTTGCAATCTAGTAGTACCAAACAGACTTCTAAAGAGGCCACTAAGTTTCAGCCACCTGAGGGACTTGTAATTCGGCTACTATAGTGGCCACTAAACCGTCAAGACCCTATAGTGGCCATTAAAAATTTCACCAGTAACAGGCAAAAAATCTTGATTCTTCACGATAATGTTGAAGCTCAGGAGATTCAGAAGACACTGTAATTTTCGTGTTTTTTGGAATATTGGTTACGGTAGTGGCTGTCGTCGTGGGAACCGGAGTTTTTCTGACTTTACCCAGCTTTTTTCGCAGCTTCTCTATAACTTCCCCCGAATTTAAAAAAAATTTTTTTCCGTTGTGTACTCATATTCTTTTCCAGACAATGGATGTCGAGCACGGTGAACTTCGAACGGGTCAAAATCACGAATAATCCCAACGACACCTGTCAGTCTCATGTAAGTTTTGTAAGGTTCTTATTTTTGGAACCTTTTTCCGGTTGTAAATAAATTGTTCACGCGACGCTAGGTGTCATTTTGTGCCTTTGGGAAACTAAATACAGATTCCAGGGCCACCTTTTCACAACTTTCTAGGAGACGGTTTTTTGGAGTTATTGATCATCTTTGACGCAAGAAATATTGGAAATTTTAATGCTCTGCTTTATTTTATATATAGGTTTTTTGAAGCTGTGAATCTCCTCAAGTTGATTATATTTTCAGACCTTTCATTTTTTTGAAAAAAAATAGTATATTTTTTATGAATTTTTTTGTCGCTCGCGTGGCAATGATTAGGTGTAAAATTTGAAATTCATGAGTTTACTGTAGCAATCGATAATTTTAAAACTAAAAAGGCCTCTTTACTACTCGTGTGCCTTTAGTGTATTAAAAATAGTAACCGATTTTTTTTAATTTCCGAATTTTCTAGTTCTTAGTTAAATTTTTGGAAAAGAGATCGATTTTTATAAAGTTTGTTCATTTTCAAGTTTTTTAGTTGTAGTGTTTTTTTTTTCTGAAAATCGAATTATAACTTTAAAATTTTTCCGATTTGATTTTTTGTAGCTTCAGCTTGAAAGGTTACGGTAGGGTACTGTATAATATTTCACAAAACTTTGCTAATGCTTTTAAAGGAGCATGATCTCATAATTTTTAAGTTTCTAGAGGCGAAAAGTGTTTTTAGTGTTACTTTTAGGGCGTAAAAAAATATTTGGGTCTTTGAAAAAAATGATAGTTTTAAAAAAATCAAAGTTTATAGAAAAAAATATCTTCTTTTTCTTTCTGAAGTACTAGAAAAAAGACTAAAAAGCTGAACTCGGGTTACGGTAGCTCAATGAAAGTTAATATATCTTTGAAGTTATGGAAAAGATTGAAAAAAGCTAGAATCGGATTACGGTAGCTCAATAAAGATCAATATCTCTTCAAAGTACGGAAAGAAAGCTAAAAAGCTAGATTGGGATTACGGTAGCCGCCCCATAAATAGACAGATGTGCACCTCCTCTCTATAGACTTGTCAAAAGGGAGGTCAAAGGCCGATTGTTATTTGTAAGCAAGTCGGGCGGCGCCGATCCTTATCACCGACTCGCTTGGTTACTGTGTCGCAATTGCGTAAAGATTTTCGTGGCGTTTCCGTCCGTCATGGCTGTCAGACGGGCGGCCCGATCCGCCGCTGCAGATAACTCGAGCCGCCGTCAGACCTCATTGTTGCAGATCTTCCTCCAGTCCATGCACAAGTACATCCCCCAGTTGGAAGTCTTCGAACTCGCCGCCACGAGTCCGCCCTTCGTCACGCCTACGCAGTCTTCCGTCCCGGTTCGTTGGGGAATGATGAATGATTAAGTGATAAAGAAGGAAGAATCGGTTCAAAAATGGATATTGAGTATATTCAAAAAAACTTTACTTACAAGAGAAAATTTTTCAACCCCCCGTTGAAGAGCGTTTTTTTCACACTCCCCCCTTTTGAAGAACGTTTGGAAAATGGATATTGAGAACCTTCAAAAACTTAACTTACTTGAGAAAATTTTTCGGCCCCCCCCCCCGATCGAACTTTGATGATGACACTTCGCTGAAGTGTACTTTAGGGCCTCCTGATCCCAGGACAAGAAAAAAATTTTCGCAATCGATCTTTTTTTCCGAGTTATGAAGCTTCAAAGCCCGCAAAATACGCCAATTAGGCCAAAAACGCGATATTTTCAGCGTTTGAAGCGTCCTAACTCGATAACGAGATCTATTGCGAGAAAGGAAGTTTTTGTAAAGTTTTTGACAGTCCAAAAAATTTGGGTGATCAGGGATTTTTTCAAATGTAATGGCTTGAAGATGAATATCTTGAAACTATCTTTTTTTCCCGAACTTTCTTATTCGTAAATATTTTCAGATCGCCACGATCCGACTACCGTACACAGAGTTCATCGCAGTCACGGCTTATCAGGTTCGTTAAGTTTGAAATTTCAGAATATGTCGTTTTTTTCTGTGAAAGTAGTACAAATGGTTGCAATTTTTAGTTTTACTCATTCTTATTTATTAAGATCCGTACTGACCTACAGTACCGTTAGAAAAGATACGAAAAAACGCAACTTTGGTCATAATTATCTTGTAAGAAGTTCAATCTTCCTGAAAGTTTCTGAAGCTGCGTTTTTTTTTTGCTGTGAACCGAAACTTCATCACAGTGTTAAAAATAACAGTCTAGAAAGTTTCAGGAAGATTGAATTCCTTACAAGAATTCGTGGCTATTATCACGTTTTTTCGTATCTTTTCTGATGGTACTGTACGTCTGCTCAGCTTTTTTTAATTAAAGAAATTGAGAAAAAAGACATATAGATAAAATATTGCAGAACAACGCCGTGACGCAACTCAAAATCGACCACAACCCGTTCGCGAAAGGCTTCCGCGAAGGCAACGATCGGAAGAGGCCGTCGCCGTCGACGTCATCCACCGGCGACAGTTCGCAGACGACGTCGCCCCAGCATTCGCCAGCTCCGCCGGCAAAGCGACTCGCCGCCGATTTGCCGCCGACGCCGACCATCTTCTCGCCGTTCGCCATGAACTCGCTGCTCTACGCGCCCTACTTGAACAACTACTTCTTCGCCCCTTTGCAGCACGTTCAGCACCCTTTTCCGCTCCTTCCGACGCCTTTTGCCTTCGTCAAACCTCCCACCAAAAATGATGAGAGCTGAAAATCGTTTTTCGCTTGATAATTTTACCTGAATATAATGTAATTTTTTTATCTTGTTGAAAATTAGCTGAATTTTCCAATTCTAGCCCAAAAATCTTATTCCAAGGTTTACTATTTGAACTAGGAAGTTTTATTGTTGTTGAAGTCTGTTAAAAAAAATTCTTTCTGTTGTTTTTGAAGGCTCAAAAACGGCTCTTCGTGTCGAGACCCACCCAAAATCAGTCCATACTCCTTTAAACACACATGGATTTTTTAACAGACTGTGTTGTTATTTATTTAATTTTATCCTGAAATTGCCAAATATTCTTTATAAGGGTAATAATTTCGGCTAAATTCCCCTTCTGATATTGGTATTTCCTTCACTTTTTGTTGTTTTTTGATTTTCTGAACACTCACGTAACTTCCTTCCGGTAAATAAAAAAAAAAGTAAAATATAAAAAAATTCTAAAAATTGTTCCCAATGCTTTTCCTGCTATTTAATGTAAAATTTAAAAGGTTTCAAATCGTTATAATATTTGTATTTCTAATAATCCTGTTGTAAATATGACCTTGAAGAATTTATTTATATCATTGTCTTTCTTTTTAAATAAACTGAAAACTTCTATATCTTTTTTATCGATTGAAGAAGAAATGTGGTACTTGATCCCTGGGATTCCTGGCCAACAACAAGTTAATAAATAAAAAGAGCAACAACTGGCGGTGGACGGCTGGCCGCAATGTTGCTCCATCGACACTCGACATGAAACTGCTCGTCGTGCTCGGTCTGCTCTTCGTCTTGGCTCTCGCCTGCGACAAATTCGACAAAAACGTCAACCTTTTCTGCAAGTTCGGCAGCGAGACGAAGCCTTGTCTCGTCAGTGACGGTCAGCCTTTTTTATCAACTTCGATAAATCACCAAATTCCTAATAAAAACTTTCACCGTTTCTTAATGGTTTCAAAAAAAAAAAAAGAACTTTGTTCATAATGCTTCACGAATATATAAAGACTAGGGATGCTTGGACTGTTCGGACGGCATTTTTTTTTTGGAATGTTAGGCCGTATTTCCCATTTGTAAAATACGACCTTGAGGATAATTATCACCTTAATTTTTCTTCCATTGTTGTACACGGCGCTCCCAAACGGGGTGGGTAGACGTCAAAAAAAAAAAAATTGGCGCGAAAATTCAAATCTCAAATACGCAGCCAAAGGCGATTGAACAAACAAGTTAGTAATGTTGAATACTCAGTGTAATTTGTGATGTATACTGACGTCATTTTATCAGGAGCGCGCACTTGCTTTTTTTTTTGTAAATTCAGTAACTTTGACGCCTCGCTCACCGTCCTCACCCCATTAGGAATGCCGTGTATATTTGATAACCTTTTTTAGGCGTATACAGATTTTGAAAAAAAATTGAACAAATAAATTTCATTCAAGGGATGTTTTTGAACCTTAATAAAACAAAAAAACCCATTCTTATCACTGAAATAAAATAATACGGAATCCGAGATTTTTTAACTTGATCAAAAACCAAAAAAAATCAATCAGATCGTTTAAAAAACTCAAATAAGGTTCGAATATTCCAGAACTATTCAAAAAGTCCAAGTTGGATATTTAGAAAAGCTCAGCTAATGATAATCCCTGAATATTTCATTTTTAATGTGTTCTCTATGTTTAGCACGTACACCATATTAGACCAGTGTCGGGAAAATTTAACTTTAAAACTTTTTGAAACAGAAAAAGAGGATAAGTTTTTTAAACAGCGTTGAATGATTTTTTTTTCAAAAAATGAAGTGAATTTTAGCCATTTTAAGAGTCTTATGGATCAGATCACTTCGAGTAAGGCTTGTGAGTGAAGTTGGGCCGGCCCGACAAGGGCTATAGACCTTATTTTCACGAAAAAAATTTCGCGGGGCTTTCAGATACAATTTTTAAAACTGTTTCAAAAAAATTTTTCTCTACTAGTTATATCATAGTTTTTTTGTTGAAAAAAAGAATCAAAAAAATAATTTTTTTGTCATAGAAATTCTGATATTTGAGTCGAAAAACTTGGGCTTTCAAAGTGCCCGGCTGACCGTTTTTGATATTATCCATCTTGCGGAAAGCTAGAGTGGGTTCGATAGGAAGGAAAAAAACCCCCGAATAAGAGACCCCTTTTGCCCCCCTTATAGGACCCTCTAAATGGTCATTTAGGACCCACTATAGGGAGTTTGCTGGAATCGGCTGGTAGGAGTTCGGGAGAGAAAAATTTTCGTTTTTTCCGGATTTTACCCTTTTCAACACGTGTTAAAGAAATCATGCGTGTAAAGTGAAAAAAATAAAAAAATTTTTATTGACTCGGTAACTCGTAAAAAATCTACGAAAGGGCCTCCTATAGGGTCTACTCCAATTTTCTCGCTAAAGGAAGTCCTTATAGACTCCCTATAGGATCCACAAAACAATAAATTCCCTTTAGGACCCACTTCAGCTTTTCCCAGTCCTTAGGGCGAAAGAAATGGCCGGGCCGGCCCTCGCAAAAGCCTTTTAAAAATGAAAATTTTTTAATTTTCGAAGAAAGTTTTTCAGTGAGCTCCCGAAAATCGAGCTGCTGCTCCAAGCCCGGCGGCTGCAACTCGGTCGAGTTTACCAAGGAAAAGGTTATTTTTTTGAAGTTTTGAAAAATGTTAGTTTTTCCAGGCCTGCTGTTTCACGCAAGACTGCCTGAACCGCTGCTACCCCGGCAAGGATTATCAAGTCGGAACCGTCTATTGAGAAATTTTTTTCTTTTAAACATGGAAACTTTTTTAAGCGAATATAAATAAAATGAAGAAGCGTGCCTTCAATATTGAACTTTTGAGAAAAAAAATGGCTTTTTTTAAAATCTGTGATAGTTTTTTCGTGATACTTTGAAAAAAAAAACATTAATAAAGTCTAAAAATATTGAGAAAAAAATTGTTCCAATTTAAAAAAAAGTTAAAACTTCAAAAAAGGTTATAATAAAAAAATCTATTCAAAAAATCAAGTCAAAAAGTTATTATAGCTGTCAAAAAAAACTTCTAATGTTTAAAGGAGCATATACAGATTTACAAAAGGTTTCAAGGGGAAAAACTGTTGGAAATAACATTTTAGAACTTTGCGCCTTCGAGCAAGTGTGTTTTCGGAAACTACACGAGAAAAAAAAAAGGTAAAAACTGGTTTTTATCTAAATTAGGTTGTATTTCGAAGCATGCGCAGTTTAAAGACTTCAAAAGTCGCCCCAAATTTGTTCCTTTCATGAACTTCAAACCAACAAATTGGCCACAAAATTTTGTCCGCTTGTAAAAGGTGTTCTTCGGAGGAAAGTCCCCAACAGAAGGGCGGGTTTTTCTTCGTTTTTTCGTTTGTCGCCGCCCGGGGGCCGAGGAGTATTGTTTTCGTCTTAGCAACTGACCGCAGCGGCTTACGATTTGCGCCTCCTTTTCAGCCGCTTTTTCATCCTTTTGTCCGTCTTCTTCCTTCGAAATTGCTACCAACTCCTAACGAAGAACGAGTTGCTTGCAAGTTTCAATTTTTCTTCCCTCAGAAGCTGGACTTTTTATTCTTCCCTTTGAGGGTCCCTCTTCTTTTCACAAAAAGCTTCAAATTGAACGTAATGTGCCATGTTTTTCTTCTCCCATCAATTTGCACGCTTTCCGACGTTCCTCCGCAAAACTTCTTACGGCATTTTTCATGATTGATTGGATGGTTGAAAAAAGCGGACAGAAAGCTTGATTTTGGCGGCCAAGTTTTTACAAGCCTCACGCCTATCTCCACATTTTTGATATTCTTTTTAAAACGATGAAACAAATTACACATCGAAGCTCGAAGAACTTATTTGTCTTACTGTAAAATATTCATACGCAGTTACTCTAATGAACACAATGCGCCGGACTTTACGCCAACCTAAAATTTTTTCTCGATTTTGTTCAATTTTTATCGTTTGCTTTTTGTTGATGATAATTTCGGGATTTTCTAGAGACGCAGGTAAAGCTGGAAGGAACACGCAGTAATTTGGCACACAAATATTTATTCCACAACTCGGAAAGCGAAATTCTTGAAAGGTGTGTCCTTTTTGTCTTTTTTGTCTTTCTCTTTTAGGCGAATGTTCGAGATTGGTTTTGGACCGATTGATTACATTTTTAAGATGTAAAAGTTCATCAAAACATGGTTTATAGTGTTTAATATCTTAAGGAAGTCAAGTTTGTAGATTTCAAATGAATCGGAAAAAAAAGACGTTTCATTTTTTTTAACGAATAATTTTATTTGGCCTGTTATCTTTTTTTTCACGCGCTCATTTGGTAGCTCCTTTTTTTAAAGTATAGATATAATTTATATTAATGATTTCGAAATATAAAATTTGAGTTAGAATTTATTTTTTTCTTCCATTTAGAGAAAGTAAGATTGGCTGCTTTTTTTGTTACCTTTTTTTCGCTATTTTTCTTACTCTTTTTGGCTTGAAATCTATCACTTTTTTAAATCTAATGTTCATATTCGCGAAAATCTCGTGATTTAAAATTCAAAAATAAGAGTATAGGACAAAAGCGCCGATTTCAAGAGCGCCGTTCAAATTTAGCGCCAGTCCGCAATGCGCCGTCGCGTGTATGCGCCGTGTATGCAGACGCCGCTTTCTTTTGCGCCGAGTCCGTTTGCGCCGAATCGTTTTGCGCCGAGTCCGTTTGCGCCGAATCGTTTTGCGCCGTTATTTCAAACTTTTATTTATTCGCTCTTTTTCTATCATTGTTTATTGATTGTGTAGTACACATTCATATACGACTCGAATGATTTTCGCGCCATCTGTTAATATGGACTTTTCTGCCGCATTTTCGAAAAAACTCGAACTATTGTTTCAAGGAAATGAGTTCAACATTACGAAAAACGATTTTCTGCTGTTTCATGTCTGCTAGAATTGAAACTTTGCCTTACCTAACGCAGAAAATTTGCAATCACAAAAAAAATCACTCAATATGTCGTTTAAAGCAATAATTTTTTTTATCCATTCTCTTTTTCCTTACGTTTTTCTGTATTTTTTTCGAAATCAGAAAAGCATATTTGCTTTTTTTATTTTTTTACTCTGAAAAGAAAAAAAAAGGGGAAAAAAAATATTTTACCTGGACCAAAGTGGACCTAAAACTCATCATTAACGGATGGCGCGAAAATTATTCGAGTCGTATATGAATGTGTAGTAAACAATTATGAATAAATAATATAAAAAGAGCGAATAAATAAAAGTTAGAAATAACGGCGCAAACGGACTCGGCGCAAAAGAAAGCGGCGTCTGCATACACGGCGCATACACGCGACGGCGCATTGCGGACTGGCGCTCAATTTGAACGGCGCTCTTGGAATCGGCGCTTTTGTTCTATACTCAAAAATAATTTTATCTTTTTCGATTTTTTTCTAATTTTCTTCTTTGCCTCGTTTGGCGAAATTTGAACTTTCTAACAAAGAAAGTTGATTTATTTCATTTTGTGGGAGAAATTTCAAAAAAGGAATTTTGAGAAGTTATATAATTATTCATTTTGAGAATTACTGAGAAAATTCGGAGTGGCCCCTATAGGAAGGTTAATTGGGACCCCCTGAGGCATTCCAATAGAAAACTTCGAAGCTTTAGGGGTTTAATAGACCGCTCAGAGAGCATTAAAGGGGTTTGACCCCTATAGGGACCGTTTTATTGAACCCTATAAGGGTCCTTAACACCAAAACCCTGTAGGACGCTCTCCGAAGTTCCTTTGCCTTGTGAAAATTTTGAGTGTCCACTTTAGGGTTTTTACGTTTAGCCGACACTATAGTAGTTGAATTAGTGCATATTTAGAAGTCTAAGGGCTACTACTAGACAACTGAAGTTTTTAGTGGCCACTTTAGGGGTCAATGGATCAACATAACTGGTCCAATCTTTTTGTTTTAAAATTATCTGAGTTACTAGAAGGAATACCGCATGAAAAACTACTATAGTGGCCACTAAGACGCGAAATCTTGGCTTTCATAGAGCTGGTTCCAGTGGTCACTTTAATGACCTCTCCAAGTAGTCCTTAAGAGACTTCTTAAGTGGTAGATTTTTTCACAGTAGGAAGTTTCTTTTCATTTTTCGTCGTTCCTCAGCTAATTTCCTCGTGGTTTTCTACAAAGAAAGGCAATTTTTCATCAATTACGCACTTCCTTCGGTCGGTATCGCTTTGGGAAAAAATCGGCGCGATTTCCTCACCTCGATGATTTATCGTCCTTCCCATTCGCCGACTCATTTCCGTTTCGTGTTGAGTTGGTCCTCGGAATTGGAATATTCTTTTTTCGCTAAGACAGTTGTCCTCTCCTCGGATTCACGGCTCGAAATTTAACGACTTTCGCACTTTTCCAGTTAATCAAGGCTACTGTAGACGTCAACGGGGACGACGGTCAAGCTGGTTCCAGATATTGGCCCACTTGAAGCAGGAATCTACTGTTAGCTTAATCCCAGCCGCCGCCATCCGACTAAACTTGTCTTTTTGGTTCAAATCTTGAGATCCGTCAAGGATACGAGGCCAAATATGTCTTTGGCCGTTTGGTTGATGATTGCAATCTTTTGTTATTTCAAAAATGATGGCAAGTTGAAAATTTGGTTTCTTTAAGCGGTCATTTTTTGAAGTTTACAATGTAAATTTGGTTCGAAATTTTTTAGGATTTCCAGAGTGGTCTCTATAGGGATTAGGGAAAGAAACAGTCCTATAGGGAGAAAATTTAGGTGATCCCTATGGGGTTCAGGGTCTGACCCCGGGCTCCTAAAGCTCAAGTAGTCCCTATAGGGGTCTTTATCCTCTGTGGATATTTTTCATTTAAAAATGCTAAGTTTTGTTTTTTTGAAAATGCTTCTTCTGATAGAGTCCATAACAATCATCGACTACCATTTCCACTATAGGGACCACTCTTTACAAGCTTAGGGGTGCCTATAGAGATTGGTAAAGTGGTCCCTAGAGGAGCTGAAGTGCGTCCTTTGGGCCCTATAGGGGAAAAGTTTTTCTGAATTTGGTCCTGTAGAAAAAAAAGACCTCTATGGAGGTGTACTAAAGCACCCATTTTGCACCCTTTATGGGACTATCTAAATGGTCATTTAGGACCCACTATAGGGAGTTTACAGAAATTGGATAGCAGGGATTTGGGAAAGGAAAATTTTCGTTTCTTGCAGGATTTTTTCAACCTTTTGCACCACAAGAAATGATGCGTTTATTGGAAAGATATAGATTTTAAAACTTTAAAACACCCCTATAGGACCCACTCAATCTCAAACTCCTTTAAGGACCCACTTCAGCTCTTCCTAGAAAGCTGCGGCTTCAATAATAACGAAATTTATTGAGAATAAGATTTTGTATCATCTTTGGAGTTATATTTAAATGAAGAATGATTTTTTCAAGATTGAAAAATTCTTAGAAACTTCAAGCTTCCGGAAAATGGTTTCGATTCCCAAAAAAGGCGTTCTCGACGCCAAATCGGGCGATCTATTTATTCGGAGTCGTGTTTGAAGAAGCACTGCGCACCGGAATGCGTAAACAAACATGTAGAGGTTGGCGTCGTGCCTCTCAAAGAATATCTCCAGAATCGATCGATCGGCCCAGGTAAAGGTAAGGGTCAGCTCGCAGGTCTTCCCCGCACTTGGCTCTTAACTCCGAAAACCTCACGATTTCTCTCTTTTTCTGTGTTTTCAATGGAGCTTCTTGGCGATTTTTGAAATCTTTCAGATTTGGATCATCGCTCCAGGAAATAAAAATCCTTTTTTTGGATTTTTG